TGCCCTGACTTGACTTGTTTTGTTTTTTGGTCACAATGCTTATGACAACTGAACAAAGAAAGGAGACGTATAGGGATGCCAAACAGCCAAAAAATAACAAAAGTGGTAATTTTCCAAAAAATAAATAAACAAAAATAATAAAATAAAAATAATAATAAAATAAAAATAATTAAAAATTAAAAAAAAATATTAATAATAAAATACGCATAGAATTGGTTGCTTTTAACCAATAAATGACCAAAAAGCAAAAAAATTGTATTTAAAAAAAAAATTATAATAAAAATAAATCAATAATAATAATACCCATAGAATTAGTGTTATTCACTCTTATTCATAAATAACACCAAAATCTCATCAATCGGTGAATTTTTCAGCATTTTTAAGTCTGCGAGTAAATTGGGTAAAAAATTAACTCCTTTATCTCCTTAAGACTAAAAAGTGTTTATGAAAATCGTCAACGTCTAATTTAGAACTCATGGTACAATTACCAAGCGAATCTCATGCTTTCAATGCCAACCTTGCTTTCCACAATACTCCAAACACAAAATGTTTGCGTGCCCAAGGCTTTAATACGCCCTCCAGAATATTTTTGCGATAATATTTGGCATTGGAACTCATTAGCTCTTTGGAGTCTATTTTCTTTCTGTTGCGGTGTAAGTTCTTGCACTTTCTGGAATTTCAAAGGGCTTTACTCCGAGTTCATTTTTCAATATTTGCCGAATATTGCGATATGTTCAACTCACGAGCCATTTTTCGGCCACTGCGATGCGGGCTTCGCTTCGAGTCGCTTCTTTACTATTTGAACCATTTCTGCTGATGTTGCTGTTTTCTTCCGTCCACTTCCTTGACGCCGGGCTACGCTAGCGATGGTACGAGACACAACAGATTTATTAACACTTAAATGCTGAAGTGCTCTAACGATAGCCACTTGCGGTTTTCCAGCCAAATATAAAGAAATCACACAATCACGCTTGAATTCCATCAAAAAAAAAAAACTTTTTTTCTGGAAAATTCTCACTAAAATGCTTTTGTACGCTTGAAAACAATATAATGAGCAGTCATTGGAATAATTTTAACAGCTGTTGGATGAGTGGCTTAGAAATGACAGCAGTCTGAAGTTGGTTGCAGTTTTTCTCATATCATCTCATCCTGTACACAACAACTAACATCTTCGAAAACTCTTTCCTTAAGATGAAGGGGTTGAAATCTTTATCTTTATATGTTTAAGTCCAAAAAGAGATAAATAAACTTAGTATTCCGAAGATATGGATCGTATATGTTTTTGTGTAAAAAGGAATGCCGAAAATAAGACTATTTATTATTTTTTGTGAAATCTGCCACTTGTCATACGAAAACATTTTAGATATGACAATAGATTTTAAAAGGGTTGCCATATTAAATTTAGCAAATGAGTTTACCTTTATGTTTTTGTCATGTTTAGAACTGTAGGATTTAAATAATAAATTTTGTAAAATATATATTTTATATTGACAACACTAGGCCTCCTATCCTCCTTTCCTTTTCCATAGAACAAAAATGCTTATATAAATTAATTGAAAATAAAATACAGAAATAAAATACATGCTGAATGAAATGACGTCAACCGATTTAGATGTTATCACACAGGTTATATGTGTGTGACACTACTACTACCGATGATGATGATTATGCCTCGAATTTTGTCATTATTGTATGTAGACATGTACAACTCTTTCTTTGTTCATATCACATTCCATGTCTAAGGGAAAATTCCATTTTCTATTATAACAAAATGTAACCATTTGCTCTGTTATTATTATTTGCTCATACCTTTACCTTGGTCCTCCAAGGAGGTCTACTACTCACTCTACGGGAAGAAACTTGAATTATGACAAGAGAATTTGTAGGAGTGAACGGCGTGTTTGATTAATTAATTGGCCTACCCTCGTATGGAGGTTATTGTTAAATCGATTGAAAGTTTATTTGCAATTTCCGCTCAAAAAAAAATAAACATCAGGGTTTTCCTATTGGTAACAAAAGACACAGTTTCCTTTTTAATAAATGCGAAAGATTGAGCTATGGACTAAAGACACGCCCTATGTACTTGATATAACTATTGTCACAATGCAACGACTGGGTTTAAACCCCCAAGTTTTGTCTTTGTATCAATTTTGTTTATTAACAATTCCCCATTCCCTTTGGAAATTGTGTAGCAATTTCGAAGAAAAAAAAAGAAAACATGACAGACGAGCAATAGGAAATTGAAAACTTGTTATTCTCATTATTCTCCTTGCCGTTGTTTACTAACAACACCGCCAAAGGAATATGGAATTTTCCCATAACGAACAAATAAATACTAAGCCATATTATGTTCCAATGACAAGGTCAAGACCATAAAGCTTATATCCCTTTCAGCGACAGCCTACCACCCATCCATCCACCCGCCGATAACAAAGCAATAAACGGAACCTTGAAATGCTTATTAAAAAAAAAAAAGCGGCAACATTTTTAAGAAGCTTTAAAGTCGCTGACAGTTGACATGCAGAACAGATTTATTTTTTTTTATTGCACAAAGAGAAGAGAACGAGGCGACACGAGGTCAAAGATATTCCCCCTATTTGGTATTAGTGTAACAAAGGGAAACGTTTCGCTGGCAAATAAGAAAGTCATTTGTGGCGTTTGCGGTCCTCTCAACAATAAAAAATGGTGAATTTTTTATGATTTTGAATTTGGTTGACAGGACAGTAAAGAGGAAACCATTCTATTCCCGGAATAGGTTTGGGTGTTTATTTTCATAGAAATAAACAGAATTTGTGTGTATAATGTGGAAGATCGGAAATTCGGTAAGAGGTCAAGCAAATTGGAATTATCCATGCTCGTCTACAACAACACCGAGGACCGAAATTCTTTTTGCTTTCGAAGAATAATATTTGGAATCCAGCAAATTGGTCTTGAGCTTCTCTTTGAATACAAATTGGCATTCGGCTCACCTATGAAGAAATCAAGGACTAATATTTTCGATTATGTCTTTTCAAAATGCTACTCCGACTTAGAAAAGGTATCAAAATTTTCTGGTTTTTTAACATTTTATCTAGCTATAGATTGCTATTTCGGTTTCACAGCGGTGCATATTTAGCGGTGCATATTTAGGTTTCACCTTGTAGGTGTAAGGTTTTGACCACATATTCTAACCAAATTAGCTGCCAGCTGACTTTCCGGGTTTTGTAATAAATAAAAACTCTTGCCCTGTTCCAGAATCGAAAACATATTTTTCTTTTATGAAATCCATGGCTGCAAACTGACTTTCCGGATTTGTAATAAATAAAAACTCTTGCTCTGTTCCAGAACCGAAAACATATTTTTCTTTTATGAAATCCATGGCAAAACAATGAAGTTAAACTCATTTGCTAAATTTAATATGGCAACCCTTTTCTGACGAACTCGACCTTGTCAATTTTTTAAATAAAATCTATTGTCATATCTAAAATGTTTTCGTATGACAAGTGGCAGATTTCACAAAAAATAATAAATAATATTTTATTTTACATAAAAACATAGACTTTCCATATCTTCAGAATACTAAGTTTATTTATCTGTTCTTGGACTTAAACATATAAGGATAAAGATTTTAACCCCTTCATCTTAAGGAAAGGTGAGGTGAGAAAAACTGCAACCAACTTCAGACTGATGTCATTTCTAAGTCACTCATCAGACAGCTGTTAAAATTATTCCAGTGACAGCTCATTATATTGTTTACAAGCGTACAAAGGCATTTTGGTTACGATTTTCGAGAAAAAAAAGTTATTCGTGATGGAATTCAAGCGTGATAGAGCGATTTCTATATATTTGGCTGGAGAACCCCAAGTGGCTATCTTTAGAGCACTCCAGCATTTAAATGTGGATAAATCATTTGTATCTCGTACCATCGCTCGTTACCGTGATACTGATGGCGTAGCCCGACATCAAGGAAGTGGCCGGAAGACACAACAGCAACATCAGCAGAAATGGTTCGAAAAGTAATGAAACGACGTGAATGAAACCCGCGTTGCAGTGGCCGAAAAATGGCTCGAGAGCTGAACATATCGCAATATTCGGCAACATTCGGCAAATATTGAAAAATGGGCTCGGGGTAAAGCCATTGAAATTCCAAAAAGTGCAAGAACTTACACCGCAACAGAAAGAAAATAGACTCAATAGAGCAAAAGAGTTGCATTGCTTGCCCGAAAGTGGTGAACTGCCGAATTTGGTTTTCTCCGACGAAGAGAAAACATTCGTTGTTCAGCAGTTTGTAAACAAACAAAATGATCGTGTTTACTTGCCAAAGAGGTCAGGTCAGCTGAAAATGTGCACGTTCGGTTGGCCACCAGAACTCAAGCACCGGCCATGGTGATGGTGTGGGCCACCATAACAGCCGATGATCGCTCTCCGCTCGTATTAATCGACCTTGGCATCAGAATAAATGCCGATTATTATCGCGAAAATATTCTGGAGGGTCTATTAAGGGCTTGGGCACGCAAACATTCGCCGGGAATGGGCCAAAATACCGCAAAGCGACATTCGGGCAGCGTTTGACGGTTTCATTGGCCGTTTGAAGGCCATTTTTCGTGCTAAAGGTGACCAATTCGAACAAATCTAAACTTATTCTAAAATTTGATGCTTTTTCCGACATTTTTTGCTTTCATTCAATAAAATTTCAAAAAAAAAAAAAAAAATGTAAAAAATATGTTTGACTTTGTTGCAGTTTTTTTATCTCACCCTGTATAGTCTTCAAGGGAAGTTTTGCATCGTTTCACAGGCAATCAATTTAGTCTATGAAAAAATATCAATACTTGTAGTCCTTTTGGGATTTTTGGTCGGGTTTCATTAAAAAATTACAAAGAAAGTGATAAATATCAGTTGGCAATACTGCATCTGAAGAAATGTTATCTATTCGCCTAAAAGTATGCTCCGTGTTTTGTCATTTTTAATCCGCTCTAAGTTTTAACACGATCTTTCATTTCCCTTTTCTGTTTTTTTTACAGGATTCACGGGGATCGGTGTACTGCGCGAGTGAACCGGACCCAATTGGTCGAATCCAGTACGAGTCGGGAAGGCTCGTTCAATCTAATGCCACCCTCGGTCATCAAAGGCAACTCGACAGCCGCTCAGCCATTGACGGCAATTCCACCGAAATTATTGAAGTCATCTGTGAACCGCAGTATAAGCGAGAAAGTGAAGCGGGTGAATTGCCCATTGTGGCCTGTTCCCAGCCGCCGGCACCATCGTTACTCACCGAATGTCAGCAATCGAGTGGTTCCCTCTTCTCAATTGTCTCAGCACCGCCGGTGCCGTTGGCTGACCTTGAAAACAAACAAATGGATTCGCTCGGTGTCGGATTGCAACCGGGTTTTGGCCTGCAAATGGGAGGTAGTGCCCAGAATCCCTTCATTTCAACGCACTCGACGGTATCAATTGGCGACGTTGCCGCATCGGCTCCCGGCTCAGCGACCTCAACAATACCCCGGCGTCCGGCATCGTTGCCCATTGAGACACCCTACTGTCCGGCACCGGCCAGCCGAACCCTTCATGCCAGTTTGTTGGTGCATCAGATATCGGAAATTGAGGAGGACGACAATGAAAACCTGTTAACGGTATCAAGTATAACAGCTCGGCCGTTAATAGCCAAATCCCGGGAAATTCGATCGCACCGCAATGGCTGCGATGGCGGCACGGATAAACGCGGCAAGCGTGGCGGCAAGTCGAAGAGTGGTGGGGGTGTACAGAAGGCACCCAGTGGCATTTCCAGCATCTCGAGTGCCCGGGATCGTGTCAGCTCCGGTCACCCACCGTCATCACGTTCCTCGGTTAGCACAGATCCACCGGACGGTGGTTATGGTTGGTTCATTGTCTTCGGGGCATTTTCGGTGCAATTTTGGGTGGCGGGTCTGGTCAAGTCCTATGGAGTGTTGTATGTGGAAATCATGGAGACATTTCCCAGTTCTACAGCCACGGTGGCCTCATGGATACCGGCCATCCTGTCAGCCTTGTGTTTGGCTTTGGCTCCCGTTTCGAGTGCATTGTGTCAGAGATTTTCGTGTCGCACGGTGGTGTTTGTGGGCGGTCTCTTCTGTGCCCTGGGCATGACACTGAGTTACTTTGCCACCAGTTTGGTCCATCTACTCTTCACGTTCGGCATCTTGACAGGTATTGGTGGTGGTCTATCGACAACACCGGGCATTGTAATTGTCTCACAATATTTCGATAAACACCGGGCCTTGGCGAATGGCATCTGTGTTTCGGGTACCGCAACTGGAAGTTTTATATTGCCGGTGCTAATCAAACATTTGGCTGAGAATTTTGGATTTCATGGCACCATTTTAATCTTGGGATTCTGCATGTTCGATGTATGTCTATCGGCTTTGCTGTATCGACCACTCGAATCTATGCAAAACGATGAGAAAATAACGGAAGAGGAAGATGCCACCAAGCCGTTGAATGATATAAATCCTAGCAACATTGATATGTTGACCAACTCCACATATTTGGATACCTGCGATGATGGTCTGAATACGAAATTTATTGAACATCTTTTTATGGAAGAATCGAAAAATCGTCTCAACGATTATTACAATAATCGATATAACGGTAAGTGGGAAATGGGGGATTGATGAGAAGTGCAATTCACCATGGAAGCCTTATTGTGATTGAAATTACGAAATATGAGCAAAAAACCGAGTCATTCATCTCAAATGTCAAAATTAAATGTTGTTTTTCTTTTACAGCTTCTGAAAAATCTGTTCCTAATTGTGCCCAAGAGAGCGACGATGAAATCAAGGACATCATTGGCGAAACTACATTCATCAAGCCCATGAAAAAGGTACGCAGTTCGGGCATAATGCATTCCGTTGAAGATCTAAGTACCACCTCGACCTGGGTGTATCGTAAAAATTCCGGCACCGAATCAAATCGAGCTTCTCGACGTCGTCGTCCCAATGTCTTTGCCAATGATGAGATTATTTCCAAGATACAGGCCCATTTGGAGAAGCCTCTATCACCGCCCACGGTTGTGACGCGTGGCTTGAGCAAGAGCATGGAAATACCCACACCCATCAGCAGTATGAGCGAACAAAAGTCATCGGAAAATCCCCAACAGAATGGCAGCATTATTGGCATTAATTCTCTCGAAGAGGAAGAAGTCGACGACGATGTTCCTTTGACATGCTACGAGCGCATAGAAATCTATTTGGATATAAGTTTATTAAAGGATCCGACATTTATATTGATGTGTCTATCGGTGACCCTAATGTCGGTGGGTTGCCCCTATATGTTGTATTATTTACCAGCCCATGTTATATCGATTGGTGAGTATTTTAATCGCGGATTTTAATGGTGAATAAAGCTAATCTTCATTTGTTTAGGTTACAATAAAAGTGAAGCTGGTTATTTGGTAACGGTAAGCGCTGTCTTGGATTTGGTGGGACGTTTGGGTCTGGGTTGGCTTTCCGATTTGCAGTTATTTGATCGCAGGAAGATCTATATTGTGTGGTAAGTTATTTGCTCTTTTACTTCTAAAGAGAGAGAGGGAGAGAGAGAAAGATAAGGAGATACATACAAATACAAAATATGTCTGTGTAAATGTCAAAATTTGTTATGTCACATTTTGTGATACATTTTGACACTTAACCAGGCAATCAGTTGGAATTGCCTTACGGCACAATAAAGATGTACTCCATTTAGCACTGCTGATAATCTAGACGAGTTATCAAAATACTTATTGTGATTGGGATCACAGTACAACAAGTAAAGAAACAGTAAACAAGCCACCTTGTGAATATTGATATGTCGAAAATATATAAAAATATTTACAAATAAATAAATTGATGTAGAGACGTTTAGAGGCTGTTAAGATATGTCTTTTTTATAAATTTTGTTAATTTTAAAAATTTTTTATTAAAAAAATTCAAAAAATTTTTGACAGTTCATTGCACCACCAGCTGCATTGATACGGAACCTGTGTTTATTTATCATGCAAATCAAACAAATGCTGAAATTTAAGACGATATCATGGTAGAAGAATACAGGTAGTCACATAGACACAGCTGCTGGGACAATGAACTGTCAAACCAATTTTGGAATTGAAAATGTTGAATGAAAAATTATTTAAATTTGTAAAAATTGTTGAAACAACGCGAATTATAATAACTTTCGAATGAAGTCGTATAAAAAAAAAATATAAAAATCTTAAATTTTTTTGACATATCAACGCTCCCAAACATGTATGCATCTACCTGTATTCTTTTGCCATGGCATGGCATATTTTGTGACGTATCATAAAGGGATGCTAGAGCAGCACTCAAATTCAGGCGTCGTTGTTCCTTGTAATTTGACATTAAAATGCCTAGCCCTGATGCCAAGCTGCTTATGTACCCCCACCTTTAGAGCTAATTGTAAACGTGCTATAAACGAAGCCCTGTTTATTTTTATATCTAAACTTAAATTCTCTTGTCTGGCACTTTCTAAAGTCATAATTTCGTCTTATTTTCATTTTCAGTATCTTCGGTGCTGGTCTCTCCGTACTCACCATACCCTCAGAGTACACCATCTATTTGGTTGGCCTGTCTGCGGCAATTTACGGTTTTTGTTTGGGCAGTTGGTATGTCCTGATGCCTGTCCTGTTGGCCGATATCTTTGGTACGGATCGCATTAGTTCCAGTTATGGTCTCGTACGGATGTTTCAATCGATTGGCGCCATATCGGTGCCACCATTGGCTGGATTTTTACGTGATCTCTCGGGTAGTTATGTTATTGTTTTCTATTGTATGGGTTCCTGTATGGTATTAGGTTGTCTACCGTTGGCTGTGTGGGCCGTCTTGGAGTGTCGTGAACGTAAGCTGTATCAGGGTAATGATAATGAGGATAACTCATCTGTATCGTAAACTAAAGGAGAACATTAAAACTATTTGTATTTTTTAAGAAAAAGTAAACAACAACAAGAAAACAAAAAACAAAACGAGACGGAATAGATGTCTTTGGTTTAGCCAGTAGTCAGGATTTGTTACCCCGTAGAGAAGAAAAAAAACAAATTCCCTTAGAAGTGTTATAATTATGGAATATCTGTTGTGTAACTAAAAACCCTTGGCTTATAGTATGTTTACATTAGAGTTTTTTTGGCCGGATTAACCTCCTTTGAGAGGATTTATTTGACGTATATGCAATGAAATTGAAAAATTAAATTCACTTGATTTACTAAATCCGGTAAACTGTAAATGTAGTATTCGATGGGTTTCTGAAACGGTTCTGATATCTCTTAATGCGAAAGATGTTTATTAAATATTAAAAATAGAACATGTCATTTTGACATTTAGTCTGCTTTTGAACAGCTGGTGTAATATTTTAATAAATATCGAAATTTGTTTTTTTTTTTTCATTTTGACATTTTATAAAGTATGCGAAATGTCAAGAATAAATATAAAGATAAAGTAAATATTGATATTTATTTAAATATTACACCAGCTGTTCTAAATCAGACTAAATGTCAAAATGTCATGTTCTATGTTTACTATTTGTTTATCTCTCACATTTTAGTTTCACTTACAACAATGTATTTTGATAGCTAATAATCAGCTGGTTTCAGTCTTTATGTTTTACATTATCATTTCAATCACAATAATACATTTTGACATTTAATATAGCAATAAGCTGGTCCTTTTTGGAGGAACCTTTAATTGGATCATAAATTATTTGAAAACACTTGAAAACCTCAGAGAAGATCTGCCAGGTCTTGCTAATGATGAAAAATAAACGAACAGTTAGTAAAACGCGGGGTAGAATCAAGAAGGTAAATTCATGCAATCATATGTTTTGCAATTTTTTGAAAATTATTTATTTGACATTTTATTGTGAAAATATATATTTATAAATACAGAAATTAGAGATGTAATTTGACAAGGTAAATTACAGAAAATTCAGATATGGGTATGCTTATTGGAAATGACTTTACCTTCTTAATTTTACCATGGTAAAACGTAAACAAATGTTAACATTAGGGGTGAGAATACATAAAACGCTTTTCTGACTGGCTTAAGTTATCGGCTGGATTCTTCGTAGAGAAACAATGGAGTTTTAGGTTTACTTAGTTCGATTTTGGCCCTATGCTTCTTTGTTCTTTTCAGAAGAAGCCAGCCGATGACTTAAGTCAGTCACAAAAGCGTTTGATGTATTTTCACCACCATGTTGTAAATGAACCATGGTTTCATGGTAGAAGAATATAGGTAGATACATCAATGCTTGAGAACATTGATATGTCAAAACATTTTTTTTTTCAAAAATAAATAGATTTTTATAAGTTTTCTTATACGACGCCAATCGGAGGTTGTTATGATACGTATTTTTCAAGAATTTGTACAAATTTAAATAATTTTTCATTAAACATTTTGGTTTGTACACTAAGGGCCTGTTTACATTTGAGTATCATGATCAAGATGATACGTGATGTAGAAAAACATGCCAAACGGATTACGATTAACCAAATGTTAGGTAATGAACTCCCATGTAAACGTATCCTAACTATTTCGTTTAAGAGACAAGACAGCTGACTTTATAAAGGGTATTCACACTACATGATATATTGAAAAATCCTTTCAAGTTTTATGAAAAATTAGATGAAATATGTAAACCAAAATTGGGTCTTTTTGACTGAGCTGTCTTTAATTTTAGACATCCTCTGAGGAACCTTTTTAAAGCCAAGTTTTTAGCCTACACATTTTGTGAAGTACTTTGCATATTTCCGTAAAAGAGTTAGGAATAACCAATATTTGTCCCAAGCTTATAGAGCAGGGACAACCCCCCCCCCCATATTTTTTAACCAATCTAGAGTATCACATAATAACCTGTGTTGAATTAGAAATCTCCCCATCACTTCTTTTGGTAGTTAGCGAAAATTGTGTGATGCCACAAAAACCTACAAACATACAAGTAGAAATATCATTTGAATAATTTTTCTACCTATATTTTTCCTGCTCTGGATTTCGCTCCCCCCAAAAGCGAAACATGCAGACAACAAAAACAAATCAACCTAAAAGCACTAAAATGCGCAAAAGAACTGAGTTATTACAAAAATAAAATAAAGACATTTAATAAAAAATAAATAAAATATAACAATATTATACAAAAAGAAATATTTAAATATATAAAAAAGTAAACACCTGCGAATTATACAATTAAAAAAAAACAAGAAAAAAACTATAATTTTTATTTAACACAATGAACAATTACATTAGATTTAGCCTGAAAACAGATCCCCAAAAATTTAGTTTTCATCCCCTCGTAATATTAATAGAAATTTAAAGAGCCCCCCCCAAGTATTTAAGTAAAAGAAATATGAATTTAAATGTTAAACAACAACAAAACCAATGTTTATTTAAAAAAATTTAAAAAAAAAAAACAAAAACGAAAATCCCCAATGATATAAAAAATGTAGCAACTACGTAAGCATGTATTAAAACTGATGTTGTAAAACATAAAATTATTAAGTGTAATGTAAACAAATTAAATAAATTATGATTATGTTTTTGTGATCCGCAAGAGGATTCAAAGTTTAAAGGAATGTTTTGTCAATAAGAGATTTGGAAAAGAAGTCATAGGGGAAAATTGAAGTGGGAGAAGGTAGTGAATGTCCTTTGAGGGAATTGGTAGGAAATCTTAAGTGGGATGGAAACAGAGACAGCCGAAAAAAGTCACTTTTGTTGAGCTAGAGGAAAGGATTGTATATAGACAAGCTGATGGTATGGTCTTCTGTGATTATGAAACCATCTATGCTAAGAGGAGGGTTTTTTCTATTTAGAAGACCTAGAAGATCTTCTGCATGGACAATATACGCTTTGTACACCTTAAGGCACAAACACATTGAATGTTTTTTTTTACTAGTTTAAGTCATCCGGCTGGCTTCTTCGTGAAAGAACAAAGGAATTTCAGGTTGACTTAATTCAATTTCGGCCAAAAATGTATACTTGTTCTCCCGAGGCACTTTTGTTTTTTATCGAAGAACCCAGCCAATGACTTAAGTCAGTAAAAATTTAAGACATTTGAAAACTTTTCCAAGACATTTTTTTGTCTCTTCAGAATTTCTCTAAGAGGTCTGCCATCCGTGTTCAAGAACTGCCAACCGTAGCCATGCACCATGGTAGAAGAATACAGGAATACAGGTAGATGCATCAAAGCTTGGGAACATTGATATGTCAAAAATTTTAAAATGTTTTCCCAAAAATAAGTAGATTATTATAAGTTTTCTTATACGACACCAATCGAAGGTTGTTACTTTATGCATTTCTCAACAATTTTTACAAATTTGAATAATATTTCGTTCAAAATTTTCAATTCCAAAATTGGTTTGACAGTTCATTGAACCACCAGCTGCATCAATGAAACTACATGTATTTTTCTACCATGCTATCCACCTTCAATTCGATTGATAGTATTGTTGATGCTAGCAACTATTATTTGTGTTATCATTTCATAATGAATTACATGTGTTTCCTTTTTTTTCGGATATACGGTTTATCATTCCTCAGCGCTGTTGTTATTTTTAATGTTAGCAACTATTATTTGTGTAATAATTTCATAGTGAATTACAACCGTTCCCTTTTTTCTGATTTACGGTTTCTCATTACTCAGCGCTGCTGTTATTGCTGATGGTAGCGACTATTATTTGTGTTATCGTTTCATTTTTCTCCTGATATACAATTGCACATTACTCAGCGCTGCTGTTAGCGACTATTATTTTTGTTATCATTTCATAGTGAATTACAGCTGTTTCCTTTTTCTTCTGATATACGGTTAATCATTACTCAGCGCTACTGTTATTGTTGATGCAGCGACTATTATTTGTATTGTCATATCATAGTGAATTATAGCCGTTTCCTTTTTCTTCTGATATACGGTTTCTCATTACTCAGCGCTGCTTTTATTTAGCAACTATTATTTCTCATTAGCAACTACAGTTTCTCATTACTCAGAACTGCTGTTATTTTTAATGCTAGCGACTTTCTTTCCGTTATAATTTCATAGTGAATTACAGCTGTTTCCTTTTTCTTCTGATATACGGTTAATCATTACTCAGAGCTGCTGTTGTTTTTAATGCTAGCGACTATCATTTGTGTTATCATTTCAGAGTGAATTACAGCTGTTTCCTTTTTCTTTTAACATACGGTTTCTCATTACTCAGCGCTACTGTTATTGCTGATGGTAGCGACTATTATTTGTGTTATCATTTCGTAGTGAATTACAGCCGTTTCCTTTTTCGTCTGACATACGGTTTCTCATTACTCAGCGCAGCTGACTCATTGTAAATTATATTCCGTTGAAGAATTTGCAACACACAACTGTTTTTTGAATTATAAAATAACTTTCCATTACAAATATTATAACACCAACAAAGGCGTTTTATGTTTTGTTTTTAAAGCAAACCTCTTGCCCTGCCATTTACTGTCAACAACATGCCGTTAAAGACTTGACGAAGGACCTTAAAATGAAAAATACCACAGGACTTCAAGAATATTTCCTTTATATACAAAATTGAAAATGTAGTCCAGGTATACAGGACATCTAGAGGGTTTTCTATATGCATTTAACCTTTGAAAGGATTTCTGTTGTAAAAGGTCATTGGAAGTCTTGACCAATCAGACATCTTCAAAGAAAGTCTCACTTTAAAAATCCATGCCAGCAGATGAAGAAGAAACAACATTTTTTTTTTTTAATAATTTATTTCAACAAATCGTTGTTATTGTTTTTATTATCACTTCCTAATCTATCACACAAAAAAAAAAAAAATTAAAAAAAAATAACAAAACAAAATTAATAACAAGTAAAGCTTTACGAACTTAGTTAGATTCGACTAAGTAAGGAAAGGATGGATGGATAAAGGAAGGAAGGACGATTAGCGCATTGTGGGACGTATGAACATAATTTAAGTTATGGGATATGGGGGTGGTAGTGGGGATAGTGGCGTTAAAAAAACTATTTACAAACAGACCACATTCGAATGGTGTCGGATCCCAGAATTTAGAATTTTTCAGCTGGTGGTCCGTATTGTTCGGCAGGAGCGGCTGGTGGGCCGTACTGTTCGGCTGGTTTGTTTTGTTGCTTGTACTTGATGAAGTACACCTCGGGCTTGCTGGGCTCAGTGGGTTGGGGTGTGGGCAAAATGATGGGTTGTTGTTCTTCGGGCTTCTTAACCAAGACATAGACCAATGTTTTGTGTTCATCCTGGACGGGGGGTGGAAGGACTTGACGGACGGGGGCAGGTGTGTTGGGAGCCTTGATGAAAATGATTTTGTAGTGTTTCTTGGGCACAGCAGTTTGAATGGGTGCTGGGGCGGGATAGGATTCAGGCTCCTCTGGTGGCACATGGACATAGACATTCTTGGTTACCAACGTCTCGGCCACGGGAGGTCCATAGAAAGGAGCTGGAGCACCATAGACGGGTAAAGGTTGAGCTGATGATTGGGTAGGTGGCGGGCCATACTGCTCAGCAGGCTTGGGTGGCAAGTATTCCTTTTGTGGAGCTGGGGGAGGTCCGTAACGGCTTTTGGGAGGCTCGGGGCGAGCGGCCACCACGGCCAAGGTACAGGCTAACACAATGAACAATTTCATTTCGTTTTGTTTTTTTCTTTTTTTTGGTTAATCCCGAGAATTCGTTGTTGGTTCTGCTATGGGCAGTGATGATTTGATACCTCCAACCACTTCGTACTGGGATTTTATACCACAACGGAAGTTGAAAACAATTTTTTCTTTTCGTTTTTGGTTATTACATATTTATTGTTTTTATTGTTATTACCTCTGTTTTTCGATTTCGATTTCGTTTCGATGCAAACACGAGTAGCCACTGGCCGGTAGCCTAGTCTTTTGGCTGTCGGCTGGGAGAGTCTATTTTTGGGGTTTTCGATTTTTGTTTTTTGCATAATTTCTCAAAGCACAACTTCGGCTGTGATCGATTAATTGCAATCCGAATGAACACGAAGCCCGGTGTTGCTAAAAGTTCGCCCAGCCAAAACAAACGGGCCTAATCAGAAATGCGAGCCTCGGCGGCTACGAATAATGTTTGTACGCGATCGGCATACTAATCGAGTGATCGATTTAGCAAATCGACCACTGGCGTCCAGATGATGATGGTGGTGGTGATGAGGATGACAAAATGCAGCCATGTATGTAAGTGAATGACTGCATGGTGGCAGTCGTACTGCCCCCGAGCTGTCCAGCCTGTGCGCAAGTTGTGGTGTCTGTTTTTTTGGTTTGCCAAAAATGCCCAACCGGCCCAGCGCTCCAAAAATGTTTGTGATGTTACAACAAATTATGTAATAATTACTTATTGACAATGTTGTTGTCGTCGTTCTCGATAAAAAGAAAAACAAAAACAATGCAAATATTCGTTTTGTTGGCAGGCCTACCCCAAGCCAAGTCATGGTGTCAACAATTAACCCATCAAGCATTGTGGGGTTACTTTTGGCAAGTGTCTAGAGTGCGGAATATGTAATCAGTGCAAATATTTGATTTGTGGTGCAAACATTGAAAAAACAACCTGTCCGATAGTCGGAGGTGTTGCGAATCGATAACATCTTGAAAGAAAAGGATACAAATCTTGACGAGTTGTTTCGCCCATTACTGGGTCACACAGTAGTCACAGAGTGGTGAACGTTTTTTTGCAGATTTTTTAAACAATGTGAAGTTGATGGCTTAGCCTCGGAGAAGTATTAGAGATTTTGTTCGCCAATGTGGAATAGATAAATAATACTCGTTGCTAAATTAATGCTCTGTTCCAGAACCTGCAAGAATCTACTAGTTTTGCAATTTTTTCCGATATCATAAAGGAAAAATCGGTTAACGTATTAAAAAGTTGTATATCCTTGAAGGTCTGGAACAGGGAAAAAATCAATATTTCGTTGTTTTATGCATATTCCGAATTGATAGATAAAACATCTATCGAGGATAATTTATCTAACCTAATGAAAGAGGTGAAAAAAATTATCAACCGAATTGAGTGATTTATTTCCGAGTGAATAATTTATCCATCAACGTCAATTGGTTACCCTGCAACGTTGAAAAAATTGCTGTGGATAATTTATTTCTTTATTAACTTGGATGATGGCTGAGGGTAGCCATATGGCTAGAGAGGGTATATATCATTTGATACGTTCAAAACGTGCCTCAGACCTCTTTGGACCAAATCCGTTTCCGGACACTTGGAGGCGATCTAGCGATGTCCGTTCGTCTGTCTGACTGGTATGCACGATAACTCTAGAAGGAAGTATCCGATTTGATCCAAACTTGGTACATCGTAATATTATTGACAAATTTCGAACGAGTTCGGAGATGGGAAATATCGGCATACTCCTTCTGGTACCTTCCCCACAAAATGTCAATATTTTTAAAGAAAATAATTTACTACACAGAAAGAGAAAGGATAATCCGATTTTGCTCCAAATTTAGAAATCCTAATAGTTACAACAGTGCTAGGCCAGGTGTGAAAATGGACAATATCGGTCCACTCCATCAAGTACCTCCCCCAAAAAAGGGTCAAAACTTTGAATAATTATAACTTATAAAATGTGATCTAAGATTCCGATTGTCTTCAAATTACACGCATCACAATATTTTTATTAACCCTAGGTTTGCCGATAAAATGGAATATATCGGTCCACTCCTTCTGGTACCTCCCCCACAAATGATTAAAATTTGGAATATTCATGAAGCTCATAAAACACGAAGTTAACATCCGATTCCATTCATACCTGACACATCTCAATATTTCTATCGATTCAACATCCGGTATAAAGATGGTAGAGATCGAACCATTCCTTCTGGTACCTCCCCCACAAAGGGTCAAAATTTTGAATATTCATGAAGCTCATAAAACATGAAATTGATATCCGATTCCATTTATACCTGGTACATCTCAATATTTCTATCGATTCAAGATCCGGTATAAAAATGGTAGAGATCGAACCATTCCTTCTGGTACCTCCCCCACAAAGGCTTGAAGTTTTGAATAACCAAAATATTTATAAAATCCGGAATAAGCATGTGGTTCTCTTCAAATTACACACATGAAAATATTTTTATTAGCTCATGGTCTAGTGTGAACATGGGATGTATCGGACCACTCCTTCTCGTACCTTCCCCACAAGGGAAAATTTTGGTCAGCTGTAAATGTGCACCTTCTGTTGGCCACCAGAACTCAAGCGCCGGCAATGGTGATGATGTGGGCCGTGGGACCGCAGCATCAGCATAAATGCCCAATATTATCGCGAAAATAATCTGGAGGGTGTATTAAAGCCTTGGGCATGCAAACATTTTGGCTGCAAACCTTGGACATTCCAACAGGACTCAGTACGCGCCACCCAAAAATGGTTACAAAATGAGGTTTCTCGCTTCATTTCCAGCGCCCAATAGCCACCAAAATCTCCGGATACCAATCCGTTAGACTATTGTGTCGGGAGCATTTTGGAAAGCAAGGTTGGCACTAAATAATACCAAAATGTCGATCACCTCAAGCAAGCGCTTCGCCGGGAATCAGCCAAAATACCGCAGAGTAACATTCGGGCAGCGGACGACGGTTTCATTGGCCGTTTGAAGGACATAATTCGTGCCAAAGTTGACAAATTCGAAAAAAATCGAAACTTATTCTTAAATTTGATGTTATTTCCGACATTTTTTTCCTTCTTTCAATAATTAAAAAAAAAAATGTACAAACTATGGCTTTTGACTTTGTTTCAGTTTTTTTTATCTCACCCGGTATATTAGCCTTAGGTCAGATAATATAATATAGCGGATAATATTAGACAACTGCTTCGGAAAACTTTGAATAATCATAACTCAGGGCTGGGGGTATACACCTGTCGGCAAGACCGACTGATACAATTTTACTTGTTTAAGTGATTTTTTATAAATAAGAAGATTTTTATATATTATCTTAAAGGAGGCCTAAAGAGGGATAAAAAAATAATTTTACAAATTTGTATAATTTTTCATTTAAAATCTTCAATTTCAAAATTGGTTTGACAGTTCATTGTCCCAGCAGCTGTGTTGATGGGACTACCTGTATTCTTCTACCATATGATGTTTGTTTACCTTTAACAGTTTTCCTACAAAAGAGAATAAAACACACCTTACTCTCTGAGAAAGAACATCTTCTTTTTTAACAGGAAAATTAAACAGACACCGAATTTTAGTTACCCCGTTTGGCAATGCTGGCCAGCCTCCAAATCCCCCGTTCATCGTTTTTGGGCCACAAAATTGTAATCTTATCTTAAATCGTTTTTTTTTTTTTTTTCAAAATCCCTTATCCAGTGTAACGGTTTCCTCGTGTTACCGGTTGAACAACAACAACAAAAAACAACAAATCAAAAGAAATGGTCAATCAAACTCAATGAAATGACAATCACGTAGGTAAATACCATTATTTTTTGGGGACGTGCGTGACCACCGGCTACGACGGAGGGAACGTACGAGTGCCTTAACGCATTGCAATTGGTCGGTGAAGGGTGCAGGGGTGTTCTGTGTAAAGTCATCAAACTACTGTCCAAAAATTGTTGTCAATCACTTAAAAACAAAAAAAAAAAATAATAATTTGTGTAATGTGCGGAGGTGAGGTAAAGGTGGTGGTGGAGGGAGGAGCGTACTCCAAAAGGGAAGGCAATGTACAAACAACCTCCCCAAATTTAGGTTAAGGTCACTTTATAGAGGTAATTACGCAGGCGCATTTATTTCGAATTTGTGGCATATGTATGAAGGTATTTAACCCACTTACGTTTATGTCATTTTTTGAGGTAGGTCTTAATATATGCGGGAATATCTTGGAATACGGAATTTCGTGCAGTTTTAGTTGTCAAATGCATTGTGATAGTTGTGTATTGTACGGTATTTCAGGAGGTTTTGATTATTTTTTGGCTATCTGATGACAGGAAGATGTCATCTAAACGGTAGCAGAATCTTCTGGTATTTTCATTTAAAACCACAAGAGGGGTTCGTGGTCTGATTGTCTACATTTCCATCCAATAAGAATGGAAACAATCTGGGTTACATCTGATCAAATTCATCTGAAATTCCTTGAATGACCAACAATAATTCAGACGGCATTTTCCCCGTGTCCCATTTAAACATTTTCGCACGAATTCTTATTGTCTTCGGAGAACTTAAACTGTTTTTTTATTAATAAGGTCTGTGCTTTTTCATAAGAATAATTAAATTTCCCATTGGAAAATGCGAATGGGTGAGTATGGCTGCTGTTCAAAGAACAAGTGCAAATCTATCTCTGCTTCTTTTGGGTGTACGAATTGTAATGGAATTTCCTAAAGGAAAGAGAATGACACAGAAAAAAGGTGGCGTGAGAGTGCGTATGCCAGGGATGGATATTACAACTGTATCCCTAGAAAATATTCTATATTTTGGTGTGAACCTGCAAGAATCTACAAGTTTTGCAAATTTTGTATGCCCTACACCATAGTATGGAGGGTATATTAAGTTTGTCATTCCGTTTGTAACACCTCGAAATATACATTTTAGACCCCACAAAAAGATATATATTTTTGATCCGCATAAAATTCTATGTCGATTTAGCGATGTCCATCCGTCTGTGGAAATCACTTTAGCTTCCGAATTCCGAATTAAGTAGGTTGATAAAATTTTACTCAAATATATATTATGTCTGCAGGACTTTTGGTATTGAAAATGGGCCATGAAGGTCCAGGTTTGGTATAGCCCCCATAGGAAGGTACCTCCCTATTTTCGGTATGTTGATGATTTTAGCGACATTATTCACCGGAATTGTTTCAAATTTGGTATTTGAAGTTCGTAATTGATACTAAAGCTTAGACAGAAAATTGTCTGTGCAGGTTTACGTCTTCGTATAGGCCCCGTATAACTGTACCTCCCGATATTCGCTATTTTGATGATTTTAGCGACATTACTCACAGGAAATGTTTCAAATTTGGTATTTAAAATTGGTTATGGATACTACACCCTAAGACAGAAACTTGTCTGTGCAGGTCCACGTCTTCTTATATCCCCCATAAAAGGGTACCTCCCGATATTCGGTATTTTGATGATTTTAGCGAAATTATTCACCTGAATTGTTTCAAATTTGGCATTTGCATTTCGTAATGGATGTTAGAGCCTATGACCGAAAATTGTCTGTGCAGGTCCACGTCTTCGTATAGGCCCCATATTACGGTACCTCCCGATATTCGGTATTTTGGAATTGTTTCAAATTTGGTATTTGAAGTTCGTAATGGATGCTACAGCCTAAGGCAGAAAATTGGTATAGCCCCCCATTTTATAGTACCTCCCTATATTCGGTATTTTGATGATTATTCACGAATTTTTTCCCAAGTTTCGCATTTAAGTATTGTAATGCCTTATGACAAAAGTTGCCTATGCAGGTCCATGTCGTCGTATAGACCCTAATATAACTGCTACATTCGGCATTTTTCAGATTTTAACAGAATTTTTAATGGATTTTATTTATTTTTGAAAATTGCCAAATTTTTTCCAAATGGTGGAGGGTATTAAAATGTCGGCCCGTTTGAATGTACAGCAGCGGTGCTCAAAACCGTGTTCTACAACATGAAGAGAAAAAATATATAATTTAAGAGAAAATTAAAATTCTGTGTTTCTTTATATTTTACGGTTCTATTTAATTGTTTTTAAACACGAATGTTTGCCAAAATAATTTATAAAGCAAATGGATAAAAAATATTTGTATAAATAATGACTTAACACTGTTTTGTTCTTGATTTAAATAAGCAAAGAGAAATTTGACTGAAAAGGGATATTTCTTCTTGAGCACCGCTGATGTACAGCTTTTTTACTTGTTCGATATTAAAAAGGGAAAATCGGTTATCGTAGTAAAAACTTTTACAATCTCGCAGTTTTAGACCAGAGCATTTGTGTACAAAATGAGGAGGAAGGGGGAGAAACCACATCTTAAATACAATTTGTTATTGCTCTGTTCCTGAACTGCAAAAATGTAAACGTGTTACTATGATAACCGATTTTCCCTTTATGATATCGAAAGAATTACAAAACTAGACGATTCTTGCCCCCATTTCATTGTTTGTATATCTCCTTTGAGAATCTCTCAACAAAATTGATTTTCTTCCCCGCCTTCAACGACCACAACAAACAAAGTCGTTGAACTTAACATTTTCGCGCTGTGTGACACCAAAGATCATGACAGACAACAAAAGAGAAAGAGTTCCTTATGTTGTAACACAGCCGAGAGGGAATAACCAATGAGAGTCTTTATGTGTGTGTGTGTGTGTAGGTATGTGGTGTTTTTAGGAAATTGAAATTAAAAAACAAAATGGGACAATGCCACAGAAAAAAGGATGAGTGTGTATCTTATGATTGTGGGGAATGAATTGCGTATATTAATGGGTTTCTTAATAGAGTTTTTATTAAAGCAATCAAAGAGAGAAAAATTAGAATAATAATGAATTGTGTTTTTAATTTGATTATACCTAATTTAAGAAATAAACTGGAATTGCTGGAATAAATATTTTTTCGCAAGGAATGAATTAATAATAATAATAATAATAATAATAAATATAATAATAATATTAATAATAATAATTATAATAAAAATAATAATGGTAATAATAATAACAATAATAGTAATAATAATAATAATAATGATAATAATAAATATAATAATAATAATTATAATTATATTAACAATACTAATAATAGTAATCATAATAAAAATAATAATAATTTCACATATATGAAATGCAAATTTATATGAAATGCATGAAAATTAATATTTCCACCCTAACATTTATTTTTTGGTATAAAAAAAATACTTCATAATTAATTGCCACCTTACGTTGAAATGTTGCGTTTTCTCACAACAATGTCCGAGTGTAGGAATGACTTTACCATGTGTATCCAATGGATAAGACTGTGAATAAAAAATCTGAAATGGAAAAACGTGAAATTTGTCATCATATAACGACTTCAAGGTACCATTTCATTGATAAGAGTGAAAATAGGTAGGTACTTGTAGTGAAAATACTCCATGTAAGATCTCACAAAGGTGGGCAATTAAATATGCATTAGCTCTGCCTAATTGGGCATTTGACGCCGCCAAAAGGAAATTAGGTAGGTACCTGCATAGAATGTATGCGTTTGAGTATAGCCTTATTTACACCGAGCATGTTTTCATAGAACCCGTCATTCAGATTGACAATTCCTTGAAAGCTTTATAAAACGGGGTAAAGCCATTGAAATTCCAAAAAGTGTAAGAACTTACACCGCAACAGACTCAAAAGAGCTAAGGAGTTGCTTGGCTTGACCGAAAGTGGTGAACTGCCGAATTTAGTTTTCTCCGACGTTGAGAAAGCATTCATTGTCCAGCAGTTTGTAAACAAACAAAATGATCATCCGCTCGTGTTTACTTGCCAAAGAGGTCAGCTGAAAATGTGCACCTTCGGTTGGCCACCAGAACTGTGCGGCCATGGTGATGGTGTGGGCTGCCATAACAGCCAATGGTCGCTCTCCGCTCGTATTAATCGACCGTGGCTTCAGAATAAATGCCGAATATTATCGCGAAAATATTCTGGAGGGTGTATTAAAGCGTTGGGCACGCAAACATTTTGGCCACAGACCTTGGACATTCCAACAGGACTCAGCACGCGCCACCCAAGAATGGTTACAAAATGAGGTTCATCGCTTCATTTCCAGCGCACAATGGCCACCAAATCTCCAGATACCAATCCGTTGGAATATTGTGTCTGGAGTATTTTGGAAAGCAATGTTGGTACTAAAAAATACCAAAGTGTCGATCACCTCAAGCAAGCGCTTCGCCCGGAATGGGCCAAAATGCCGTAGAACAACATTCGGGCAGCGTGTAACGGTTTCATTGGCCGTTTGAAGGCCATAATTCGCGCCAAAGGTGACCAATTCGAACAAATCTAAACTTATTCTAAAATTTGATGCTATTTCCGACATTTTTTGCTTTCATTCAATAAAATTTAAAAAAAAAAAAACATGTAAAATTATGGTGTTTAACTTTGTTGCAGTTTTTTTTATCCAACCTTGAAGTTACAAATGTTTCAATCTGGTTTATGGATAACAGTGTCAATACAACTGTTCTCAAATTATTTGGTTATGTGGTGTATTCTTTATAACCTGTTTTTTTGTCATTAACTGTTTTGCAAAATATCACCAACAACAACAACAAAATACTGATATGGAATCTATAGATAGCGTGCGATGATGACGATTCGACAGAACAAAAAAAAACAAGAAAATACCCACCTAATAACAAAAACAATGCTATCCCATCAGCAAAACAAAGAAAAAGCAAGAGAACAACAAAAAATTACCGCAGTAATCATGTCCAACAACAACAATAACATATGCTTGGAGAAAATAAACGGTTTCAGATAAAAGAGTTGATTGGCGCCCCCCACCACTCCCCCATCAAATGCATTGCAGTGAGAGAGTGAGAGTCCAGGAAAATAAATACCCCAACAAAGAAAGATGACAAAGAGCAGGCCTTAAATTAGGGGCTCTAATTGATTTGGCAATTGTCAAATTACAGTTATTTCAGATCAAAATCATTTGAATTCTCATGGACGTGTGTGTTTGTGTAAAGATATGTGTGTCCATACCTGTTGTTTTGGGAGCATGCATACATTCATCCCAAGTACTTTGAGCCCTGTTGCTTAATTGGCTGACTCTCTTTCTCCCTCTCTCTCTGTCATTCCTGCCGCAAGAAAGGTGGTCGGTTGAGTTTGAAAATTTCTCCCTCTTTTTTAGTATTTCGCAAGACACCAACGGAGTAACACGATCGTTTATCAAGTGACTAATCGAGACATAAACGAGAAAAATAACACAAAGCACACGAACATAGAACAAAAAAAAAAAAAAACTAAATTGGTTTGACATTCAAGGTATTTTTGTGGAGTGGGATTTATTGTTTTCGAGAGAAAGAAATAAACAACACCTTGATGAAGTGGAATTGGGGAAAATCGGATAAAACCCATGACGACGCGGACACTTCGGATAATACAATGAGCAAGGCCTTGGTGAAGCAAGATCCTCGCACAAAGGTCAAGACAACTTCCGCTCAATCGGAAACCACCAATACCACCACACAAAATGCCACCATATTCAATAACAATGCCAAGACGGTCACATTTCAGACCACCAAACAAACGGTAACGTCCCGCCAAACGGCACGAGTAACCGAAATAACAACCCGACGCACACCCACCCCCCAAGAGCTGGAAGAAATGATGCGGCTGTTGGCAATGAATAAAAAAGCTGAGACCAAAACTTTCACCACAACTTCAACAACATCAGGTGGTGTTCCCCTACGACGTAACCGTCCAAGTAATCTGCCAGCCCTGCCCTCATCGTCTTCCACCTCACGCAACTCCATCAACAGTCTAAACAATAAAAGTACACCGAAATTCAAGAACAGCGCTGCTGCCTCACCGGTTTCACGTCTTATCTTTAGCTATGAGTCACATCAGGGTGGTGATGGCCCCAAAACACCAACAACTCCAACATTGGTGAAAACACAAACAACAACAGTGACAGAGAAAAATGGTCGCACCATAACCCAAAGGGTTGAGGAGCATCGCATTAAATTGGACCCCAAGTCGTTTAAGCTTTCCACACCCAACTCACCGCTGAGCCGGAATTACATGGGAGAGGATAGTTTTGTTGCCCGAGATGCCCAACTTTTTAAGTTGCCCGCCCTGCCGGCACCGTCGACGACATCTACATTTAGCAGTTCCTTTAATAAACCCCTCACCACAAGTAGTACAAGCAGCTATACCTCGCCGTATAGTAACAAGCAGTGGTCCGCCACGGCGGGATTGGGCAAGCCATCAACAACTACATTGTCCAATTTGAAATTCAGTAGCAGCAGTAAGCCAAGTTCCACAACAACCTCACTGACCTTTACAACAACCACCAAACCGATCTCATCCTACAGTAGCAGAGTTACAAGCAAACCAGGCAGCAGCATTGGCAGTAGTAGTCTTTCTAGCTCCAGCAGTAGTAAACCAGGTTCCCTGTTCAGTTCATGGAGTACACCAACCGCCATAACAACAAAAGCAGATGCCAAGCCTTTTCCAAAGGCAACAGCCACCACAACTTCCTCCTCTTTTCCATGGACTAACAACAGTAAGACTGCCACAACAACCAGCACTTTTAGCCCAACCTTAAACCCAAAACCTGTGACTTCAACTGCAATGGCGCCCAATGTAAAAACACCAAAAGAAACTGGTCCTCGCCTAAAACCCGGCTATGCCTACATCTTCAATAATGTCATCTTCGACAATCCCAATAACGAGGAACGCATTGGCAGCGCCGAAGATGTCAAGGCCTTGGTTCAAACATTCGAATTGTATAAAATGAAGGTGACGGTTATCGAGAACGCCAAAGTCGATAAAATTAAAAAGACTGTTGAAAAAAGTAAGTGCAATTTTTCGAGATATTGTAAAATTAGATTTGTAACAATTGTTGCAAGAGTACTGCAAGAGAGAGAGAGAGAGAGGAGAGAGAGAGACATTTTAACAGTTCTTTCACTGAGAGTTTGCAAACTCTTGCTGGACAAATTTCTTTTGAAAACACTTGTAACTCTTCTCCTTCCGGTGATGTACAGGGTGAAATGAAAAAACTGCAACAAAGTCTAACGCCAAAATTTTTACTATTTTTTTTTGAATTGTATTCAATTAAAGCAAAAAATGTCGGTAATAGCATCAAATTTTAGTTTCTTCGCTTGGCCGAAAGTGGTGTACTGCCGAATTTGGTTTTCTCCGACGATGAGAAAAAATTCGTTGTCCAGCAGTTTGTAAACAAACAAAATGATCGTGTTTACTTGCCAAAGATATCCGCTGAAAATGTGCACCTTCGTTTGGCCACCAGAACTCAACCACCAGCCATGGTGATGGTGTGGGCCGCCATAACAGCCGATGGTCGCTCTCCGCTCGTATTAATCGATTGTGGCATCAGTATAAATGCCGAATATTATCGCGAAAATATTCTGAAGGGTGTAATAAAGCCTTGGGCGCGCAAACATTTTGGCCGCAGACCTTGGAAATTTCAAAAGGACTCAGCACGCGCCACCCAAGAATGGTTACAAAATGACGTTCTTCGCTTCATTTCCAGCGCACAATGGCCACCAAAATATCCGTATACCAATCCGTTGGACTTTTGCGACTGGAGTATTTTGGAAAGCAAGGTTGGCACTAAAAAAATACCAAAGTGTCGATCACCTCAAACAAGAGCTTCGCCGTGAATGGGTCAAAATACCGCAGAGCAACATTCGGGCAGCGTGCGACGTTTTCATTGGCCGTTTGAAGGCCATAATTCGTGTCAAAGATGACCAATTCGAATAAATCTAAACTTATTCTAAAATTTGATGCTATTTCCGACATTTTTTGCTTTCATTCAAAAAAATTGAAAAAAAAAATTTAAAAATAATGGCGTTTGACTTTGTTGCATTTGTTTTTATTTCACCCTGTACTGAGAACCTCAAATTTTTGCTTGAAACATTTTTTGAGTAGTTTTTAATTGACCTAGTTCCGGAGCTCCTTTCAGTGAACCGTTCATATGAACAAGGTGTTACAACAGAAAATCCTGTCTTCCGCAGACAGTAAATTTTCTCGGGTTTTACAAAAAAATAATTAAAATTTACTGTAAAATTGTGCTTTTCATTCAATTTTCCCCATAAGCACTAAGCCCCCCACCCCTTTCACTTCTCTTTTTATATGGAGGGTATATTCATTGCGTTTGTAACTCCTCGAAATATTCATCATAGACCCTACAAAGTATATATATATATATATATATATATATATATATATATATATATATATATATATATATATATATATATATATATATATATATATATATATATATATATATATATATATATATATATATATATATATATATATATTCTTGATCAGCATAAAATTCTAAGTCGGTTTAGCGATGTCCGTCCGTCTGTGGAAATCACTCTAGCTTCCGAACAAATTAAAGTATATTGATAAAATTTTACTCAAATGTATTTTATGTCTGTAGTACTTTTGGTATTGAAAATGGGCCATGTAGGTCCACGTTTTGGTATAGCCCCCATATAACGGTACCTTCCGATATTCGGTATTTTGATGATTTAAGCGACATTTTTCACCGGAATTGTTTCAAATTTGGTAGTTGAAGTTTGAAATAGATACCACAGCCTATGATAGAAAATTGTCTGTGCAGGGCCACGTCTTCGTATAGCCGCCATATAACGGTACCTCCTGATATTCGGTATTTTGATAATTTTAGCGGCATTATTTACCGGAATTCTTTCAAATTTGGTATTTGAGGTTCGTAATGAATACTACAGGCTATGCCATAAAATTGTCTGTGCAGGTCCACGTCTTCCTACAGCCTTCATATAACGATACCTCCCGATATTCGATATTTCCATGATTTTAGCGGCATTATTTACCAGAATTCTTTCAAATTTGGTATTTGAGGTTCGTAATGGATACTACAGGCTATGCCATAAAATTGTCTGTGCAGGTCCACGTCTTCCTACAGCCTTCATATAACGATACCTCCCGATATTCGGTATTTTGATGGTTTTGGCGACATTATTTACCGGAATTGTTTCAAATTTGGTATTTAAAGTTCGTAATGGATACTACAGCCAACGACAGAAAATTGTCTGTATAGGTCCACGTCTTCGTATAGCCTCCCTATAACAGTACCTCCCGATATTCGGTATTTTAATGCTACATTATTCACCGATTTTTTTTTTTTTGTTTAGTTTCTCATTTGAATATTGTAACGGCTTATGACAAAAGTTACCTATGCAGATCCATGCCGTCGTATAGACCCTAATATAACAACTACATTCGGTATTTTTAAGAATGTTAACAGCATTTTTAACGGATTTTATTTTTTTCGAGAATTGCTAAATTCGTTCCAAATGGTAGAGGCTATTCCAAATTCGGTTCGGCCGAACTTACAGCCTTTTTTACTTGTTAACCCTTTAATTTGTATACCTATTTAAAAATAGAACATATTTACCTACCAACCCATCTACAGCAAAACAAACAGCGAACATTCTAATTATTTTCCTGGAATTAAACGACAACAACAACCATACACAAGTAGATTTTTAGCAAAACATATGATAACAAATTTTGATAAAACCCCTCAACAAATGAGACAGAGGGGATTTACACAAGAGATCGATAATGAGAGTCATTATGTCGCTGTGTTGTTGTCAAACAATTCAAACATTTTGTGAATGTGAGACAACCTATCAATTTGAGTATGGGGAGAGGGGTGTGTAGAGAGAGAGAGAGAGAGAAAGATAAATTATAAATGATTATTAAAATCCAGTTTTTAGAAGTAAAATTCGAATGCTTGCCATAAATTAAGGCAAAAAAAGCTTAGAAGCTGTCACAATTGACCAATTACAACAAAACATTTTTCTAATTATTCCGAATTTATTAATTATCCCTTTAGAGGGCTTCAATGTAAACATTTCCTAAAAAAACTAATCCTTTCTGATTTTTCGCCCCCCAGTTCAAACCAAAGACTTCAGCGAATATGCCTGCCTTGTTATTGTCATACTGAGTCATGGTAATCGCCACGAAGAAATCGCCGCCAAAGATGGCCATTATTCCATAGATGATCATGTCCTTTTTCCGATATTGCGAAACGCAACGCTGAATGATAAACCCAAAATGTTTTTCATACAAGCCTGTAAGGGTTCCATGCAGAGTATGGGATACTATACGGATGCCACAATGTTCTCACCGCCCGGCAGTGCCAATGAAATTCTGAAATGTTACAGTACATTTGAGGGTAAGTCAGGGTGAAGTTTTGAAAATTTTTCTTTCAAATGTAAATAATGCCATTATTTTTGTTTGTTTTGTTTTCCAGGATTTGTTTCGTATCGCACTGAGAAGGGCTCTATATTCATACAAAGTTTGTGTAATAATCTGAAACTCTTTGGCGCAACGAAAAATATCAAAGATATTATGGAAACGGTGACGTTACTTGTCAAAAAACAATCAATGTAAGTATTTTCTTAGTGACAGGACATGAAAAAAAGGGATCGGCAGAGAGTGATTCGGTATTGCCGTCTGCACTTAAAAAAGACTTAGATATACATTTTTATACCCTCCACCATGACTCATCGAAATAATAACGTTAGGCCTAACAAAGTATATATTCTTGATCAGCATAAAATTCTAAGACATTTTAACCCTGTCCATCCGTCCGCCCGTCTGTGGAAATCACTCTAGCTTCCGAACGAAATTAGATAGGTTGGTAAAATTTTGCTGAAATATATATTATGTCTGCAGGACTTTTGGTATTAAAAATGGGTCATGTAAGTCCACGTTTTGGTGTAGCCGCCATATAATGGTACCTCCCTATTTTCGGTATTTTGATGATATTAGCCACATCATTCACCGAAATTGTTTCAAATTTGGTATTTAAGGTTCGTAATTGATATAACAGCCTATGACAGAAAATTGTTCGTGCATGTCCACGACTTCATATGGCCCTCCCTTGTAATTGTACCTCCCTATTTTCGGTATTTTGGTGATTTAAGCGACATAATCCACAGGAATTGTTTAAAATTTGGTATTTGAAGTTCGTAATGGATACTACAGCCTATGACAGAAAATTGTCTTCGCAGGTTCACGCCTTCGTATAGCCCCCATATAATGGTGCCTCTATATATTCGGTATTTTGGCGATTTTTAGCGACATTATTCAACGGAATTGCGTCAAATTTGGTATTTGAAGTTCGTAATGAATATAAAAGCCTATGCCAGAAAATTGTTTGTGCAGGTCCACGACATCGTTTAGCCTCCATATATTTGTACCTCCCTATTTTCGGTATTTTACACATTATTCATCGGATTTGTTTCAAATTTCGTATTTAAAGTTCGTAATGGATGTAACAGTCTATAGCAGAAAATTGTCTGTGCAGGTTCACGCCTTCGTATAGCCTCCATATAATGGCACCTCTATATATTCGGTATTTTGGCGATTTTTAGCGACATTATTCACCGGAACTTTTTCAAATTTGGTATTGAAAGTTCGTAATGGTTACTTATCCAGCACCAAGTCTTCGCATAGCCCACATATTAAGGTTTTCATTTGAGCGGTATTTTTCGACGGATTATTTTTTTTTTTCTAAAAAAATTTAAGTTCTTTCCGAATGGTGGTGGGTATAAAAAGCTCGAACCAACCAAACGAAAAAAACGTTTAGTAAAAAAAAGGCACCTGACTTTGTAAATTTCCCCCAAAAAGGACAATTTAGTAATTATCACTTGTCAAAGAAAGTAAACTGTGGCAACACTCACAACGATTTTATTTTAACGGTATTTTCTTGGTAGATGAATACAGGTAGACACATCGACACAGCTGCTGGGAAAATTAACTCTCAAACCAATTTTTAAAAAAATGCATGTCATCACAACCTCCGATTGACGTCGTATAGGACTAAGTATACAAATTTACTTATTTTTGAAAAAAAAATTAAAAAATATTGACATATCAATGTTCCCATGCCTTAAACTACGTTTGCCTACAAAATTTCTACCCGAATTAATTGACCAAACACAATGAATTTGATAAACAAAAACAACTGCATGGATGTCACATGGAATCTATATATTCTCTTTTAAAGCTTAAAATTTAGTCTTTAGTATTTGGAGTGGAAATTTTCCTTAAAGATTCCACCACCGAGTTGTATTTTTCTTCTTTTGTATAATGTTTATGAATATTAATAAAAATAACTATCTTCTCTTCTTTCGCATTCTAGGAACAAACAAATTCCAGCCTATACCAGTACTTTGACGAAGCCCTTTGTTTTTGGAGACTATGTTAAATGGGCGAAATAAATCCGAAAGACTTTTTTCATAGGCCATGAAAACGAAAATGGTCATAGAGAATTGAAATGCTCATGCTGCTACTGCCTTTGGACAAGATGAAGAATTCATCCACAAATACATCTGAATTCGCAAAAATGCTGTAACTGCATTTGCAAATTATTTAACCTTGTGGCAGGACAAATGAAAATGCTGGCAACTTCCTCCTTCCAGAAAGCAGCTATTTTTAATATTTGTAAATTATAATTATTCTTAAAACAAAATTTTGTGATTTATTATTAATAACCCATAAATTAATTTTTTTTAAATAAAAAACGTTATTTTTGCTTCAAAAATAAATATCCATTCTTTTCTTTGGGCATTTTGACAACACATTTTCCCCCCATTTGAATTGATCAATGTGGCATCCCCAATTAGCTGTGCTAAACCAACAGCTCTCTGTAAAGTAACATTAAGAGAATATAATGTCAACAGAGAGCCAACATAACTGTTCGCTAACATTTGACAATCTGTTGACCATTTGTTTTGGCCGGCGGGTGTGTGTGTTGTTTATTTGTTTGCATTAGATGTGCATTTGAACATTGGGGTGTATTAATTATTTTTGCAGATTTTAATTAATTAATTGAAAATATCAATTAATTTAATAAAAGTATAAAAGCATATTATATATTAAGCGTACAGTAAACAAAAATAAATCGGAAAAGAAGTAAAAAAAAATCAGAAACTAATTGGGATCGATTAAAAAGTATTTTTATACCCCCACCTTGAAAAGTAGGGTATATTAACTTTGTCATTCCGTTTGTAACATCCCTAAATATTGTCGTAAATATAAGGAGGTAAGTACAAAAGCAGCTTGAAGTCTTCGCATGACATATTTTGTGATATATCATAAAAGGGTTGCCAGATCCGCATTTACAATTGGACATTTATATGCCTAGCCATGATGCCAAGCTGTTTATGCATCCTTACCTTTACATTTTCATTGAAAAGTTTTAAGCCATTTTTATTTTAAGTTTAAAAATGTTTACTGCTGTAAATTTTAAATCTCACAAAATCGCTAGATCCCAATGTCCAACTGCTGTGCATCCAGCAATACATTGGCAATAGAGAGAGCGAATGAAAGAAAACCTTGTTGTTAGCCCATACGAAACGGCTGATTGCATTTCTTTATGGATAAGCTGGCACTTCAGTATGCGGCGGACTTTAAAATAAAGCGATAAGACAGACACGGAATCGAACAAAAGAATTTCTTTTGCAAATAATAAAATATAGTATCGTTAAACAATTGAAATTAACAAAAAACAATATATTCGATAATAATAACATTAAGTGGAAATAGTATTCGAAGAGAAATACTTACAAAAAAAATGAAAACTATCCGACTTAGTATTAACCACGGAAATAACATTTTTTGCACCTTACATGCACCTTGCATGATGCAAATATGAAATAAAATAATGTAATTTTTGAAAATACAGTAGAACATCTTTATGCGGAACATCATCACAATACAAAGAGGGTAGTTACTAGATCACTGCTGATTTATAAAAACTTGTTTGGTGTAAATAAGACCTTAGCTGTCAAAAAATATTATTAAGCATAGAATCGCAGGGCAAAAGGTAAAAAAATCAGGTATTAAGATCTGATCTGAGATTGAAAATCTATTTAACTCTTTTTTTTTTAAAACATGTTCCGTTTATATAAGGCAATAATTTAAATAATTTCAAGCCCCAGTTGGAACACATCATACGTTTGCATCCCGAGCATGGCAGAAGAATACAGGTAGATGCATCAAAGCTTGGGAGCATAATATGTCAAAAAAAATTCAATATTTTTTCAAATATAAGTAGATGTTTATACATTTTCTTATACTATGTCATTCGGAGGCTATTATAATTCGCGATTTTCAACAATTTTTATAAATTTAAATAATTTTTCATTCAACATTTTCAATTCCAAAATTGGTTTGACAGTTCATTGTCCCAACGGCTGTGTCGACGCGTCTATTCTTCTACCATGGATATTCTCAACGATTAAAAAGTGTTGCCCATTTATTTTGCAAAACAGCTGTTTTCTTGCTGGAATTTACTGAATGTCGCTTGTATTTACAATATATTTGTGCGCGAGAGAGAAATTTTTCTCAGTGCAAGTTTATGAGCAAATTTTTATTAAGAAATTAATTTTCACACAAAATAAACTTCCCTTTGCAACGAATCCCAATTGGCTTTTCCCACAAAAAGCTCATATTAACATGGTTTGACTGGTATCTCCAATCATTCTGAGTAATCGGGACATAACATAACATATGTATGTAAATATTTAGCAGTCTGTCGTTGTTCTCTTGCCTAGTTTCCCACGGTGCCAAAATTGTTTGGTTATTTTTAAAACACCGATTAAAAATAGATTTGTGCGAACAAATGGAAAAATAAATTGCAAATATATTATTTTTTTTAATTTAAAATGCGGTACAGCTTAACCTTAAGTGCATTATTAAAAAAAAAAACAATAATGTTTGTTTGTTTTTATTATAATCGACATTAGAATGAATGTTTCATGTCTAATTGGCGCTACATCACCATCATCATCAATATTGTTTTAATTGAAATGCCAGCACGCAATTAATTAATTCTTTTTTTTCAATTGTGAAGAAAGTTTATCTCTTCTTTGGGAGAGAAGGGAATTCCCAACAGAAGAGAATTCCATGGAAAAATGATATTTATAAATATTTAAACATGGTAGAAGAATATAGGTGAGATGCATCAACGCTTTCGAACAATGATATGTCAAAACTTTAAAATTGTTTTGACAAAAAAAAGTAGATATTTATATATTTTTTTATACGATGCAAATCTCAGGTTGTTACAATATGCATTTCTCAACAATTTTTACAAATTTAAATTATTTTTCATTCAACATTTTCGATTCCAAAACAGCTTTGACAGTTCATTGTCCAGCAGCTGCGTCGATGCGTCTACCTACATTCTTCTACCATGGGTTTCACTATACGTATCTGTAAATGAATCAAATATTACCGAACAAGTTTTTTTTGTTATAACTTGTACAAATGATTATTACTATTATTATTTTCTTTTAATTTGTTTATTTTTATTCATTTATTTTTAATTTTTTTATTATTTCTATTTTATTTATTTATTATATTCTTTTTTATTTTATTTATTTATTTTTTTATTATCGTACACACCTATTGTTTTCTTATTAAAAATCTTTTGTATGGCATTTCCCAACAATTAACAGAGAAAAACCGCGCCAATTGACATCTCTAAACTGTACATAGACAAATCAAATATCCATCTCTGAAAATTCTCTTCTTAGTGCAATTTTCTCGCTCTCCCAGATAATCATCTTCCCCCAAAACACAACTCACCCCATTGTGACAGATGTAAATAAGAAGAAAAAAACATTGATCTAATTGGCGCGAATCAGAGAGCTAATGACACCGTTGGGAGAAGAGTTTCTCAAGTTGTTCATACGTTTCTAATATTAATCATACGTCATGGTAGCTATTTGTTATTGAGCATTTAATGGCTGTTTAGACGTGGCGGCGGCGACGGCGTCGGTGGCATCAAACGGAAAGGTATGACACGACACCTAAACTACAACGAGAGTGAGTGTAAAACCGAAAAATCATTCAACAATTAAATTTCCCCCAGATCGGTTGTTCACTTTGGAGACGCATCTCAATTTAGATAGAAATAAAAATACACATTTTTTAAATATAGATACGTATCTTTTGTGTTTTGCTTTGTTTCTATTATTGCCTGGCATTTCCACTAATAAATGGATACGAAACCGTTATTAAAATAATTAAATATCAAATAAAAGTGATAAGAACACCAGGTTATAAAGTGTTAAGTGGCGAATTAAAATGTCAATAGAGACTTGTGAACGTTGGAGCAGATTAAATCCGCAATCGTGAGAATTTAAACGGTGTCTGGGAGTTGGGTTTGTCTGGCACACAGGAAATCCTCATCGGCATCATGGATTTTGATCAAGTTTTGGAGGAAATTGGCGAATTTGGTCGTTATCAAAAAACCAATTATTTGTTGATTTGTTTGCCGGTCATGTTTGCAGCAGCCAATAGTCTTTCGTATGTTTTTACAGCTGGTACACCGGCATACAGGTAAGTGTTTTTTATCCTCTTATGAAGATGAAAACGATGAAAAAAATATTTTTTTAATGATCATTTTATGTAAAAGAATACGAAAAACTAATTTTAAAATTTGAAAAAAAAACACCAATATTTCACATTTGTTTTTAATGTTTTTTTATCTTTTGTTTCTTCAAGATGCCTCATACCAGAATGCGAAAATGCAAGCGACCATTTGGAGTTATTTCCCAATTGGATACAGAATGCAACACCGGGTGATTTCGATAAAAATGGCGTTTTTACACCAAAAACCTGTTATCGTTATCGTGTTAATGAAACATTTATTGGATCACAGCAGCCGCCACAACATCATCAATCCTGTCCTGCTCAACTATTTGAAAAGTCCGAACAACGTTGTAACTCCTGGGTTTTTGATAGCGAGGAAAATACCATTGTTCAAGAGGTGAGTACGAAAATGCCGGAAATTAAAACATTAGGTGTTTACGATAGCCCAAAAATTTAAAAAAAAATGTTCGATAAACCAAAAGTCGAGTTAATGCGAGCGAGTGAAGAGAGCAATTTTGACAGATTACTGAGAGTTTGTAAATTTTAACTGGGAAAATTTTCTCGGCAAATATAATCCTCAAAAAACAAATGTTTAATTATTTAAATTGCAGTTTCGATTCGATTTTCTGAAAATTTACGGCAGAGATACAGCCCATCTTCACACCCGACCTTGGGTTAATAAAAAATATTACGATGTGTGCAATTTGAAGAGAAGCGGATGCTTATTTCGGCTTTTATGATCGTTTTGGTAATTCAAAATGTTGACCCTTTGGGGGGGGGAGGTACCCGAAGGAATGGTCCGATCTCTACCATCTTCATAACAGATCTTGTGTTGATCCAAATATTGAGATGCGCCAAGTCTAAGTGGAATCGTATATTAATTTCCATCCAGACAGACGGTCGGACGGACGGACATCGCTAGATCGACTCCAAATATCCTGAAACGGATTTCGTCCAAAGAGATCTAGGGTCTAAAACCGTTATTTCGACTAGCCACGTTTTGACCGTATCAAATGATACATACCCTCTCTAGCCATATGGCTGAGGGTATACAAATATTGACTTGAAACCCCCAAAAAAAATATTTTCGAATCCGATCCAAAGATCCGATCTCTTCCCCTTTGATTCAATTTTAACTATTAACTCTCTGTAAAACATTGCAAATTTAAAATTTTTCTGCCAAACCCTAATCATTTTTAACAGCTGGAAAAATATCTAATGTTAACGACTTTGAATTCGTCAGCGGAACAAATTATTTGTTTAAAATCAGACACAGTTCATGTTCGAATAGAATAAATAAAAATAATATTTACATATCATTAATGAGCTATGGCAAATTTTTCGAACTAATGTTTGGGAATCAAGCCAGCAATTAGCCAGAGTTTTTAGCAATTATTAGGTGTGTCTGGTTACCCTAAAATTTGTAACAAATTGTTACTGTCTGTTAACACAAAAGATCTGCCAATGAGAGCGATTTGAGAGAACAATTTTGACAGTTCATTCACTGAGGGTTTGCAAATTCTTGCTGGACAAATTTCTTTTTGCAATTGCTTGCAACTCTTCTTCTTCTCCTTACGGTGATGTATATTTGGGCAAGAAATGTTAAAATATACTTTTTTTTTGAAAAACTCAAGCACAATTGTTTTGTTTTTATATTCATTTTTAATTTTTGTGTTCTTAATTTCTTTTATTTGCGGATAAATCAGTTTTGATAAATCAGTTTTTGCGAGGATTCCCTCTGTTTACTTTTCTCAGTTTTCTTGCAAAAGAGAATAAAACTACATCACTCTCTCAAAAAAGAAGTGCTGGACAATTCCCGCAGAGAAAGCAACCAGACATAACTATTTACAGAAAACACAGTATTGAACCTTATTGGATTGAAATTCCCTGAAATGCCGTTAAAGCCAATCATTTTTTAATAATTCAAAAATCTATTGTGAATTCGTTCGGTTTGAATTTAACAGAATTAAATGTTTAATACACTTTCTTTTTCTTTCAGTGGGGATTAACTTGCAAAGAGAATGCGTGGAAATTGGCTTTTGTGGGAACCATGCATTTTGCGGGATTGGTTTGTGGTACAGCTATGTCGGGATATTTTGCCGATCGGTAAGTCTATAAAAATTTCAAATTTCTTTAAAGAAAATATCCAGTTTGTGCCTTTAAGTTTTAACCTTTTGTTTGTAATTTTGATCAAATTCCCTCCTTGCCTTTCAGCTTTGGCCGCAAAATCATTTTCATAATATGCATTATGTTCATGGCTGTGACAGGCATTGCCCAGGGCTTGGCATGGGATTACAACAGTTTTCTGGTATTTGCCTTTCTTAATGCCGTTGGAACGTCCGGTGTCTATCCGTTGGCCTTTATCATTGGCGTTGAAATGGTTGGACCGCGTAAACGTGAAATGTCCTCAATTGTCCTCAACTATTTCTATGCGGTGGGTGAGGCTTTAGTTGGTTTGGCAGCTTGGCTTCTACACGACTGGCAATTATTGCAATATGCCTTGTCGGTGCCACCTCTATTCTTTGTGGCCTATTATTGGTTTGTTCCCGAATCGGTGAGATGGCTTATTGCCCGTAATAAGCGAGAAAGTGCTGGAAAGATAATACGCAAAGCAGCCGAGGTTAATAAAAAGGAATTGTCCATGGCATTGTTGGATAATTTCAAATCAAACTCACCTTTGGAGCCAACGAAATGCTGTGATCAGGAAATGGATAGCAAAGAGAGTTTGACGGGTGATAATACATCCGAAATATGGTTGTCAGTCAAGGAGGTCTTCAAATCGAAAACATTGGTGGGACGTTATACAATTATGTTGTACATTTGGTTAGTATGTAGAATCTGCATAATTTCTCCTTAATTGATTCTACCTTTTTTCCATATTTTTCATTCTTCCAGGGCCATAAATGCGGTGGTGTACTATGGTCTCTCTTTGAATTCCACAAATCTTAGCGGCAATAAATACTTAAATTTCGCCTTGGTCTGTCTTGTGGAGATTCCTGGCTATTCCATGGCCTGGGTAAGTGGGAGGACATGTCATTGCAACATTATTTTCTAAATCTTTGTATCTTTCAGTTCTCTTTGCGCAAATTTGGACGTCGTTTCTCATTATCGGGGTCATTGTTTCTCTGTGCTGTGACCTGTGTGGCCGGGGGTTATATAACACAAGGTAACTTTCCCTGTCGATTGGAGATTTTTTTTCAAATATTGTTTTTAATGTTGAAATATCAAAATACAACAACCTCACTACCTACGGGGTAAGATGAAAAAACTGCAACCAACTTCAGACTGCTGCCATTTTTAAGCCTCTCGTCCGACAGCTCTTAAAATTATTCCAGTGACAGCTCATTATATTGTTTATAAGCGTACAAAAACATTTCGGTGAGAATTTTCCAGAAAAAAGTTATTCGTAATGGAATTCAAGCGGGATAGTGTGATTTCTTTATATTTGGCTGGAAATCGACAAATGGCTATCGTTAGAGCAGTCAAGCATTTAAATTTGAATAAATCTTTTGTGTCTCGTATCAGCGCTCGTTACCCTGATACTGGTAGAGTAGCCCGACGTCAAGAAAGTGGACGGAAGACACAACAGCAACATTAGCAAAAATGGTGCGAAAAGTAAAAAAAAGCGAACCGCGTCGCTGTGGCCAAAAAATGGCTCGTGAGCTGAACACATCGCAATATTCCATTCGGCAAATATTGAAAAATGAGCTCGGGGTAAATTCCATTGATATTCCAAAAAGTGCAAGAACTTTCATCGCAACAGAAAGAAAATAGGCTCAAAAGAGTTAAAGAGTTGCTTCGTTTGGCCGAAAGTGGTGAACTGCCGAATTTGGTTTTCTTCGTTGTCCAGCAATTTGTAAACAAACAAAATGATCGTGTTTACTTGCCAAAGAGGTCAGGTTAGCTAAAAATGTGCACGTTAGGTTGGCCATCAGAACTCAAACGTCGGCCATGGTGATGGTTTGGGCCGCCTTAACAGCCGATGGTCGCTCTCCGCTCGTATTTATCGACCATGGCATCAGAATAAATGCCAAAGATTATCGCGAAAATATTTTGGAGGGTGTATTAAAGCCTTGGACATGCAAACATTTTGGCCGCAGAAGGTCTGCGAGCGTGGCATCAGAATAAATGCCGAATATTATCGTGAAAATATTCTGGAGGGTGTATTAAAGCCTTGGGTACGCAAACATTTTGACCGCAGAAGGTCCAACAAGACTCAGCACGCGCCACCAAAGAATGGTTACAAAATGAGGTTCCTCGCTTTATTTCCAAAAACTTCGGATACCAGTTCGTTGGACTATTGTTTCTAAAGTATTTTGGAAAGCAAGCTTGGCACTAGAAAACATCAAAGTGTCAATCACCTCAAGCAAGCGCTTCGCCGGGAATGGGCCAAAATACTGCAGAGCAACATTCGGAGAGCCTGTGAAGATTTCATTGGCCGCTTGAAGGACATAATCCGTGCCAAAGATAAACAATTCGAACAAATCTAAACTTATTCTAAAATTTGATGCTATTTCCGACATTTTTTGCTTTAATTCAATAAAATTAAAAAAAAATGTAAAAATTATGGCGTTTGACTTTGTTGCAGTTTTTTTTATCTCACCCTGTATGTTATATTAGCACTTATTCGAATTGTATTAATTTTTAAATATTTCATATATTTCGCCTTTTTCCTTAAAAAAATTCTAATGCCAAGCACAGTTCAAAAAGACATGGAAGAACGTAAACTTTATATACATACCCATCATTTTACACATACACTTTATTATAATTATCATTACATCTACAATTTTAGGTTCCACCTGGGCCATCGTTAGCCTATTTCTTATTGGAAAACTGGGCATAACATCATCGTTTGCTGTTGTCTATGCCTATACGGCGGAAATGATGCCAACGGTAAGGATAATATGAAATAATATAATTTCGATATTAAACTTTTTAATATTTCTCTCTCTCAGGTCATTCGCAGTGGTGGCGTAGGAGTCATGTCAACATTTGCCCGTTTCGGAGCCATGCTGGCACCATTTGTGCCTCTATTGGTAAGTTGTATTTGGAATAATTTCTGTTTTCCAATAACCAGGCGTCGTCTGTTTCAGGGTACCTATTACGAAGCCTTGCCTTTGTTGCTGTTCGGTGGCGCCTCACTGACAGCTGGTTTGTTGGGTTTACTCTTGCCCGAAACATTCCAAAAGAAATTACCAGATACGGTATGACCTCAAACCTCAACAACTGTTTTTGGTAATGCCAGCCAAGAATTGAAAAAATATTTCCTTTGTCTTGCAGGTTGCTGAAGCAAAACAGCTGGGAAAATCCAAGCCAAAGCATTCGAACGATGATTCTTCATTGCCACCAACTGCTGCCACAAATGGCACCAATACAAATAATAATATGGAATCATCGATAACATAAAATTAATTAATTTTTAATATTTTATATAGGAAAGTAGTTCTACAAAGATAAAACAAGAATATTACAGGACAAAAATTATTTTATAGTTGTAGTTTTTAGTTATAATTTTTAATTTTTATATTTATATATATATAGCAATATTGTGCACAAATAAATGGGTGTTATTTTAAAAAGAAAATAATATTGCAATAAAAATGCTTATGACCTAAATTTATTCACATTTAAATGCTGGAGTGCTCTTACGATAGCCAACCAAATATAAAGAAATCACACTATCACGCTTGAATTTTATCACGAATAACCTCTTTTTTCTGGAAAATTCTCAGCAAAATGCTTTTGTACACTTGTAAACAATATAATGAGCTGTCACTGGAATATTTTTAATATCTGTAGTCTGAAGGTGGTTGCAGTTTTTTCATCTCACCCTGTATACATTTTTGAGAAATGTTTGAAAACTCCTTTAGCGATCTAAATTTGATGACTTACTTTTGGATCCAAATCCAATTCATTAGGTTTTTTTTATTTAAATTTACATAGACCTATTTCAGAACAATCTTCCATGCAGCTATCATTGTTAAAAAAAGAAACAAAAATTCCAACCAAAAAAATAAATTGATGACTTACTTTTGAATCCAAATACAATTCATTAGGTTTTTTTTATTAAAATTTACATAGACCTATTTCAGAACAATCTTCCATGCAGATCAGCTACCATTGTTAAAAAAAGAAAAAAAAATTCCAACCAAAAAAATACCAACAACATACAAATTTAATTAGGATATTAGGACGTGGTTCTTTATACTCTGCATACTTTATGTGGTCTTGTTTTTTCCAGCTAAGATTTTGATATTCCCGTGTTGCGGGCCGTTTCAAAAACCAAGTCCGCCCCTGCACTCTAAAAAAAAAATCGGCGTGGAAAGGCCCTAGGGCGAGACCGTTCGCGCCTACGTGGCGGTCTCCAATCCACGGTTTAACTCTAGTTCCCAATTGTCAATAAAGTTGAGGGGGCTAAAGAGAGCTAGGGACGAGTTGGGGGGTATGTTATTGGCACTCTTCGCGGGTAACCATTAAACAATGGTTAGCCATGCCCAGAATTAGTATATTCGTTTGTTTTTGTGTTGTTAGTGGAATTAGTGGCAGTTTCTACCGGAGAGGGAATATATTTTGTAACGGGGACAGCGCCCTCGAATGTTGATATGGCTCATGCGGAGGAAGATGGGCGAACATTAACACGCCTTGTGTTGGCTGGGAATAACTTTTACCACTGGTTATTTGCAGCCACAGAGGTAGTTATGTCTCACATGGTCCTCCGCACTTGGGTTGAGCCACCTAAAAAGAAGAAAAAGCAAATTAATAAATCGAAGAAATTGAAATAGATAATAAATAGAAAAAATGAAATCAGTTGATACAAAGAATACCACCGCCAGCTCTGTCAAGTAAGGTTCTTCGATGTTGCTTTTTATTCTTATTCGTGACATTGACAGATAAATGAAGTCGCGTTGCCAACACAGGGAAATGAAGGTGCTACCAAGTACCTATTTTCTGACTTGCTCTAGGGAGACGTTATTACCTGCACGGTGGGGGTTCTCTTAAGTTCAGGAAAATCAGCACTCTCAGAATTCAGAAATTCCGGGAGGGAGACCTCGGAATACCCCGCGCTAGTAGAAAAAGACAAATCTATGAAGATGAAAGAAGACAAAAATAGCTTTTATGTAAAATGTCGGATCGTGGAAAGCTACCTAGGGTCTCTCGAAAGTTATAAATGAGGGTACTAGCAGAGAAAAGACAGTTAATTTGGTGGTGCTGAGTGCAAGTAGTAAGGAAATCAAGAAAGAGCTTTTAATTTCTAAAAAGAAAAGTGTATTTTAAAGAAAAAGAAATAAAGAAATATCTAAATGTTTTGGATTTCCCTTGTTGCGAAGGTAATAAAATTATTAAGATTATTACGGTTGCGAAAAAAAAATAAATCCGTGCTTTATAAAATAGGTTTGTGTGGTGAGAGTGTCTGGAGAATTTTTATAAGCTATACACCAAGTTACTGATTTATGTGACCAGTGAATAAATGAACAGGTAAAAGTAGAGGTTAGATATGTCATGGTTTAATATTAACGATTGCCTTATTGGCCAGGTAGATCAGGAACTTATTCGCTGTGTTTTGAGAATTGGTTTCAGCGGTATCTAGTGAACAATAGACATACTAGAAGGCGTTGCAAAATATCCAAGGCAAAAGACAGTATTACCTCCAGATAAAGCTATATAACAGTTGTACTCCAGTGACATCTATGGGGTGTGGAGATTTGTCGTAGATAGATCTCTCCCCATCAACCAAGCTCAGCACCTAAGGCAAATTGACCGAGTGCCCAACACAGTGGCTGGAAATTGCAATCCGAACAAACATCGTTAATTTGGTAACAAATAAATTCTGCTCTAAAGGAGCTGTAAATCGTCGCCTCGCTCCTTCTGAAATATCGAGATCTCTTCTCAGCAAGTTCAACTTGCCTTCCGGCCTGATGGTTAGGAGAAAGGATGGTGACAACGTTTTATACTGTTTGTATTTAAGTATTTTTTTATTTTATTATTAATTTTTATTTCCATTTTTTTATTATTTATTTCCATTTTTTTATTATTTATTTCCATTTTTAGTTTTATATTTTATATAAGTGTGTATACGTCGACTAAATGTTTATCTGTTATTCTGTCTAAAATTTACCCGTGTAAGCGACATTCTCGAAGTTATTTTTTTTGTTAGCAATAGTGTTGTCCGAACGCCGACTTTAAAGAGCTCTTTCAGTAGACGTTAGTGAGGACTGGAAATTCAGTTATATAATTAGATCATAATTAACTCTTTGCGGGTGTCGTTGTGAAGGCTAAATATCTGACGGTTCCACTTTGAAGACATTTTGTTGGTATGCTCATTTGGTCAAAAGGCCGCTCGATTTTAGTTGGATAAAAATTCCTTTTTTTTAATTTATTCAATTTGTTTATCTGATTTATTGTTTTTATTTATAACGATATTCATAAACCTTAAACTCCAAAATTCTAAACAAATAATTCTAAGATATATTTTTTTGGTATTTGCTCATTTTTATTATAGGAAAATTTTTATATTTGCATTTAGTTGTTTGATGATCAATTTGTTTAGCTGTGTTAGTTTTAGTTTAATTTAGAATAAATATTATGTGAAAAATTGAGACGAACGAAAAATATGGTATGCTAAACTAATTGTTGGAGGAAACGACAGGTGAGGTAAGTGATGTGATGGGGCGGTAATTGGGGTCACTAAAACGTTGAAAAGGGATAAAGTGATCATGGATGGGAGGGCAGGAAACGGGCTATCAGACTAAGGATGCGGTGATACATCTAGAAAAGTAGTTAGTTATTATTCTGCATTTAAAATTACTGTCACATACCGGAAACTATGGGTATGGGTTGGGAACACACCCTAGAGTATGACCGAGTTAGCCGCTGTCCTATAAGGACCATTACACCCTTAGTTTACAATAGGTTCCTGTGACATTATGGCGCCCAAGGAAAAATCGAAATTTGTTTACGTTAGTGTATGTCATCGAAACACTGAGTAATAGACCAATAGAGATATGCAATAGACCAACATTTCTAGCCAAGATTTTAGCATACAGAAAGGTTTTCATATCCGTTCTGGACAAGAGCTAGAATGAAGTATGAGGCAAACCTAATGAAAAGCTAAAAGTCGGGTGAATGAAATGAATAATTCAAATCGGAACATGATTTGACCTACAGTGCAGGATTTTGCATAGGGTAGTAGCAGATTGTGATTCGTATTATGAAGTGTTAGTATCAGCCTGAAACTCGCCTGTATGATCCAAATCAATATGCATGATATCCTCTCTACATATTATATTAGGGGTTAGTAGTATCAAACAATATTGATTTGAAAATGATAGGGTCGTAAAGACGGCATATCTAGTCATATGGCGAAATGTGATAATCAATCATATTGAATTAGAAATGTATTAATGTATCACCGAATAAGCAAATCCTTTTTTAATGCCACGTTTGAAAATACCGCACACATCACTCCTCGTCAGTTAATTCCTCCGAGACGAAAAAAAAAAAAAAAAAAAAAAAAACAAAAAAACAAAACAAAACCATAAACACATAGGAAAAATCCTTTTAATTTGAAATTTAGACCTTTGAACAGATTTGGTAAAATTTCACTATTTTGCGTATTTTGTTATGAGTAGAGAAACTCGATCCCAGGTAAAAAGTAGGAAACGGGATAGACCAGTACTTTTTGATTTGAACAGATCAGTGGCAATAGAAACCAAGAAGAAAAAGGATTTTGTAAATCCTGTCATGGCCGAATCCAATCCAAATAATGAAGGTTCCATTAGGGATCTCTCACAAACTATTAATGTCAGTTCTCCAGTCACGAACTCCTTAGGTCCCGTGTTTCTACAAGGACAGGCAGCAGAAGCACATCCGACTATTGAACCGACAGTCCGCGACAATGTTTTGGGTAACCGCCATCTGGAGAGTAAGATACAAAACCTAAAAGGAGAAATGGAGCAGATAAAAAAATCCATATTAGAGTTGACAAAATCTATTAAGGAAAAAGATATGCGTGCCCCAAATATAAGAGATCCAAGTGAAGAACCCAGAGTTCCGACTAATACTGAAGTAGTAAGGACTATGACTAAAGAAAATAATGGTATATCGGAAAATAATTCTTCAGGAACTAATACGACTAATGCGTCATTAAATCCATTGATGAGACGGGAATGCGTCCAAAATAGCCAATCGGTACCATTTGACCCGAGGAATAATCTTAGGATCAGCAGGTTAGGTATAAGATTCGATGGTAGCTCGTCGGGTCTGTGTGTAGAAGAGTTCGTCTATCGCCTTGAGTACTTTCAAAAACAATACGGAATACCTTGGTCAGAAATAATAAGAGATTTCCCTTTATTATTAACCGGAAGAGCCGAGTCGTGGTATTGGCTTTTCCAGAAAACCAACCGATTCCATGATTGGGAAGAGCTTAAATACAACCTTTTGAGTCAGTACCAATCATCAAAATCTAATTTTGAGAGAATCACCGAACTGGTCCAACGTAGACAACAGCCAAATGAGACAATTGATGAGTTCTTTCACGTTATGGGTCAAATGAGGGCCAAGTTGGTCCAGCCATTATCAGAATATGATATGATAAAAATAATGAAAAAAAAATATTAAGGACAGTGTAGCCAGAATAGTGTACCCCATACCTGTTTCATCAGTAGAACAGCTCCGTATAGAGAGTAACGAGGCAGAAAAACAGTTTTTAAAGCGAGAACCTAGGCCCTTTATTCCACCCTCCCGTACGATAAGGCAAGTAAACGAAATTGATGTTGACGGTAGAGTTCATGCATCTGAAGGGTTGTATGACCAAACGGGTGAAGATTTAGCAGCTATTCAAGTCACCAGGGCTGTAAACTCAAACCTGACCTGCTGGAACTGTCAAAAACAAGGACATACTTTCAGGGATTGTGATGTGACCAGTAGGGCACTTTTTTGCTATAAATGCGGAAATCCCGGAACCACTACTCCCAAGTGTAATATATGCCAGCAGTTAAACCGGAACAGGGGCGTGGAAAGCATAGGGGGACCACGTCCAACTGCAAACCCCCAGTAATTATTCAAAATAAGACCAGAATAATTAACAATCCAAATTTGGAGAGTATAACTGGCAAATTTAAACCGGAAATGCGGCACTACATAACTCTTGAGGAAAGAACAGATAATTATTACAAAGTTAGGGAAAGAATTATGGGCGAAATTTTGCCAAATCCTAAAATGACAAAACTGCGACAAAAATTCAAAGATAAGAAGAAACAGATGAAAATGATAGTTGAATCAGTGAATGTTGTATGTGGCCGAGTAGATCCCAGACTATATGCCGAGGTGGAATTAAATGGTGTTGGTATACGGGGGCTACTAGATACGGGGGCTTCGGTTAGTATTCTGGGCAGAAATTGTAGAGAATTTATTGAGACGCTCGATGTTACTATGAAGCCAATATTTTCCAATGTGAAAACTGCAGCCGGCCAACAGCACAGAATACTAGGAAGAGCCAAAATTGACATCAAATACAATGGGGTTATAAAGCAATTAGATTTCTACCTCTGTCCGGATTTAGATCAAGAGCTATACTTAGGGATAGACTTTTGGAATTTGTATGATCTATCCCCGGAGTTAAGACAAGTCAATGAGATAAAAATAGAAAAGAGGCAAAAAAATTTAGCGGACGAAGATGTTTATAAATTAAATCCCCATGAATTGTCACCCCTACAGCAACAACAGTTAAATGAGACAGTTAAGAATTTCGATACCTTCGAAGAAAAAGGCCTCGGAAAAACTTCTCTGGAGAGACATACGATTAAGTTGGTCGAGGGTGCCGAACCTGTAAAAGAGCGTCATTATCCTTTGTCTCCAGCAGTGCAGGCAGTGGTTTATGAAGAAATTGATAATATGCTCCGCCTTAATGTCATTGAAGAAAGCGAAAGCCCATGGAGCAATCGCACTACGGTGGTCAGAAAGCCGGGGAAAAATAGGTTCTGTCTCGATGCTCGGAAACTTAATAAACTGACGGTTAAGGACGCGTATCCGTTACAAAACATCGACGGTATATTGAGTAGGATAGACGAAACTTACTACATCAGTAGCGTCGACTTGAAATTCGCCTTTTGGCAAATTGAGCTCGACGAGGGGAGTAAAGCCTGCACCGCGTTTACAGTACCTGGAAGGCCATTATACCAATTTAGGGTAATGCCTTTTGGACTGTGTAACGCAGCGCAGCGCTTATGTCGACTAATGGACAAAGTAATCCCACAACAATTAAAAGAAAACGTCTTTATATACCTTGACGATTTGTTAGTAATATCACACGATTTTGAAGAACATTTGCGCCTTCTGAAAGAGGTGGCGAATTCTCTTAAGAAAGCAAACCTAACGATAGGTATGAAGAAGTCACAGTTCTGTTTTAAAGAGCTAAAATACCTTGGTTTCATTATTGGCCAAGGCAGACTTCGTACAGATCCAGATAAGGTGAATGCTATAAGAAATCTGAAAGTACCACGTAGCCCCCGTGAAGTCAGAAGCTTTTTGGGAACGGCAGGTTGGTATCGTCGTTTTATCAAAGATTTTGCGACTATTTCCGCACCATTATCCGATACTCTCAAGAAGTCAAAAAAATTTTCCATTGATGAAGCGGCGAAAACTTCCTTTGAGAATCTGAAAAAGGCCCTGACCTCAGCACCCGTGTTGCGTCACCCCGACTTTACAAAGCAGTTTTATATACAGTGTGATGCGTCGGATAACGGCATAGGAGCAGTCCTTTTTCAATTAAATGAGCAGAATGAAGAACATCCTATTGCATTCTATTCTAAGAAACTAAATTCCTGCCAGAAAAATTATAGTGTTACGGAGAAGGAGTGTCTCGCGGCGGTGATGGCAATCAAGAAGTTTAGGCCTTATGTGGAAATGATGCCCTTCACCGTCATTACCGATCACGCCTCGTTGAAGTGGTTGATGTCACTAAAAGACCTGAGCGGTCGACTAGCCCGATGGTCTCTACAACTGCAGGCTTACGATTTCGATATTCAACATCGGAAGGGATCGGATAATGTGGTAGCCGACATGCTATCTAGAGCTTCAATAGAGAACCATGTGGACGATATTAGCATAAAAGACTTAATCGAATTAGATACAGCGGAATTTGAGGGAGGTGAGTACGTGCGGTTAATAGAAGTCGTGAATGAGAATAAAGATAGGCTGCCCGATATCAAAGTGGAAAATGGACTGATTTATAAAAAGGACCTCCCAAATTCAGAAATGGGCAACGAATGGCAATGGAAGCTATGGGTACCAGCTGGGATTACAAATAAAATAATAGAAAAATCTCACGATTCACCGACATGTTGTCATGGGGGCGTTCATAAAACATTAGAACATATAAAAAGGTTTTTCTATTGGCCAAACATGGCGAGTCAGGTTAGACAGTATATAAAACATTGTCAGCTTTGTCAGGAAAGCAAACCTAGCAACCGAAATTTGATGCCAGAAATTGGAAAAGAAGTAGTGACTAACCGTCCCTTTCAAAAATTGTATATTGATTTTCTGGGGAAATATCCCAGATCTAAAAAGGGGAATGCATATCTTTATTGTAGTCGATCACTTTTCCAAATTCACATTTTTAAAAGCGATGAGGGAGGCCACGGCAATAAATGTTGTTAAATTTTTGATTGAAGACATCTTTCACAAATTTGGTGTACCGGAGGTCATACATAGTGACAACGGTGCCCAATTTGTGTCCAAAACGTTCCAGGAGATGATCCACACATATAAAATAAATCACCTGAAAACAGCTGTCTATTCCCCACAGTCTAACGCTTCCGAAAGGGTCAACCAATCGGTTATAACGGCCATCCGAACTTATTTAGAGGAAGATCACAGGGACTGGGATTTGTACCTCACCGAAATTGAATGTGCGCTACGGAATGCAGTACATTCTGCAACTGGAGTTACGCCATTCTTCGCTTTGTTCGGTTATCACATGTTTACTAGCGGCTATGATTATCGTTTAGCAAGAAAACTGATGTCAATAACTGACCACGAAGTGAAGGAAATACAGCGAAAAGATAGATTAGAATTGTTGCGGAATAAAATTAAAGATAACCTGCACAACGCGTATTTAAAGAGTTCGGCAAATTATAACCGGAGAGCTCGAGTGATTAAATTTAGTCCTGGTCAGGAGGTGTACCGACGCAATTTCGTACAATCTGATTTCTCGAAAAATATTAATGCAAAATTTTGCAAAAAGTTCGTGAAATCTAGGATTGTAAGACCCATAGGGGGGAATATGTACGAATTAGAAGACCTGAAAGGTACCCCAGTCGGAATTTATCATGTAAAGGACATTAAACAGTGAGTGCAATATTAAAGTAAGTTATAATACCATTAGGATAAGCATTTGGTTTGTGTTGTCCTAATAGTATGTAAGTCTACCTTAATTATGAAATGGATGTAGTTTAATGCCTGTGGTATAACCAGTACCTGTTTGTTTTTAATCGAAGCATTATTGATACACCTGCTCTACTTTATACCCTATACATCTACTCTCTTGTTCGTTTTATGAATTTTTAATAACCGCCTCCAGTTTTTGAATATACTGGTTCGACCTGACATCTTATCATATCCACTTACCTGAAGGTTCCCGAGCAAGGGCATACCCCACTCGAAGCAAGTTTCCTGTTTACTCCAAGCAAATTAAAGGCATCAGCCAATTGGAACCCTAAAATGAACAAAATAACAACAAAGTAAAAGTGCTTTATACGAAGTCTATATGAATACTTCCCTAAACACAGTGCCCGGCTGATCTCAGGGTGTGAGAGTTCCCCACGTTGTGATAGAAATTCTCTGATCAGTAATATCGACCCAGCACACCTTCACTGTCATCATGCTTCGTCAGTGCAGGAGTTTTGTTGCGGGCCGTTTCAAAAACCAAGTCCGCCCCTGCACTCTAAAAAAAAATCGGCGTGGAAAGGCCCTAGGGCGAGACCGTTCGCGCCTACGTGGCGGTCTCCAATCCACGGTTTAACTCTAGTTCCCAATTGTCAATAAAGTTGAGGGGGCTAAAGAGAGCTAGGGACGAGTTGGGGGGTATGTTATTGGCACTCTTCGCGGGTAACCATTAAACAATGGTTAGCCATGCCCAGAATTAGTATATTCGTTTGTTTTTGTGTTGTTAGTGGAATTAGTGGCAGTTTCTACCGGAGAGGGAATATATTTTGTAACGGGGACAGCGCCCTCGAATGTTGATATGGCTCATGCGGAGGAAGATGGGCGAACATTAACAGCCAGTTCCACGATATCGAAAGAACACGTTCGCACAACTTTTACACGACAAACAGCTGATTTCCGTTCCACTAAAATCTATCAGAACGAAAATTTGCACGAAAATCAAAGCGAACGAAAACGTAAGCATTTCAGTGTAATTTTGCGTTCCACTATCTTTTTTCTTTCGTACGCATGCGAACACAAATGTCAAAATCAGTCACTTGTGTGTTTGCTATCGTATAATAACAATTGAGGAAAATTGTTTTAACATAAACATTGCTTGATTGAAAATGGAAACAAAAATGTAAGTAAAAATAATAAATGCAATTTAATATGTGAACAACAAATATATATTTTTTTTATTTTCTCAATTCCAGCACGAAAAAATCATCAACTAAACAGCTGCGGGCACTAGTTGAATAATGGAGGAGAATCCTGTGTTCGCCAGAGGAATGCCAATTTTTGGAAGCAGCAGAAGAAGTTTTAAATCGGGGCGGATTTGGGTAGTTCTGCAACCGGGCACCCACTTCTCTTCCATCATATCCAAAAGAGCCCGAAAACTTCCTTCGACACACGAAAGTTGGCCACAAACCTAGAAAAAATAATTTTTTATTATTTCAAAAATGTAAAAATACAATCATACTTACTGGTTGTTAGGTACTTCAAATAAATTCGAAGCATCTCTTAAATTCCTCCGTGGCACATTTCGAACCTCCTCCATAAAAATAGGGCTACGGAAATATTCTTTTTTTATTTTCTAAGAGCACAAATAGTTTGAACACAATCACTAGAAATTTTATATTGTTTATTTATTTACAATTTGTTTGTTTACAACTGAAATGTCAGTTGAGACAGAGCCACTGCTGCTTTTTCGCGTTTAAATTAGACATTTGACGCTTTTTTTGCTTTATTTCGCGATTAATTTTTCCAAAAAAATATTTAGCAACACTGAATCACGTAAGGCTATGCGAAAGAAAGAACGAAAGTTAGTGGAACGCATTCTTATACGAAAGTGAGTGAGTAGCCTTCGTTCGCACAAATTTTCTTTCGAGATCGTGGAACAGGCTGTAACACGCCTTGTGTTGGCTGGGAATAACTTTTACCACTGGTTATTTGCAGCCACAGAGGTAGTTATGTCTCACATGGTCCTCCGCACTTGGGTTGAGCCACCTAAAAAGAAGAAAAAGCAAATTAATAAATCGAAGAAATTGAAATAGATAATAAATAGAAAAAAATGAAATCAGTTGATACAAAGAATACCACCGCCAGCTCTGTCAAGTAAGGTTCTTCGATGTTGCTTTTTATTCTTATTCGTGACATTGACAGATAAATGAAGTCGCGTTGCCAACACAGGGAAATGAAGGTGCTACCAAGTACCTATTTTCTGACTTGCTCTAGGGAGACGTTATTACCTGCACGGTGGGGGTTCTCTTAAGTTCAGGAAAATCAGCACTCTCAGAATTCAGAAATTCCGGGAGGGAGACCTCGGAATACCCCGCGCTAGTAGAAAAAGACAAATCTATGAAGATGAAAGAAGACAAAAATAGCTTTTATGTAAAATGTCGGATCGTGGAAAGCTACCTAGGGTCTCTCGAAAGTTATAAATGAGGGTACTAGCAGAGAAAAGACAGTTAATTTGGTGGTGCTGAGTGCAAGTAGTAAGGAAATCAAGAAAGAGCTTTTAATTTCTAAAAAGAAAAGTGTATTTTAAAGAAAAAGAAATAAAGAAATATCTAAATGTTTTGGATTTCCCTTGTTGCGAAGGTAATAAAATTATTAAGATTATTACGGTTGCGAAAAAAAAATAAATCCGTGCTTTATAAAATAGGTTTGTGTGGTGAGAGTGTCTGGAGAATTTTTATAAGCTATACACCAAGTTACTGATTTATGTGACCAGTGAATAAATGAACAGGTAAAAGTAGAGGTTAGATATGTCATGGTTTAATATTAACGATTGCCTTATTGGCCAGGTAGATCAGGAACTTATTCGCTGTGTTTTGAGAATTGGTTTCAGCGGTATCTAGTGAACAATAGACATACTAGAAGGCGTTGCAAAATATCCAAGGCAAAAGACAGTATTACCTCCAGATAAAGCTATATAACAGTTGTACTCCAGTGACATCTATGGGGTGTGGAGATTTGTCGTAGATAGATCTCTCCCCATCAACCAAGCTCAGCACCTAAGGCAAATTGACCGAGTGCCCAACACAGTGGCTGGAAATTGCAATCCGAACAAACATCGTTAATTTGGTAACAAATAAATTCTGCTCTAAAGGAGCTGTAAATCGTCGCCTCGCTCCTTCTGAAATATCGAGATCTCTTCTCAGCAAGTTCAACTTGCCTTCCGGCCTGATGGTTAGGAGAAAGGATGGTGACAACGTTTTATACTGTTTGTATTTAAGTATTTTTTTATTTTATTATTAATTTTTATTTCCATTTTTTTATTATTTATTTCCATTTTTTTATTATTTATTTCCATTTTTAGTTTTATATTTTATATAAGTGTGTATACGTCGACTAAATGTTTATCTGTTATTCTGTCTAAAATTTACCCGTGTAAGCGACATTCTCGAAGTTATTTTTTTTGTTAGCAATAGTGTTGTCCGAACGCCGACTTTAAAGAGCTCTTTCAGTAGACGTTAGTGAGGACTGGAAATTCAGTTATATAATTAGATCATAATTAACTCTTTGCGGGTGTCGTTGTGAAGGCTAAATATCTGACGGTTCCACTTTGAAGACATTTTGTTGGTATGCTCATTTGGTCAAAAGGCCGCTCGATTTTAGTTGGATAAAAATTCCTTTTTTTTAATTTATTCAATTTGTTTATCTGATTTATTGTTTTTATTTATAACGATATTCATAAACCTTAAACTCCAAAATTCTAAACAAATAATTCTAAGATATATTTTTTTGGTATTTGCTCATTTTTATTATAGGAAAATTTTTATATTTGCATTTAGTTGTTTGATGATCAATTTGTTTAGCTGTGTTAGTTTTAGTTTAATTTAGAATAAATATTATGTGAAAAATTGAGACGAACGAAAAATATGGTATGCTAAACTAATTGTTGGAGGAAACGACAGGTGAGGTAAGTGATGTGATGGGGCGGTAATTGGGGTCACTAAAACGTTGAAAAGGGATAAAGTGATCATGGATGGGAGGGCAGGAAACGGGCTATCAGACTAAGGATGCGGTGATACATCTAGAAAAGTAGTTAGTTATTATTCTGCATTTAAAATTACTGTCACATACCGGAAACTATGGGTATGGGTTGGGAACACACCCTAGAGTATGACCGAGTTAGCCGCTGTCCTATAAGGACCATTACACCCTTAGTTTACAATAGGTTCCTGTGACATTATGGCGCCCAAGGAAAAATCGAAATTTGTTTACGTTAGTGTATGTCATCGAAACACTGAGTAATAGACCAATAGAGATATGCAATAGACCAACATTTCTAGCCAAGATTTTAGCATACAGAAAGGTTTTCATATCCGTTCTGGACAAGAGCTAGAATGAAGTATGAGGCAAACCTAATGAAAAGCTAAAAGTCGGGTGAATGAAATGAATAATTCAAATCGGAACATGATTTGACCTACAGTGCAGGATTTTGCATAGGGTAGTAGCAGATTGTGATTCGTATTATGAAGTGTTAGTATCAGCCTGAAACTCGCCTGTATGATCCAAATCAATATGCATGATATCCTCTCTACATATTATATTAGGGGTTAGTAGTATCAAACAATATTGATTTGAAAATGATAGGGTCGTAAAGACGGCATATCTAGTCATATGGCGAAATGTGATAATCAATCATATTGAATTAGAAATGTATTAATGTATCACCGAATAAGCAAATCCTTTTTTAATGCCACGTTTGAAAATACCGCACACATCACTCCTCGTCAGTTAATTCCTCCGAGACGAAAAAAAAAAAAAAAAAAAAAAAAAACAAAAAAACAAAACAAAACCATAAACACATAGGAAAAATCCTTTTAATTTGAAATTTAGACCTTTGAACAGATTTGGTAAAATTTCACTATTTTGCGTATTTTGTTATGAGTAGAGAAACTCGATCCCAGGTAAAAAGTAGGAAACGGGATAGACCAGTACTTTTTGATTTGAACAGATCAGTGGCAATAGAAACCAAGAAGAAAAAGGATTTTGTAAATCCTGTCATGGCCGAATCCAATCCAAATAATGAAGGTTCCATTAGGGATCTCTCACAAACTATTAATGTCAGTTCTCCAGTCACGAACTCCTTAGGTCCCGTGTTTCTACAAGGACAGGCAGCAGAAGCACATCCGACTATTGAACCGACAGTCCGCGACAATGTTTTGGGTAACCGCCATCTGGAGAGTAAGATACAAAACCTAAAAGGAGAAATGGAGCAGATAAAAAAATCCATATTAGAGTTGACAAAATCTATTAAGGAAAAAGATATGCGTGCCCCAAATATAAGAGATCCAAGTGAAGAACCCAGAGTTCCGACTAATACTGAAGTAGTAAGGACTATGACTAAAGAAAATAATGGTATATCGGAAAATAATTCTTCAGGAACTAATACGACTAATGCGTCATTAAATCCATTGATGAGACGGGAATGCGTCCAAAATAGCCAATCGGTACCATTTGACCCGAGGAATAATCTTAGGATCAGCAGGTTAGGTATAAGATTCGATGGTAGCTCGTCGGGTCTGTGTGTAGAAGAGTTCGTCTATCGCCTTGAGTACTTTCAAAAACAATACGGAATACCTTGGTCAGAAATAATAAGAGATTTCCCTTTATTATTAACCGGAAGAGCCGAGTCGTGGTATTGGCTTTTCCAGAAAACCAACCGATTCCATGATTGGGAAGAGCTTAAATACAACCTTTTGAGTCAGTACCAATCATCAAAATCTAATTTTGAGAGAATCACCGAACTGGTCCAACGTAGACAACAGCCAAATGAGACAATTGATGAGTTCTTTCACGTTATGGGTCAAATGAGGGCCAAGTTGGTCCAGCCATTATCAGAATATGATATGATAAAAATAATGAAAAAAAAATATTAAGGACAGTGTAGCCAGAATAGTGTACCCCATACCTGTTTCATCAGTAGAACAGCTCCGTATAGAGAGTAACGAGGCAGAAAAACAGTTTTTAAAGCGAGAACCTAGGCCCTTTATTCCACCCTCCCGTACGATAAGGCAAGTAAACGAAATTGATGTTGACGGTAGAGTTCATGCATCTGAAGGGTTGTATGACCAAACGGGTGAAGATTTAGCAGCTATTCAAGTCACCAGGGCTGTAAACTCAAACCTGACCTGCTGGAACTGTCAAAAACAAGGACATACTTTCAGGGATTGTGATGTGACCAGTAGGGCACTTTTTTGCTATAAATGCGGAAATCCCGGAACCACTACTCCCAAGTGTAATATATGCCAGCAGTTAAACCGGAACAGGGGCGTGGAAAGCATAGGGGGACCACGTCCAACTGCAAACCCCCAGTAATTATTCAAAATAAGACCAGAATAATTAACAATCCAAATTTGGAGAGTATAACTGGCAAATTTAAACCGGAAATGCGGCACTACATAACTCTTGAGGAAAGAACAGATAATTATTACAAAGTTAGGGAAAGAATTATGGGCGAAATTTTGCCAAATCCTAAAATGACAAAACTGCGACAAAAATTCAAAGATAAGAAGAAACAGATGAAAATGATAGTTGAATCAGTGAATGTTGTATGTGGCCGAGTAGATCCCAGACTATATGCCGAGGTGGAATTAAATGGTGTTGGTATACGGGGGCTACTAGATACGGGGGCTTCGGTTAGTATTCTGGGCAGAAATTGTAGAGAATTTATTGAGACGCTCGATGTTACTATGAAGCCAATATTTTCCAATGTGAAAACTGCAGCCGGCCAACAGCACAGAATACTAGGAAGAGCCAAAATTGACATCAAATACAATGGGGTTATAAAGCAATTAGATTTCTACCTCTGTCCGGATTTAGATCAAGAGCTATACTTAGGGATAGACTTTTGGAATTTGTATGATCTATCCCCGGAGTTAAGACAAGTCAATGAGATAAAAATAGAAAAGAGGCAAAAAAATTTAGCGGACGAAGATGTTTATAAATTAAATCCCCATGAATTGTCACCCCTACAGCAACAACAGTTAAATGAGACAGTTAAGAATTTCGATACCTTCGAAGAAAAAGGCCTCGGAAAAACTTCTCTGGAGAGACATACGATTAAGTTGGTCGAGGGTGCCGAACCTGTAAAAGAGCGTCATTATCCTTTGTCTCCAGCAGTGCAGGCAGTGGTTTATGAAGAAATTGATAATATGCTCCGCCTTAATGTCATTGAAGAAAGCGAAAGCCCATGGAGCAATCGCACTACGGTGGTCAGAAAGCCGGGGAAAAATAGGTTCTGTCTCGATGCTCGGAAACTTAATAAACTGACGGTTAAGGACGCGTATCCGTTACAAAACATCGACGGTATATTGAGTAGGATAGACGAAACTTACTACATCAGTAGCGTCGACTTGAAATTCGCCTTTTGGCAAATTGAGCTCGACGAGGGGAGTAAAGCCTGCACCGCGTTTACAGTACCTGGAAGGCCATTATACCAATTTAGGGTAATGCCTTTTGGACTGTGTAACGCAGCGCAGCGCTTATGTCGACTAATGGACAAAGTAATCCCACAACAATTAAAAGAAAACGTCTTTATATACCTTGACGATTTGTTAGTAATATCACACGATTTTGAAGAACATTTGCGCCTTCTGAAAGAGGTGGCGAATTCTCTTAAGAAAGCAAACCTAACGATAGGTATGAAGAAGTCACAGTTCTGTTTTAAAGAGCTAAAATACCTTGGTTTCATTATTGGCCAAGGCAGACTTCGTACAGATCCAGATAAGGTGAATGCTATAAGAAATCTGAAAGTACCACGTAGCCCCCGTGAAGTCAGAAGCTTTTTGGGAACGGCAGGTTGGTATCGTCGTTTTATCAAAGATTTTGCGACTATTTCCGCACCATTATCCGATACTCTCAAGAAGTCAAAAAAATTTTCCATTGATGAAGCGGCGAAAACTTCCTTTGAGAATCTGAAAAAGGCCCTGACCTCAGCACCCGTGTTGCGTCACCCCGACTTTACAAAGCAGTTTTATATACAGTGTGATGCGTCGGATAACGGCATAGGAGCAGTCCTTTTTCAATTAAATGAGCAGAATGAAGAACATCCTATTGCATTCTATTCTAAGAAACTAAATTCCTGCCAGAAAAATTATAGTGTTACGGAGAAGGAGTGTCTCGCGGCGGTGATGGCAATCAAGAAGTTTAGGCCTTATGTGGAAATGATGCCCTTCACCGTCATTACCGATCACGCCTCGTTGAAGTGGTTGATGTCACTAAAAGACCTGAGCGGTCGACTAGCCCGATGGTCTCTACAACTGCAGGCTTACGATTTCGATATTCAACATCGGAAGGGATCGGATAATGTGGTAGCCGACATGCTATCTAGAGCTTCAATAGAGAACCATGTGGACGATATTAGCATAAAAGACTTAATCGAATTAGATACAGCGGAATTTGAGGGAGGTGAGTACGTGCGGTTAATAGAAGTCGTGAATGAGAATAAAGATAGGCTGCCCGATATCAAAGTGGAAAATGGACTGATTTATAAAAAGGACCTCCCAAATTCAGAAATGGGCAACGAATGGCAATGGAAGCTATGGGTACCAGCTGGGATTACAAATAAAATAATAGAAAAATCTCACGATTCACCGACATGTTGTCATGGGGGCGTTCATAAAACATTAGAACATATAAAAAGGTTTTTCTATTGGCCAAACATGGCGAGTCAGGTTAGACAGTATATAAAACATTGTCAGCTTTGTCAGGAAAGCAAACCTAGCAACCGAAATTTGATGCCAGAAATTGGAAAAGAAGTAGTGACTAACCGTCCCTTTCAAAAATTGTATATTGATTTTCTGGGGAAATATCCCAGATCTAAAAAGGGGAATGCATATATCTTTATTGTAGTCGATCACTTTTCCAAATTCACATTTTTAAAAGCGATGAGGGAGGCCACGGCAATAAATGTTGTTAAATTTTTGATTGAAGACATCTTTCACAAATTTGGTGTACCGGAGGTCATACATAGTGACAACGGTGCCCAATTTGTGTCCAAAACGTTCCAGGAGATGATCCACACATATAAAATAAATCACCTGAAAACAGCTGTCTATTCCCCACAGTCTAACGCTTCCGAAAGGGTCAACCAATCGGTTATAACGGCCATCCGAACTTATTTAGAGGAAGATCACAGGGACTGGGATTTGTACCTCACCGAAATTGAATGTGCGCTACGGAATGCAGTACATTCTGCAACTGGAGTTACGCCATTCTTCGCTTTGTTCGGTTATCACATGTTTACTAGCGGCTATGATTATCGTTTAGCAAGAAAACTGATGTCAATAACTGACCACGAAGTGAAGGAAATACAGCGAAAAGATAGATTAGAATTGTTGCGGAATAAAATTAAAGATAACCTGCACAACGCGTATTTAAAGAGTTCGGCAAATTATAACCGGAGAGCTCGAGTGATTAAATTTAGTCCTGGTCAGGAGGTGTACCGACGCAATTTCGTACAATCTGATTTCTCGAAAAATATTAATGCAAAATTTTGCAAAAAGTTCGTGAAATCTAGGATTGTAAGACCCATAGGGGGGAATATGTACGAATTAGAAGACCTGAAAGGTACCCCAGTCGGAATTTATCATGTAAAGGACATTAAACAGTGAGTGCAATATTAAAGTAAGTTATAATACCATTAGGATAAGCATTTGGTTTGTGTTGTCCTAATAGTATGTAAGTCTACCTTAATTATGAAATGGATGTAGTTTAATGCCTGTGGTATAACCAGTACCTGTTTGTTTTTAATCGAAGCATTATTGATACACCTGCTCTACTTTATACCCTATACATCTACTCTCTTGTTCGTTTTATGAATTTTTAATAACCGCCTCCAGTTTTTGAATATACTGGTTCGACCTGACATCTTATCATATCCACTTACCTGAAGGTTCCCGAGCAAGGGCATACCCCACTCGAAGCAAGTTTCCTGTTTACTCCAAGCAAATTAAAGGCATCAGCCAATTGGAACCCTAAAATGAACAAAATAACAACAAAGTAAAAGTGCTTTATACGAAGTCTATATGAATACTTCCCTAAACACAGTGCCCGGCTGATCTCAGGGTGTGAGAGTTCCCCACGTTGTGATAGAAATTCTCTGATCAGTAATATCGACCCAGCACACCTTCACTGTCATCATGCTTCGTCAGTGCAGGAGTTTTGTTGCGGGCCGTTTCAAAAACCAAGTCCGCCCCTGCACTCTAAAAAAAAATCGGCGTGGAAAGGCCCTAGGGCGAGACCGTTCGCGCCTACGTGGCGGTCTCCAATCCACGGTTTAACTCTAGTTCCCAATTGTCAATAAAGTTGAGGGGGCTAAAGAGAGCTAGGGACGAGTTGGGGGGTATGTTATTGGCACTCTTCGCGGGTAACCATTAAACAATGGTTAGCCATGCCCAGAATTAGTATATTCGTTTGTTTTTGTGTTGTTAGTGGAATTAGTGGCAGTTTCTACCGGAGAGGGAATATATTTTGTAACGGGGACAGCGCCCTCGAATGTTGATATGGCTCATGCGGAGGAAGATGGGCGAACATTAACACGCCTTGTGTTGGCTGGGAATAACTTTTACCACTGGTTATTTGCAGCCACAGAGGTAGTTATGTCTCACATGGTCCTCCGCACTTGGGTTGAGCCACCTAAAAAGAAGAAAAAGCAAATTAATAAATCGAAGAAATTGAAATAGATAATAAATAGAAAAAAATGAAATCAGTTGATACAAAGAATACCACCGCCAGCTCTGTCAAGTAAGGTTCTTCGATGTTGCTTTTTATTCTTATTCGTGACATTGACAGATAAATGAAGTCGCGTTGCCAACACAGGGAAATGAAGGTGCTACCAAGTACCTATTTTCTGACTTGCTCTAGGGAGACGTTATTACCTGCACGGTGGGGGTTCTCTTAAGTTCAGGAAAATCAGCACTCTCAGAATTCAGAAATTCCGGGAGGGAGACCTCGGAATACCCCGCGCTAGTAGAAAAAGACAAATCTATGAAGATGAAAGAAGACAAAAATAGCTTTTATGTAAAATGTCGGATCGTGGAAAGCTACCTAGGGTCTCTCGAAAGTTATAAATGAGGGTACTAGCAGAGAAAAGACAGTTAATTTGGTGGTGCTGAGTGCAAGTAGTAAGGAAATCAAGAAAGAGCTTTTAATTTCTAAAAAGAAAAGTGTATTTTAAAGAAAAAGAAATAAAGAAATATCTAAATGTTTTGGATTTCCCTTGTTGCGAAGGTAATAAAATTATTAAGATTATTACGGTTGCGAAAAAAAAATAAATCCGTGCTTTATAAAATAGGTTTGTGTGGTGAGAGTGTCTGGAGAATTTTTATAAGCTATACACCAAGTTACTGATTTATGTGACCAGTGAATAAATGAACAGGTAAAAGTAGAGGTTAGATATGTCATGGTTTAATATTAACGATTGCCTTATTGGCCAGGTAGATCAGGAACTTATTCGCTGTGTTTTGAGAATTGGTTTCAGCGGTATCTAGTGAACAATAGACATACTAGAAGGCGTTGCAAAATATCCAAGGCAAAAGACAGTATTACCTCCAGATAAAGCTATATAACAGTTGTACTCCAGTGACATCTATGGGGTGTGGAGATTTGTCGTAGATAGATCTCTCCCCATCAACCAAGCTCAGCACCTAAGGCAAATTGACCGAGTGCCCAACACAGTGGCTGGAAATTGCAATCCGAACAAACATCGTTAATTTGGTAACAAATAAATTCTGCTCTAAAGGAGCTGTAAATCGTCGCCTCGCTCCTTCTGAAATATCGAGATCTCTTCTCAGCAAGTTCAACTTGCCTTCCGGCCTGATGGTTAGGAGAAAGGATGGTGACAACGTTTTATACTGTTTGTATTTAAGTATTTTTTTATTTTATTATTAATTTTTATTTCCATTTTTTTATTATTTATTTCCATTTTTTATTATTTATTTCCATTTTTAGTTTTATATTTTATATAAGTGTGTATACGTCGACTAAATGTTTATCTGTTATTCTGTCTAAAATTTACCCGTGTAAGCGACATTCTCGAAGTTATTTTTTTTGTTAGCAATAGTGTTGTCCGAACGCCGACTTTAAAGAGCTCTTTCAGTAGACGTTAGTGAGGACTGGAAATTCAGTTATATAATTAGATCATAATTAACTCTTTGCGGGTGTCGTTGTGAAGGCTAAATATCTGACGGTTCCACTTTGAAGACATTTTGTTGGTATGCTCATTTGGTCAAAAGGCCGCTCGATTTTAGTTGGATAAAAATTCCTTTTTTTTAATTTATTCAATTTGTTTATCTGATTTATTGTTTTTATTTATAACGATATTCATAAACCTTAAACTCCAAAATTCTAAACAAATAATTCTAAGATATATTTTTTTGGTATTTGCTCATTTTTATTATAGGAAAATTTTTATATTTGCATTTAGTTGTTTGATGATCAATTTGTTTAGCTGTGTTAGTTTTAGTTTAATTTAGAATAAATATTATGTGAAAAATTGAGACGAACGAAAAATATGGTATGCTAAACTAATTGTTGGAGGAAACGACAGGTGAGGTAAGTGATGTGATGGGGCGGTAATTGGGGTCACTAAAACGTTGAAAAGGGATAAAGTGATCATGGATGGGAGGGCAGGAAACGGGCTATCAGACTAAGGATGCGGTGATACATCTAGAAAAGTAGTTAGTTATTATTCTGCATTTAAAATTACTGTCACATACCGGAAACTATGGGTATGGGTTGGGAACACACCCTAGAGTATGACCGAGTTAGCCGCTGTCCTATAAGGACCATTACACCCTTAGTTTACAATAGGTTCCTGTGACACCCGGTCCTCTCTTTTTCCCTTTGCAGAAATTAACCAACAAATTTTTGAATAATTTTTCTTTTCAAAAACAACATTTATTTTTACCTTAACCTCCCTCTCTTTCTCCCTCCCTATTCTCCAAATATCGCCACAAACGCTTCGGGATCTTCAACCTGGCCGAAACGTTGCAATAGCTTAAACTTCACCTTATCATTACTGTACAGTGTCAACGTTTGATACCAATCAAATTTCGATGGTCGTTTCTTTTCATTTTCGGGCACCAAATCATCCAAATCGATGACAACATCATTACGTTTACCCCAAAAATCAATGTAGGCCAATTTCAGTTTGTCATTGTCATCGTTGAGGTACATAATGCCCACCAGATTTTTTGTCAGCATACTGCAAATGGATAGTGTCATCCATGAGGTAAGACCAACGGCTGCAAACAATGTGGCGGTGGATGGTGGCAACTGGGATGCCTGTTCCAGGGCAAAGGCACCGGGTATACTCAATGCATTGAAGACACCATAGGGGATTTTAACACGATTAAAGGCGGAAGCCAAGCGTATCAATGGTAATCTATATATGGTACGCCATTCATCTTCATTGTTGGTTTGGGTTGGTTGCTGCTGTTGTTGTTCCCTTTGCCTTACGGCGGTTGTTGTGCTTCCGATCGACCGGCTTATTTCATTTGAGGACCTGAGGTAAGGTGCCATTCCCTTTGGTTTTATAACAGAAGTTTTTGTTGCTACACCCCTCCACGTTCTACTCAGTCCTCTTAGCGCTAAGAGTGTGGTCATCTGTTGTGGAAATATTTCGGATTAATAATTTTATGTTCTATTTTAAGAAAATATGTTTCCATACCTCTTTTGCTTTATTTTTATTTTGTGGAGGGAATACTTCACACAAATACAATTGCACAACACGAAACGAAACGAGTAGTGCAGCTGTTTAATTTGTAAACAATGAACAGCTGTTTATGTGACATATCAGTTCTTGTGTTGTATCGTTCGTTTAGGGGCAATTGATGTAAATGGCCGTTAAATTTAAAAAGAAATTTATTTTATTGGATTTTTATTTTCATTTATTCATTTTACTTTATTTTATTTAATAAGGACAGCTGAGTGAACTCTGTAACAAAAGAAGACTCTCTGAATGGCTTTCTCTTTGAAGAAAACCATATGAAGAGATTTCTGCATAAATAATTCACTTTGAATTAATAGCCTCTGTGATCAATAGAAGACCTATTTAATATCAGGAGTTACAATAAACCTTCAAACCATTTATTCAACATATTCTTCTCCAATCAAGGAAAATTGTCATTTATTTAAAATTTGTTCTTCTTTCCTTTAAACTAAACTAAATCATATAATTTATGCATATTAATATAATTATGCATATATCATATAATCATATCATATAATCTATGCATATTAATATTAACTAAATACAAATAATCTCAAAAATCTATAAATTAATCAATTTTTTTGTCAACAATTAAATAGTTTACAACAACATAAAACAAAACAAAATCCCATGGACCAAAAACATTTGAAACCATGAATTTTCAAATGATTTTCTACTCTCTTCACTTTCTTTTATTCTTCCTTTTTCTTTTCCGCCACTTCGTCGGCGCCTAACAACACCTTGCGAACTGCCTGCATTCTAAATAGCGGCACCGATAGTATCGCTCCCACACAGGCACCAATCCAATAGACAATGATGTGTTCCAAGTTGGTGTGGCCACGGCAACCCCATTTCAGAGCTGTGGCCAAAACCGGATTGAAGTAACCACCCGAAAAGTTGAAAGCTGAAAACATGGCATAATTAAAAGCATAAACTGTATTTGAGAAAATTTCAAGTGTTCCAGACAGGCAAGAGTTTGTACAGTGTGGGGTTGGAAGGAAGATTTGGTTTGGTAGTAACGTACCTGCCACCACAAGACTGGTGCCGATAAAGGAATCAATGATGCTGCAGAATTTGGGGCCCTTTTCACTCAGAGTTTTGGAAGCCAGGCGACACAGCAAGGTGGCCAGACCTTCAATGGCTGCTCCCAAATAGGGATTTACCTTGGAAAAAATTGAAATGTTATACAAAATAAAAATAAAATGGAAAATCGTATACCTGCAAATCAGCATTACACTCCTCAAATGCCCTGCCCTCATGGGTCTCGGCAAACTCAAACCACCAAAACACCTGGACAATGCGATAAACACAACAACCTCCCATCAGCTCAGCCCAGGTGCGCAATGCAACCTCTTTGAGTGAGGTTTTACCCTCCAGCATATCCTCCATGTGGGTATAGGGACAAGCAGAGGCATCGCCCCATACCTTACCCCACCACACCGTCAGCAGGAAGAGGAACACCGCATAGGCAGCCACACCAAAGTTATCGGCAACTAAATGGGGGAATTTGGAAAAAGATTAAAACAATTATTTGTAGATAATTTCCTCCGAACTTACCAATAATTAGCTCAAAACAGCAGGCACACAATTCCGCCGATGCTATAGCTTCGTTGACCAAAACCGGTACAATACCTTGATCTTTGAAAAATTTACAAGCCAAGCGGCGGGCAATTTGGGCGGCAATACAGCAACCGACCATAAAGGCGGTACTAACACCCAATGCTGTCATGGACATCTTGAGATTGTCTTTGGTTTATCCGATAATGACTAGAAATACGTTGGCTGAGGATAAGGAAATAAGGACTATGAGGACCAGAATAATATACACTATTTTCCTCTTCCTAACTTTTATTCCTATCCTTTTGGATATTTTTTATTTATCCTCAATGAAATGTGATTTCTATGGGAAATCTTCAATTTAGCCTGGCTGAATAGAGATTTCTGTGCGACATCTTTAATTCAGGCTGGCTGAATAGAGATTTCTGTGGGAAATCTTCTATACAGCCTAGTTGGATAGAGATTACTGTGGGACATCTCCAATTCAGCCTGGCTGAATAGAGATTTCTGTGGAAAATCTTCAATTCAGCCTGGCTGAATAGAGATTTCTGTGGGAAATCTTCTATTTAGCCTGGCTAAATAGAGATGCCTGTGGGAAATCTTCAATTCAGCCTGGCTAGATAGAGATTTCTGTGTGTGAAATCTTAAATTCAGCCTGGCTGAATAGAGATTTCTGTGGGAAATCTTCAATTCAGCCTATCTGAATAGAGATTTCTGTGGGAAATCTTCAATTCAGCCTGGCTGGATAGAGATTTCTGTGGGAAATCTTCAATTCAGCCTGGCTGAATAGAGATTTCTTTGGGAAATCTTCAATTCAAACCACAAACACAGAATGGAGATTTCTTTGGAAAATAGTCTTTCTGCTCTGTTTTACTATTTTTTTGTTTGCCCTATTATACCAATTAGCAGTTTGGATCAATTCAAATATTCGTTATGCAAATATATGCTAAAAAGCCGATCACTTTCAAACTTTGAATTATAAAATAATACTCTCCAGCTTCGGCGGCAAACAAAACTATCAAACAAACTAAATTTGTTATTGTCTTTCAAATCTCTTCAATTCGAGGCAAATCGTTCTTCTCTGAGAGCCAGCCAAAATTTGTTTCCCCCCCAAATACACAAACAAAAACAAAAAAAAAATATAAATAATTTTCACAGCGCCAAATGCAGCTAAAAATAGTGTTTTCTTTTTTGGTTCCTTGTTCAACGCGATCATTCATTATCATGAAATTTCCTTTAATAACATTCTGTTCTCCAACAATCACTTTTTCACAAATTTTACGCAATTTTTTTCACTTTGAGTTTTAAAAAATAATTTTAAATATTTTTCGCAAACAACACCTTTTTTGCCTTGAAAGCCAAAGGAAAATCGTTTCCCTTTTATTTTTTCTTAAAGAAATTTGTCTTTTTTTCAATTCTGCAAAGGCGTTTAGAACGCGCCTAGCACGGTAGCGCGGAACACTTTGTGTTCGTCGGAGATACGCGTAACAACTGCTCAGAGTTTTCGTCCATAGTTTGTCTCCCCCAGTACCAGTATTTGATTTTGAAAATATGCGAAAACAAAGATTTTTCATGTTATTTGAAAATTGTTATGCCAAAAGAGATAATTGAATCAGATACTCCCGCTCTCTCACTGTCTCTCTCTCGCTGAGTGGCCCCCATTATTTCTCTGATATTTGTTTTGGGGGGAGATATCTGGATTTTTTTTCACAAATTTTGTTCTATTGAATGAATTTCCCATGCTAGACATGTAGCCAAACAACCAACCAACTAGTCAGCCAGCCAGACGGTCATCCATTCAGTAAGCAGCAGCAGCGACATAAGTAGTATTAAAGATGACGTAGTTGTTGGTTTTCACATGGTGCCAAAACTGGGAGTTAAAGCCTACTTGAATCGCGTGCGTTAGATAAATTAATAGCCATGGCATACGAGGGTGGTATAATAAGTTTCTAAAAATTAGAAAATTACTCACATGGAAAGTCTGAAAAAGATTTATTTATTAATAATCAAAAAGATCTTCATATAAGAGGCCAAAAAGTACTTCGTAAAGGAGACCAAAAAAGTCTTGTTAAATTAGTCCTAATAGGTCTTTTGAAAGATGCCCAAATAGGTCTTCTTGAGGAAGGAGGAGGACTTAAGAAATTCCAAAATATTCGCAGAATTTTTTTCATAACTCTTTTTGTCCCTCAGAAGACGTCTTTATTGATCTACTCTTCAATGCCTTTTTATACCCTCAGACATATGGCTACAGAGGGTATATATCATTTGATACAGCCCAAAACGTGTCTCATCGAAATAAAGGTTTTAGACTCAAGGTCTCTTTGATTCTAAAAACCGTTTCAAGACATTTGAAGTCGATCTAGTGATGTCCTTCTCTCCTCTCTTTCTGGCTGGTGCACAGGATAACTCTCGAAGGGAGCATCCGATTTGATCCAAACCTGGTACATCGTAATATTCTTGTCAAACTTAGGCCGAGTTCGGAGATGGGCAATATCGGCCCACCACTTCTGGTACCTCCCCCACAAAAAATAGATTTTCTGCACAGAAAGGATAATCCGATTTTGCTACAACTTTGCAAATCCTAATATTTGCATCAGTGCTAAGTCAGGTTCGAAAATGGACAATATCGGTCCACTCCATGCAGTACCTCCCCCACAAAGGGTCAAAATTTGGAATAATTATAACTCTTATAAAATGTGATGCGAGTGTCGGATTGCCTTCAAATTACACACATCACAATATTTTTATTAACCCAGCGTCTGGTATGAATATGGAATGTATTGGTCGACTCCTTCTGGTACCTCCCCCACAAAGGGTCAAAATTTTGAATATCCATGAGGCTCATAAAACACGAAATTAACTTCCGATTCCACCTAGACTTGGCACATCTCAATATTTCCATCAACACAAGATCTGTTATAAAGATGGTAGAGATCGGGCCAATTCTTCTGGTACCCTTCCCACAAAGGGTTAACATTTTGAATAACTAAAACGATCATAAAAGCAGAAATAAGTATTCGATTCTCTTCAAATTACACACATCATAATATTTTTATTAGCCCAAGGTCTGGTGTGTAGATCGGAGATATCGGTCCACTCCTTCTGGTACCCTTCCCACAAAGGGTCAAAATTTTGAATATCCAAGAAGCTCATAAAACGCGAAATTAACATTTGATTCCATTCAGACTTGGCACATCTAAATAATTCCACCAACACTCCTTCTGATACCTTATGTGAGAAACAAGTCGGTGATTCTTTACTACTTGCTATATCTGAATATTTCTCTTAACCAGAAATCTGATATAATTTATCGAAATTTATGATTTCGCATAAAATTGAATATGAATGCGATTTTCTTCAAATTTTGAAAAACCAATATTTTTATCTGTATTACATGAAGTATGAAAATGAAATACTTCGCTCCGCTATATCTGTTACCTCACTCATATTGTGCAAATTTTCCAAAAACTTGCACATATCTCATAAAAAGTATAGGAAGTAGTCCAAATCTGGCATGTTGTAATGTTTATAAAAGTCTTAGGTCAGATACGAATTGGGCAATATAGGCCAACTGATTCTGAACCTTCCCCATAAACAGTCAACAGTGTGAATAATCATAACTCAAGGCTGGGGACATAATCATAATTAAAGGCTGGTCCCTCCTTATCCTTTTCTTGTGTTTTCATCAAAGATTTCCCGCTTTGTTTAGAATCCAAGTTTTCATCCTCTTCCTCCTCTCTCAGAATTTCGGTATATAGTGATCTACGTCTTGCGTTTAAGGGTTTCTTTTCAAATTTATTTTCATCAGCAGTTTCCATGGTACTTTGGCCCTGCTCTCATCAACAGCAATGGGTTTTTCTTTTAGAATCTGACTTTTAGAGTAGGCTTTGTCCTCACCCAAAGGTTTGTTCTCCATAGAGTCACTCTTGCCTTTTTCCACATTTTCCAAATTATTTTTACATTGATTGTCCACAAACTGGTTATTTCTTTCTTTTTCAAGCTGCTGCTTTTGGGAAGATTTCAAATCTTCCATATCCACAAACACTGATTTCCGGTTCTGAGTTCCTTCATTATGGTCATCCAAAGAACTAGAAGAAGAAGTTTCTGAATTGTTTATCTCAACAACCATTGATTTTGGGACATACATCTGTCGGCAAAACCGACTGATACTATATTACTGGTTTTCAATACTGATTTTGTCCCTTAGAAGACGTCTTCATTGATCTACTCTTTTATGCCTCTTTTTATGTTCCATCCAATATAAATTTTGTTTGTTTGAGAATCGTTTAATTATTACAAATCTTAACATTTTTTATAATTACATATTTCAAAATTTATTTCGGTTTGTATATTTCTAGGTTACTTAAAAAAAAAAACATCAAACGAATGGATAGAAAAAACAACTTATTCGAAAGTAACAACAATAACATTGTTTGTATTAACTTATATACAGATTCGAACTTATTTCAATAAACTTAAAATAAAAAATACTTTTTTTTTTTTTTTCATTCTTTAAAATAGAAAGTATTGAAAACAAATGTTGTCAATTTGAAAAAATTCATTTGAATTCTTGTTATTTTTGTTTTCGTTTGCGTTTGCGCGATATAAATAAATTTACAACATTATCGGATACCTTTTCGAAACGATATTCCGAAGTACCCAATGTGACATGTTTGGTGCTGTCACTGGTATTATGGGTTGAAATGGAAGTGGATGTTGTTGTTGTTGACGTCATGGTCATGGTCGTGGTCGTCGTCGATGTTGTGTCATCCTGGAAATTTGTTGTATTTTCTTTATTCGAATTTGTCGTCTCGTCAACGTTTAAATTTGAGCTGGTCTCATTTAATAGCTGATCTTCGCCAATTGGTGGCTCATGTTGCGGCGAATTAAACATGTCCTGCATGGTTGAATCGATTTCCTTAAAACGATCATCATGTAACAATGATGGTGTCATATTATTTAAATTTAAATTTCCCTCTGCCTCATCATCATGGACCTGAGTATTGAAAATGGGATGGGTATTCAACATGGATAGACAAGATTTCTCAGTTACAATTCCATACGATTCTGTAGCTGAGAAATCTTGTTGATCTTTGGAAGATGGTGTTTCCATGGCATCCGCTTGATAGGAGGAGCTAAGAACTTTAACAACACGTCGTTTGCGTGCCAAACATTTTTTCTTGGCTGGTGGTGGGGGGGTTATTATTTCGACATTTTGTATTACCGGCTTAAGGGGCAGTGTGTGGACAATGGTGTCAGCCTCATCGCTGCTGGAGTCTAAAATACGACGCTGAGAATTGAAATGTTTCGGGTTGAAGTTAATACAATCACCGGGCATGTCTCCTGCAGTTTTATCCGAGAGTTCAGCCTCCGTGGGAGTTTCAACATACATAGACTTGCTGCGTGGCCTTAAAGTGGATTTTCTGTCTGTTATTTCTTCATGGGCTTCGGAGGGATTTGGTAGCAAAACATCATAGCTGGTATTTTTAGAATTTTCTCCAAGATTTTCTCCCATAAAAGTAGCCATTGATTTTCTTCTTTTCTTTGTGGTTTTGGCTGTCATTTTTTGCGTATCCTTCATGTCAACATTTAGCCTTTGGCTATCCCTTGGCATGAAATTTGTATTGTCCATGGCATTAGTGGTTATTTCAGAAAGACTTTCCTCTATACCTTGATTATGGTCCCACGTGAAAGGCCCATTATTGTCCATCACTTCGTGTCTCTCAACAACCATGGATTTTCTACGGCTTTTCGTGATTTTCTTTTTGTCCTTTTCAAGGTTATTGGAATCAGTGTCCCCTTTTGCTATGGGTTCCTCTACGTACATTGATTTCCTACGTTTGCCCTTTGCATTGGAGGACTTTAAGATTTCAGCAGCTGTCGGCTTGTCAAGTGTCCCTTGTGATGATGCAACATCTATTTTAAGGTTATTGGAATCTATACCCTCTTTCGTTATGGGTTCCTCTACGTACATCGACTTTCTTCGTTTGCCCTTTGCATTGGAGGATTTTAAAATCTCAGCAGCTTCTGGTTTGTCAAGTGTCGATTGTGATGATGCAGCATCTATTTTAAGGTTATTGGAATCAATATCCTCTTTCGTTATAGATTCCTCTACGTATATCGACTTTCTTCGTTTGCCCTTTGCCTCAGAGGTTTTTAAGATATCAGCAGCTTCTGGTTTGTCAAGTGTCGCTTGTGATGAAGCAGCATCTATTTCAAGGTTATTGGAAGCAGCGTCTTCCTTTGTTATAGATTCCTCTACGTATATCGATTTTCTTCGTTTGCCCTTTGCGTCAGAGCTTTTTAAGATATCAGCTGCTTCCGGTTTGTATTTTTTTCCCTGTGATGTTGTATCATCCAATTCATTATTTTGAGGTTTACATGTTCTTTCCTCTGCCATCAAATCACCCACCTCGGCATACATAGATTTGCGCCTTGATTTTAGAGGTTTCGACTTAAGTTTATCATTTGCCAAATTCTGTGGTCCCTCCTTATCCTTTCCTTCCGTTTTAATCAAAGATTTCCCACTTTGTTTTGAATCCAAGTTTTCACTCTCCTCCTCCTCTCTCAGAATTTCCGTATATAATGACCTACGTCTTGCTTTTAAGGGTTTCTTTTCACTTTTAGTTTCAACAGCAGTTTCAATGGTACTTTGACCTTGGGCCGTGCTCTCAACAGCAAGGGGTTTCTCTTTTAGAGTCTGACTTTTAGGGTAGGCTTTATCCTCACTCAAAGGTTTGTTCTCCAGGTTGTCACTCTTGCCTCTTTCCATATTTTCCATATTTTCGACAAAAGATTTATTTGTTTCTTTTTCAAGCTGCTGTCCTGGGGGAGATTTCAAATCTTCCCTGTCTACAAACATTGATTTTCGTCTGGATTTCAAAGGTTTTTTATCCACGGAATTTTGGGTTTTATTGTGCTCTGTCAATCTCATTGATATCTCATTTTCACCATCGTTCTGAATTCCCTCATTATGGACATCCAAAGAAGTAGAAGTAGAATTTTCTGAATTGTTTACCTCAAAAACCATAGATTTTCGTCTTAGTTTTAATGGTTTCTTGGAGCGCAGATTATTGTCTGTGGAGTCTAGATTTCGTCTTTGTGATTCCAGTGCTGTTGCCTCATCATTATATTTCGTACTTTCGGAAATGAAAGATGTTGATTCATTGGCCTCAGCAAACATGGATTTTTGCCGAGCTATCAACGATGTCTTTACAGATTCAATGCCATTCCCTTCGCTACCTTCCGATGATTTGTTCCCAATGATTTGTAAGGGGTTTTCATCATATTGACTTCCCGTGGTATCTTCATAATTCGTCGCACTTTCTGAGATGGAAGATATTGATTCATTGCCCTCAGCAAACATAGATTTTCGCCTTGTCACTAGAGATTTCTTTTCAGATTTAATACCAATATCCTCTTTACCTTGCCTTTCTTTAGTGCCAACAACTTCCTTGGTCTTCTCAACATATTGAGTTGCCAAAGAATTTGTCGGAATTTCCTGATATTCATCTTTGCCGGAACTTGAATCACACAATTCAGCAGCACACATTGATTTTCGTCTTGGGTTTTTGGGTTTTATAATGGAATTTGTTTGACAACTAGATTTGGTCTTCTCCTTTAAAGCCTCCTCAGTTTGGCAAATCAGCGAAATGCTGCTGTATGATGAGTTAGAGGTTTCCGGATTTTGACCATCGAAAATCTCAATAACTCTTGATTTTCTTCTTGATTTTATGGTTTTCGCAGGCTTCTCGGCTTGATTCTCCAAAGGACCTGGGTCACTGACTTTACTGACTACATCATGGTTGGGTTTTAAAATAGACCCAGAATCTGCAACATCGGCATACATGGACTTTCTTCTTGATTTTCTTATCGTTAAATCACCTCTATTGGAAAATCGATTTTCCATTGATGTTTGGGGCGAGGGATTCTCCGAATTTCTACGAGATTCCATTGAACACAAATTCGCATTGTTTGCACAAATCACATTCCAGGTTTGTGGTACCACATCATTGTTTAAAATATTTTGTAATGTTGCCAAATAATTTTGCATTTTATGCGCCTTGTCCGAGCCAGGGGATTCAGCTGCGTTTTTCTGAGTTCCATTTTTTGTGGGCTTTTTAAGTTTGGGTATTTTGTAGCTCATAATAAATGATCTGGCCGCATTCCTATCGGCCAAAGTTTGAGAACTTTTGGCAATAGAAACTATGGGATTTGATGCTTTTTTCTCTGGAGAACAAATTGCAGAATTATGAAGAGATTTTGGGGATGTTTTTGTATTCAAATTTGATTTTGATGTCATTGGAGCCGTTTCCTTTTTCAGTCCAAGTGGAGATGAGTTTTTTGCCTTTTCCAGGATTATTTTCATGTCAGAGATTTTAGAGGAAGTCTCGGGAATACCGGGAATTACACTATCATTTGTTTTAGATGCGATTTTTGGCATTAGTTTTCCTGATTGTGGGGTTTTCCGAATTACTTCCTCCATCACAGCTTTTGGTATCTCCTCCAACTGTTCAGGGGCTTTGGAAATATCTGGGTTTGCACAGGAAGTTTGCATCATAAAGTTGTCAATATTTTCCGATATTTCACCAGGGATATTTGAAGGAGTTTTCATTGTTCCAGATGTATTTGGCATTGGCGAAGTGGGAGTTTGGGAAACCACCAAAATATTTTGATATCGAATTGGGGAGGTATTTTCATCTGAGTTATCTGATTTCGTGGTCCTCGTTTGCTCATTTTCCTTTTTAGCCCCAAGGGATATTGTCTTAGTTGGAATTGTTTTAAATTTTGGATTTTCTGAAACGAAAATGGGTGTTTTTTTTTTTTAAATAAATTTCAGAAAAAAAGTTTGGTTTCCAGGTTCTGAAGAAAATACTTACCATCATTTGACTTTATGGTTTCATCAGCTGCTGTGCTGTCTCCCCTCTTAGCCCTCAACTCTGTTGAATCCTTGTTACTAAGGCAAGATGTACGGCATTCTCGAGTATCAATGTAGCTTTCCCCATTGCCTCTTAACTCTGTTGAATTCCTGTTGTTCCGGAATGAGTTTTGGTATTGTTGAGCAGATGCTGTGTTGCCTTCTCTATTACCTCTCAAATCAGATGAATCCCTTTTCTTCGGGGAAGGAGCATGGCATTCTGGGACATCACCAAACGGCCTTGGGGGCTCATCAGCGGTAATTATGGCTTCCTCATTACCTCTCAATAATTCAGAAAAAGCCTTTTTATTCGAGGGAGGTGAGTGATATTCCCGGTCATCAATCGCCTTTTTCAAGTCATCAATTGCTCCTTCGCCATTATCCCTCAACACTGATAAAGCATTTTTGTTCAAGGAAGCTGCATGACATTCCGATACATCAATTGCCTTTATCGTCTTCTCAGCTGCTATATGGCCTTCCCCTTTACCTCTCAAATCAAATGGAACCTTTTCATTGAAAGAAGCTGTTTCCAATCCCTTCACCGAACGCATGTTTTCATCTAAACACCTACCCCTCCTTAAATTATCCCTTTTTGGCACTGTTTCCAAAACCAATTTCTCTTGCATACTGCTCGATAGAATCTCTCCCAAGGTGCTACGCGAATCATCCGTATCCGCCATTTTGGATTTACCATTTTTTGCCTTGCCTTTTCTTTGCTTTGAATTGCCGGCAATTAATTTCGGTTTCTTCTTTGCAATTCGATGGCATTTCGATTTGTAGGAGAGGCACAAGGGGAGCTTTTTCTTTTTAATCATTGCCAATCGGAGTATGGCCTTATCCATAAGTTTTTCAGCACTTCGTACACGTATGGGGGAGACAGTTAGGGGCTTGGTTTTTTGCCTCTCTTGGGTACGGGAACCCTTGATTTTATCAGAGAATTTAAGTTTCGAGTCTTTTGTCAAAAGTTCTTTTACTTCAAGGGTCTCCAAGGCAGGGGGAATGCTATCATTCTTTAGACATGTAAGTCCCCCCTTAGGAGACTTCTCTTCTTCAGCTGCATTCTCTTTGGTCATATTTTGAATTTCATCTTTTTGATCTTCTTCTTCCATTATTTTCAATTTCTTATCCTCATCAGAACTATCAGCATCCGAATCATCTTCAATTTCAATGGTGTCTTTGTTCACCTCCAACAATTCCCAATGCAATTTTTTATTTAACAAATTCATTGTTGTTGTCGCAGTGGTGGTAGTGGTTTTTGTGGCATCTTTTAAAGTATCTACCGTACAAAGGACACTGGTGGCTGGCAAAATAAATTCTTTAGACTTGGCCGTAGAAATGTTCGAATTTTCCAAAAGATTTTCACTGGAACTTTTGTGTATATTCTTAGAGAAAATCCCACTAAAATTTGAAGGGGTAGGACATGAGGTGGATATGGAAGGCAACACAATGGGAACATTGTAACAGTCATTTAAACTCAGCGATTTCAGGGTAGTTGTACAATCACTTGAGGTATTGTTAATGATTGGAGACAGCTTTGTTTTAGAGGGGGATTGGAATTTTACAATTTCTAATTCTGACTTGGCGGAGGGGGTTTTATTATTTAGATTACTTTCAACATTTTGCGGAATAGGCACCTTAAAATCAGTCTTTTGTTTAGTAAGGCTTGGCATACTGGCGTGACCCACACTTGTATCCTTTGAAAGTAAGCTTGAGGTATTTTCAAATTCCTTGCCTGTTGTTTCAGTCGTGCCATTTGCCAGTTTAGATGTTAGATCTGAATTTTCTTGGTGATTTTCGGTTTTATCGTGGTCTGCCAAATTGGTTTCTTTCGTGAACCTCAAATTAAGCTGAGGTTGCAAAGAAAATTTACCTTGGTCAGAACTTCCTACATTTACTTCCTTGGCTTCATTGCTGAAATTTGCTAAATTTTCAATTTCATCCTTAGACTTAGCTTCGAGACCATTGTTTCCTTTAGCAGAATTTTCAGCAATTTCAAGTGGAGCTGAAGCAACATTCGCCATCTCCATATAATCCAAATTGGTTTCCTTTGAGAACTTCAAAGGAGTTTTATTCTTCATGGGAGATTCCATGACCAAATTTTCCTTTTCTTCAGTGGCTTTTTCGACTGCCTTTTCACTTTGTCCACCCATCGAATCTTTGTCCTCTTCTTCACTGGGGTTTTCGATACATTTTTCACTTTGTTCAACCATCGAATCTTTGTGTTTTTCTTCGGAGGAAGCTAAAACTTTTGCTTCGTGCATTTTTAATTCTTTATCCTTTTCAGATTCTTCAAAATGTTCGACAGTGTTTAAATTTTTCAAAGAAATATTTGTCTTAAATTTTTCAGTTGAAGAATTTCCAATATCTTTCGTTAATATCGAATGTCTTTTTTGATCTTCAGAAATGAGGCTGGGCTGTTCATCTTCTACCAGAGGAGCTTTTGTTTGTTCTGAGGCTCTACCATTATTTTCTTTAGTCGTTTTATCTCTTACAGCACTGGCTTCACCAACTGATTCTGAAGAAGTTTTTGTTGCCAAATTTTCCTCCTGACCACATTCACTTTCAGGCATTTCCTTTTTTTGCCCTAATTCATCTTTCTCCTGCCCTGGACACATGGCAGACTGTTGACACATAGCTGGAATTTTGGAATATGTTTCAAGGCAATTGTTATTGGCTTCTTTTGGATTATTTTCAAAGGTGTTGGAGTTTTGAGTGGATACGTTTCGATCCAGTTTTAAATTGTTATCCACTCTCGGTTCCAAGTCCCTATCTTCATCTACACCTCCTTCTGATATAACTGGATTTGATACTTCCAACTCTTCTCCCATGTTTTCTTCTTCCAATTCAAAAATTTCGGAATTATTTGTAGCCACAGCAAAAAAATTATGAACAACTGAATCTTCTTCAGGCTCTCTTTTTTCATTTATTGATTTGTTGGGACTTCCTTGATTCAAATCTCTCTTTGAGTCACACAACTCCTGATCATCAACAATAATCAGAGAAGCATCGGAATCTTCAGGTTCTACTGTATCTTTATGCAGTTTGGTGGGACTTTCTGGCTTCAAATGGCTTTTTGAGTTTAAAACGTCTTGATCATCTTGATGATCGTCAATAATAATCAAAGATGTTTCAAGATCTTCAGACTCTTTTGTAGCTGTCTTCAATTCGGGGGAGCTTCCAAGATTTGAATCCCCTTTTGAATTGGAAATCTCTTGATTCTCCAAAGTTGTCTCAATAGGCTTGCGGTCTTCTTGCAGTTTTGGGACAGATTTTTCTTTAATTACTTCTGCTTTTTGGGGTATAAGATTTGTAGGATCTCCCTCCTGCTTAAATTCTTTAGAAGAACAGCTTTCAGTCTCTATTGTTTTGTTCTTTTCCGGTGTGCCATCCGACCAGGTTAAATCGAGTGAAGAACAACCCGAAGAATTTTGTTTGGAAGATGTGCTGCTAGTATCCAATTCTTTTGCTGCTATTAAAGGCGTATTGGAAGTGGAGTCTGCCGGCAAGGATTCATCACAATATAACAACGTTTGCATAACCCTTGGGGATGATTCACATGCTTTGGATAGTTTTATGGGTGTGATTGATGTACAATTTAGTTGCGGAGAATCTCGTTGCGCTTGAATCGATTTCGGTTCTTCAGAATTCGAGTAATTGGAATCTACTGCCGGTTTTTTAGAGGTATTTAAAGCTGCGGTTGTTCGGCAATCTAACTTTGGAGAAACTTTTGCTGATTTAATACAGGTTATCGGCTTAAAACACATGTTTTCCAATTCCTTAGACAATTTTAAGGGAGAATCTAAATTCGTGAAATCGGATTTTTCGCAAGTCGACAAAGCCTCGGGAGACAAGGCAGAGATATTTAATGTTTTAGAAGTAGGAGTTTTGGTTGGCGTTTCTAATTTGGGGGGATCTGATTTGGCTTTGGTCTCAGACAAAGAAAATAAATCAGATTTTTCCCCTAATTCCGAGGACGAGGACTTTGGAGGCAAGTCTAATTCATCAGATGCCTTGGAAGATGTAACTGAATCTGTTCTCAACACCGCCTCCAAAGACTTTGGTGGAAATTTCAATTCTGATTTCGTTACACTCGTATCTTCAACATTTTGAACTGCCGCCGCAGACTTGGAAGGTAATAAATTCGCGGTAATAGAAGCTTCTTTTAAATTGACATCTTTGGAAACATTTTTAGAACTCTTTTTCATTTCAGATTCATTAACGTGAAATACCTCTTCGGCTGTATTTACGGGATCCGATATATGCTCTACATGCAGCTGGCTCTTTTGAAGATGAATTTTTCCAGTTTCTTTAGAAGAGAACTCCATTTTTGGTGAAGAATCAGCGTTGTTATGACCTGCACTTTTAGTGGAGCTTTCAGCCACATCAACGACTGCATTAGGTATGTCATCTTCTTTGAGACTGCTTTCATTGGGATTTGTAAATAAAACAGACGTTTCGGAAGGTTTTGCAATTTTAGGACAGTTCAAAGGCTCATCAACATTATCGTTTAGGTTTGTTATTTCTGAGGGCTTCATTGGACCTTCAACTTCTTTATTTATTGTGTAAATTTCAGATTGTTTGGATTCGATCGAATTTCCACTGTTCGAACCTGCAGTCATTCTACAGGAACTTTCCCGAGTGACAGCCTTTCCGTTTTGATTTTCAGTCAAGGAAGACATTTGATTCGTGTCTGTAGTAGGACAAACTTTTTCATTGATACATTGAGTGTTTTGAAGGTCTTTTGCTTTGTATACCAAAGAAGAGTCCCGCGTCATAGAAACTTCCTGGGTTTTGGTGGCAGCAGTTATCTCATCTATTCTCTTGGATGTCTTCAGAATATCTTTTGTTAGACTAACCATAAGTAAATCCAGGCCAGGTATTTGTATGTTAGTGTTGTTTTGAGCATTCCGATTTTCGTTTGAATTTCCGGTTTGCTTATCTGCTGTATATCCTTTAAAATCTACCCCCTTTTCGTTATCACAGATATCTCCTTCTTCTTCTTCTTGCTCGGTTAAATCAATAACATTCTTTGTTAATTTCGCATCATTCGGTACAAAACATTTTTCCAATTCCATTTTATTAAAACTTGTAGGCTGATTATTTTTACTATTTGGACCAGAATCTATGTCACTATATTCACTTGGTGATGTGGTTTTAGATCCCATTTCAAGATTTCTGTTGATAATATTTTTGGGAGTTCCACCACTGCTACTCTCTGTTGTACTTGGCGATGGGCCAAAGAGTGCATTGAATAGAACATCTTTGCGCGGCGTGTTAGATGGCCGGGTAATGTTAACGTTTTTCTGGGATTCTTGAATCAAAGCAGGGTGCAGGATAACACATACATCTTCATTGGAGCTTGGTTTGCCGTTTTCTTTGCCTGAAATCTGGTCAGTGGATGATTTTGGTTGTTCCCTTTTTCCTTTGGACTCTTCATCCAAATAATCGTAGAGGACATCACAAACATTGTCCTTTGTTTGGGTTTTCATATTTTCATTGGCCTCCTCCCTGGGTTTCGTATCCAAATCATCATAAAGCATGTCACATACATCTGTTCCGGTTTGGTCATTTGATGTTTTATTAGAAATTTCTTTGGGGTCTTCAGTCAAATCTTCGTATAGAGTATCATACAAATTTGTCGCGGTTTGGTGATTTGTTGGCATTTTACTTTCTTCAGAATCTTTAGTCAAATCTTCATAAAGAACCTCATATAAATCCAACTTGTCGTGGTGCAATTTTAATGTATCCATTCTCTTGGAATCTGCATCCAAACGTTGGAAAATCGCATCACACAAATTTTCCTTTGAAGAAGTGTGGACCGTATTTTTGCAAGACTGTTGATCATTTCTACACCTGTTAGAAGACCCTGCTACATTGTCCTTGGGAGGTCCTTCTTCGGGATTTATTTCATTATTTTTCGCCACGAAACATTTGCTTTTTTCCTCTTCTTTTCGAAAGTCTTTTTTCGGTTTATTGTCTGATTCATTTATGCTACTTTGATTATCGCTGGGGATTCGGTTGTTGGATTCTAATGTTGGTGGGGTTCTGGATCTGTAAAGAAGTGCAAAATATTTCATTATTGAAAATTCCAAACAGAGATACTTACACAAACAATGTGGAATTTTGTCTATGATAGAATCTCAATGATTTGTACAGCATCGGAAGGACAATTGAGGTTTTTAGAACCACAATTCTACGTTCCAAACTAATCATGAAGATGCTGCAGTTATTGGAATTCTATTGCATTTATTCTCTGCGAAAGGGCAATTCTAAAAACAACACGGACACCTATTTGATATTCCCCGATTTGGATATGAATTGGAATAGAATAGAGTGTGTTCCTCCAATTTCAATAGAAAGATAATTTGTTTATAAATCAATAAAAAATGAGGCTAAATAAATTTAAATAAAAAAAATGGTGTCGCAAATCTTCCCCAAAAAAAAAAAACCTTTGAAACAGCTATACATGATATGGAGCATTTTACATATGATTCCGGCTTCATTTTTTACAGGCATTTATTAAAATTTCTTAAAATAGGTATAGGAAGCTAATACAGATTTATAAAATTAATAAAAGTTATATAAAACTTACCCTAAATTCTTCATCTCTTTGACTTTTGAAGAATGCAAATGTTCTGTCGATCTGTTGGAGTCTCCATCTGCTGTGACGTGGTTTTCTGTCTTTCTGGAATCACTGCGATGTGAGTGGGAACGTTTGTATTCATTTTCTCGCTCATAATCAGATTTATTTTTCGATTCCCTATCTCTGTGATGCGAACGCTGATGATCCCTGTGATCTGGACTTCTTTTGCGGCATTCATTTCTCCTTTTCGTTGATGGCGAGTGATGTGATCTTCTATCCCGTTCATCGCGTCGTTCCCAATATTTTTCTTTATAACTTTGGCGAACTGGACTTACTTCAGCTTTTTTATCCTTACATCTAGAACTATAGCTAGCATCTTGTGCAGAAATCTTCCCTGTATTACGATGATATTCATCGTTTGTATTACGTCTCTTGTCACTGGGAATTGTTGGACTGGAATCAAGGCGTCTTTTGATAGGATTTCCTTGAATATCCTCGGAAGTTTCATTTCTTGCAGGATGCTTTTCTGCATCACATTTTGGCAAACGCTGTTCATCTCTTCGTTCAGACGCTGAACTTCTTTGATTTTGTTCCACATTCTTTGAATGTGTAGGCACTCTTCTTCTAAAACAGATGTCGTCTTTCCTGGAAAAAATGAAATGAAAAGATTGCTAATTACGCATTTCTTTTTCTCCAACTCAACGCCTTACTCTTTTCGCAGTCTTTCAATTTCTGCATCCTTGCGCCTAATCTCAGTGCGTGCCGTGTCTAATAGACTTTGAAAACTTAATTCTATGCGATGTAATTTCTTTGTTAAACTCTTGTTCTCCTCCTCCAGCTGGTGTATGGTTTGCAAAGCTTCTTGGTATTTTGCCTCGGCTTCTTTTAATTCTTTGGATTTCTAAAAATGAAAAAAAATGATTTTCTTCTACCGTGAAGGAATTTTGCGAATTTCGTTGTGTTTTACCTGTTCATGTTGTTCTTGGAATTCATCCAGGTCTTCGTATAAATCTATATCATCCATTTTTTATTGGTAATTTGTGAAATATTTCACGGTAAAACTTTTAAATTGATTTCTAATAATTAAAACAACATTGGAACCGTCTCTGCTCTGAAGCTGCTAAATCCTCTGTTTGCCTTTATTTGCAGTGTTGCAAAATGTTGTAGTGATAAACAACTTGTCAGGGATCTAAAGATGTAATATTGTAATAAAGGGTGAACAAGACCAATCAAGGCAGGGTTGGACAACAAAGACTGCTTTCTTTAACGGCTCCATCGTGGCTTAATAATTCTTTCGGATATCATGCGTATCCGGTATACGCCACACCGTATCGTATATATGCTCCAACTATACAAAAGGTCCAGCAATGCAATCACTAGATCAGACATCACCATAAACGGTAGCTTCACGATCCCGAGCCGACACTACTCTACCAGAAGCTGCAGCTCCACAATTAAAAGGTCCACCTCCACCACGAGCAACAGGTCCATTGCCACAAGCATCAAGCTCCCACTCTAAGCAGCATATTTACTTTTTGAGTCGATATATGCACGTCAGACAACCTGTCAGTCCGTCCATGTATCCTTGTGAACAAAATGCAGGTCGCATTTATTATCCGATTGAGATGAAATTTCCCAAACAACATTTGTTTGGCCCAAAGATGAACCCTATTGAAATTGGTGATAATCGGGATAATGAGATTTAGATATAGCTCCTATGTATCTTCAACCGATTTCGGGTAATTTTTTGACCAAATTGCCAATATCAGTGCAAAAGTCCTGAATTTTGGCACATCCAACCGAATTCAGTCTGGAAGCAAGTACGTGAAATTTGGTGAAAATCGATTCAGATATAGCTTTAGCTTCCATATATATGTTTCATCCGATTTGGTGTTTATGTCCCTCACATTTGTAATATGCATTCGATAACAATGATATTCGGTACCAGATATCAGTTACAGTCCAGAGATACCTCTGCCAAATTTTATCAAGATCGGTTCAGATTTGGGTACAGCTCCCATATATATCTTCAATCGATTTAGGGTTAATTGTGCACCAAATGATCAATATCTGTCCAAAAGTCCTGAATTTTGATACATCCGACCGAATTCAGTCTAGAAGCAAGTACACCAATTTGGGCAAAATCGGTTCAGATATAGCTATAGCTCCCATATATAGGTTTCATCCGCATGCAATATATATATATTTTTTAATATATTCCTTATTAAAGTCGCAGCATGCACTATAGCAATGTTATTTGGTTCAAGGTTGGTATGATCTACTTCACATAAATTCCCAATATAATTTTTTTGTTACGGGAGCTTTACTAAATACGCATAGTGGTGTAGGGTATCATATAGTCGACCCCGCTGGACTTTTGACCTTTTCTTACTGGTTTAAGTTTATTTTATTAATGTGTAATAAAAAATGAATATAATACTGTCTGCTAATATTTTTCTTTACATTCATATGAGGTAGCAACAGAATATTATATCCCACAAATCTATTCGTTAAATTCAGTATACATCTTTAGTGCAAAAAAACCCTCAGAGTGCGTAACGCCTCTTTTGCACTGCCAAAAGGCTGCCATACACACTGCGTCAACATAGAAGGTACTACCTATCATAACAACATATGAGATGAAAAATGGCGCGAAATTTTGTTTTGTTTTTGAAGCTGTCAGTTTTAATTTGTTTACGGTTTGGATTTTTGTTGATGAGCTTGTTCATTTTTGCGCAAGAAGAAGTGAACAAACTTTAATTAGGATATTGCTGACTTAAACAAAATCCAACAATAAATCCAGTAAATACTTTGTTTTATAGCTAGTCAAAGGCAGTAGCTGATGCATTATGGATTCAACCATATCGGTTTCCAAAGTAAGTATCCGGCATTGGTAAATTATAATTTGTAGGGAATAATAATTACACAATAATTACTTTGCAGGGCTGTTTTGTTTTTAAAAATGGTGCCACCCGAGCAGACAAGTCTAAAAAAGCCACAAAACGCAAAAAAGCATCACCCGGTCAAACCGGCATTCTGGGAAAGGAGATAACAGATCAACCATTCTACGCGGTTTATGCCGAAACTTGGAATAAAATACAAAGCCACATAGATGCCTTACAAATTGAGAGCAGTGCCAAAACTTTGCAGGAATTGGTGGACTATGTTGTAAAGGAGAGTAAAAATGAAGAAAAATATTTGGGACTGGTTGAAATAGTACCCGCTGCAGCTCTATTGACGGGCATTAATCAACCCGATCACTTGGAACAATTTGATAATCTCTCGCATCGTATCAATGAACAAATATCGGCCAGTATTTGTCTGCTGCAATCGCGTGATTGTTCCACATTAAAATCAGCCGTGGAAACTATGGTTTATAATTTCATTGAAGCTCCCCATGAAGACGATGAAGATCGTGATCATAAGAGATTGAGGAAATCACAATGCACTATGAACCAATTGAAGACATGGTATCGCAACAATTGGCCGGATGCATCCCACAAAAATCCCCAGTCAAATGAAGAAGATAATGCAAATAGCAAAGCTCGACACATGCTTATTGTTATATTGCCGGATTTTGAATGTTTCAATGCATTCATATTGCAAGATCTTATTTTGATACTCAGCTCGAATTGTACAGATCTGCCGTTCATGTTAATTCTGGGCATTGCCACATCCATTGCAGCGGTACACAATGCCTTGCCCTATCATGTTACATCAAAAATTAAATTGCGCATTTTTAAAACACAATCGGCTCCAGTTGGACTGAATGAGGTAATTTGAATGATGTTTGAAAACTAAAACTCAATAACATTTCTTATTTCTTTTAAGATCCTTGAAAAGGTCATATTATCCCCCAAATATGCCTTTCATTTGTCGGGCAAGGCCTTTAAGTTTCTAACCCACATTTTCCTCTACTATGATTTTTCCATAAATGGTTTTATACAAGGATTTAAGGTAAGTGCGTTAAAGTAATTTGATTGAATTCCAACAAATTGTATTCTGTGCAGTACTGTCTAATGGAACACTATTTCCAAGGCAATGCCTACGCCTTGTGCTGTAACTATTCCACTTCCTTGACCAAAATCAAGGCTCTCACCCATGATGATATGGAGATGATACGCAAACAATTATCGTTTCGTCCATATGTGGAAAGCATTAATGACTGCAAACGCATTATTGCCATACTAACCGACGATGATTATCTGAAAAAGAAACTGCCAAGTCTCCTAAAAGAGTGTCATATCTATTTTATGCTTTATCGCATCTTTTTGGAATTCCTAACCGTTTTGGTTGAGGACTTACCCAAATGTCCATTGGGCAAATTTCGTCGTGAGTTGTATGCCACATGTTTGGCCAAAGACGTTTGCTCACAGCCAGAATATAAAGAATGTTGGCAAGTATTGGCCTTTATGTCTAAAGATGAATTTGTGGCAAAAATCTCCAAGGCCATTACCCAAACTCAGGAATTCTATGAACAGGAGATACATGAAAAGCTGGAATTGTTCGCAGACTGTGAGGAGATAGTTATTACCAAATTGCATGATGTCAAGGAACTGCTTACCAAAGTTGTTATGGCTGGCATGGATGCCGGCAAATCACAGCAGCAGCAGCAACAGCAAACCACAGTCACATCTCCGGAAGAGTTAAAACAAGTCTCCTCACGCCAAGATCTAAAAGATAAACTTTTGCAAATGTCTAAGGAACAAAAACCTGTATCGGAATTTGCAAAGTCGGTGCAGGAAACATTGGATTATATTGAAAAAGAAATTGTTATGACTCACTTGGGCCCCCTACAAAAGGCTCCGCCATTGCATGAGTTGTTTGTATTTTCCGATATAGCCACTGTTAAGCGAAACATTATTGGTGCACCGCGTGCTGCCTTGCATATGGCCCTTAACAATCCCCATTTCTATTTACAATGTAAATGTTGTAATCTGCGTGAAAATACCCAATTACTGCCCTCACTGCCCGACATATCGGTGATGTATAAACTACACTTGGAATGTGGCCGTATGATAAATCTTTATGATTGGCTACAAGCCTTCCGTTCGGTTGTTGATTTTACCGAAGATGATCAGGAACAAATTGATCCGCAGATACAGTAAGTAAAGTGGGAGAATTTGTTAAAATTAAATAGAAATTTCAGATTTGCTTGTTTGTTTTTTTAAGAGCCCGCTTTACCCGTGCCGTGGCAGAGTTACAGTTTTTGGGCTACATAAAAATGTCGAAACGTAAAACGGATCATGCAACGCGTCTAACATGGTAACTTCGCATTGTCATTGTTTTTGCCGTCAATTAAAAAAAAATAAGTTATTTTTTGTACTTTTTTTGATATTATTGGAAAAAAATATAGATATTTTTCTTAAATATATGAATGAAAAAAGCCTTTAATTTTGGAGAAAACACAGGGTGAGATAAAAAAAAACTGCAACAAAATCAGACGCCATATTTTTCATATTTTTTTTAATTTTATTGAATGAAAGCAAAAAAAAAAGTTAGAAATACCATCAAATTTTAGAATACGTTTAGATTTGTTCGAATTGGTCACCTTTGGCACGAATTATGGCCTTCAGGCGGCCAATGAAACCGTCAAACGCTGCCCGAATGTTGCGCTGCGGCATTTTCCCACCAAAATGCTTTCGGACGCTTGTAAACAATATAATGAGCTCTCACTCGAATAATTTTAACAGCTGTCGGACGAGTGCCTTAGAAATGACAGCAGTCTGAAGTTGGTTGCCGTTTTTTTCATCTCACACTGTATATCACTGTTTTTTTTTACACATTTACTCTCCTTAAAAATCCATGAAAAGAAAATTGAAATTCTTTTTTTTTTGTTTTACAATAAAATTGCATTTGTTTATTGTTTAAACTTAACTACAACTAGCTTTCTTGTTTTAATATTTAAATGTCACCGATGTGTTCATGTTATAAAAGATTGAAATCTTTTCGTTATTATTATTAAATGTTTATGGGTTTGTGTGGTATATAAATGTGTATTATTACAAGAAAAAAATGTATATATGGGGTGTGTGTGTATGTGAGTAAAGATTGGTGTTGCTTCTTCAATGGCAAAGGTATAAAAAATATTTTATTTATTTTGTGTTACTATCCAATTAGTTAAAATAATTATTTCCCTTCGAAATTTATATAACATTTTATTTTTAATTTCTATAAATATATATCTAAGAGTGTATATATATTTTTTTCGTATATTATGAGTCGTTCTTTTTTCATTTGTATTGCTTTGCTTTTTTGTTTTGTGAATTAAGGAGGGAACTTATGGCTGAATTTTAGAGATTTTGGAAGAAAAAAATAAGGAGTGGTTTATGTTCCACTTACATTTTTGGCAGGCATTTTTTATATATGTTTGTTTGTATATAATTTGTTTTTTAAATAAAATCTATGTTTTTTTATAACTAAAGATTCGAATATATTTTGAGCTGATATGATTTATAAAAGATCTAATAAATTTCTAAAAAAAATCTCTAATGAGTGTCCTGGTTACTTATATTAAATTTTATAAATGTATAAAAAGTTGATGTAAAGCTTTTAATATTATTTATGTTGTTGTTTTTTTATTATGAGCACAGAGTTTTGTTTGTTTGAAGGCATGATCTATTAATTTGCAAACCCATAACAGAGAGTGAGAGAGAGAGGGAGAGAAAAAAGGAAGCAAAGGAGCACAACTGAGATTCAAATTAAAAAAAGAAGATGAAATAAAAATTTCTTTAAATTGTAGACGTTTTTCATTTCAAATTTTCGCAGAAAGTTATTCTTTCCCCCATAATACGAAACGGCTCCCCCTCCCATCCATCTACACATACGTATTTAGTTAATACATTAAAACAAAATACTTAACTAAACTCCATATTTAACTAAAGACAAACGAAACGATAAAAAACACAGATTTATAAACCAAAATGTTTTTTGTTCATTAGAGTTTGCATTAATGGGTTTTCCCTCCTCCTCATCATCATAATCATCATCATCGTCATCATTATTGATCGATCCCACGCACTCACGTAGCCACTGACGCCTCTCAACCAAACAGCACCAATACTTTCTTGAACAACAACAACAACATTGACACACCAAATGTTTAAAACAATGGCAGCGACAACGTTCCATTGAAAATAAGGAAATGTATTTTTCCCAGGAAGGAAGGAAGGCAGGGGACAGGTGGGGAAAGTTTTTGTTGTATGTTTTGTGTCTGTTTTTCGTGGCTTTCTTGTTGTTGTTGCTGCTACTTCTATGTTGCGTTGGGTGAGCGCTAAATTCTCTTTGTTGTTGTTATTGTTTAACATTAAATTTTAATTAAATTATTATTAATATTCTGTTGACGTTTGCGTTTGGCATTCATTGCATCGACAATTGGTTGGCGCTTGGCATTATACTTCTTGTTGAGCTCCTCAATTTCTTTTTCCATTTCCGAATCAATATTGTTGAGACGTTGATTCAAATCGTCAAAGGTAAGGAATTTCAAGAACTCAAATTCACCATCCACATAGGAGTGGGATGAGGTGTGTAAATGATGATGATGATGTTGCTGTTGGCCGGGATGGGGTTGTTGCTGTTGTTGTTGTTGGGAGTAGGCAGGTGGCGGTTGCACATATTGCTGTTGTTGTTGCTGCTGCTGTTGATTTAAAGCTAATAAATGTTGTTGCTGTTCATTGATCAAGGGATTGCAGCCATAATACGCAGCTGCGGCGGCCGCTTGCTGTTGCTGTTGTTGCATCTGTAAATGTTGCTGGTGCTGCTGCAAACCGTATTGATTAATGGCCGAGATTTGTTGAAACTGTTTCTCCATATTATTTTCCCAATTTGTATCATTGGAATTGGCATTGGTTAGCGGTGTGTGACTGTGGGACTGTTGAGGTTGATTGTGGTTGTTTTGTTGGGAGTTGGAAATGGCTGCCGCAGCCAATGCAGCTGCTGCCGGCGAATATTCAGCGGCTTTGTCCTCGGCCACAGAACGTTGCTGAATATCGGGATTTTTCCTTTCGAAATGATCCAGGAACTGGGGACGATAACGTGGTTTATTTCCCTCATTACGTTTGGCCGTGGACGAGTCATCCGAATCGGAGTTTATTACCATGGTGCCTGCAAGAATTCGAAAAGAAAAAATCTAAATACCAAATCCTTAGAAAATAATTCATTAACTCACCTAAATTTGATTCCAATTCCACCATTGTACCACTGTCCACAGCCGTCATATCTCCCGTATCTTGTGATTTGTTTGCCGCCATGCCACCCTTGCCGGGACACAGTGTACCCATATCTTCTGTATGAGCAATCATTGTGGCATCCGAAGCATTTGAGGTCTGTTGATATTCCCCGAACTTCTCCGGCACCAAGGTACCCGGATCATCAATAAATGTCTTGACCGTTTCCACCGGGAACTCTCCGCCATGCTCTTCTTCTGCCAGTATATCATCCTGTTGGGTGGCCAAACTCTTCGCCTGACTCATACCCTGAACCGAGCCACCAGAAGCCTTTGAATTTCTTTGCTGTTCGCGTATGGCACATGTTTCCTCAATCATTGTCTTTAGGATACTACGATGTTTGGCATTGCGTATGAATTCATGCTCCAGCAAGTCGGAGGCAGTGGCACGTTCTTCAGGGTTTTTCACCAAACAAAGACTCACAAAATCTATAAATTCAGTGCTCCAGCGATCAGGTTCGCGAAAAGATGGTGGTGGTTTTTGTGGTATCATGAAAATAGCACGCATGGGATGTATATCGCCATACGGTGGCTTGCCCTCGGCCATTTCCAAAGCAGTAATGCCCAAAGACCATATATCGGCAACGCAGTCATAACCAATTTCCTCAATCACTTCGGGGGCCATCCAAAACGGGGTGCCAATCACTGTGTTCCGCTTAGCCATGGTATCCGTCAACTGTCCAGCCACCCCAAAATCAGCCAACTTTGCATATCCCTCTGTGTTGAGCAATATATTGCCAGCCTTTATGTCACGATGTATCTTCCGCCGCAAATGCAGATACACCAGTCCCTTCAATGTGTCCGACAATATTGTAGAGATTTCATCTTCCGTTAACGTCTTCTTACGCAGCCTCATTATATCCGAAACACTACCAGCACCACAGTATTCCATACAGATCCACAGATCATATTGCTTAAAATATGAGCCATAATAACGCACCACATAGGGAGAGTCGCACTGTTGCATTATTGAGATTTCTTTGATAATATCGTGCAGATCGGATTCGACGGGTACTAATTTAATGGCCACAATACTGCTGCTCTCCTTATGCAGGGCCTTGTAGACCGAACCATAGCTGCCCTCTCCCAATTTACAGATGATATCGAAAACCTTTTCCGGTGGCTGTAGCAAAGACTCTTCGGACAATTTCTTGAGTTCATTTTTATTTTTATTGGAAGACATTCTGTTGCATTACTTTTCTATTTTTGTTCTGGAAAATTTTGAACAAATCTTGATCTTGTGTAGAATTTTTTTCCTTAAAAAAGCACCTGCCGAGTTCTTTTGTTTATTTCAAGTTGATTTGACCATATGCCAATGGATAATTTTCGAGATCTCCTTAATTTGTCTTCCAAAGAACGGCAAGCTATTTTTATATATATTATAAGCTTTTGTTGGCTTCTTTTGTGTAAAATTTCGTCGATTTTGTGATTTTTTTCAACAAAAGAAAAAAAAAGAATGCTTCAAATGTCAAATATGAAGGAATGTCACCTGCGGCTAGAGAGCGAGAGAGTGAGTTTTATGCTATCGATTAGTGGAGTGTGTATGTTACGTTGGAGTCACAAAGAAACGAACACAATTACACTTCGGTTTGACACTGGTTCCTCAATTCAGTCAGTAAACATCTATATATGCGCAGAGGAGAGAAATGCATGTAAACAATAAGCCGTTCAGTGCCGGCTCATTTAGCTGACGAGATTTGTAGTTTATTTACAGACACTTGGCATATTTGCTTGCAAACATTTTGAAATAGAGAGCAAGAAACTTCACTTTTCTATTTATTTCCGCACATGAATGATGATAATTCATGTATTCCCATTTACGACATTCGAAACTCGTTCCTTCGTTCATTCAGGTGAACATCATAATCGGTTGTTTCTCTTCTTTGGGATCTCTGCCAATCCAATCATTGTTTTTGTTTTGATTTTTATCTTTATCACTCAATTCGGCTCTAATTTTTTCCCTGTTTGTGCTTCGGTGACGGCGTTTTCTTAATATTTATTGGCTTCGTAATTTGGCTTCGATTGGATAATTTGGAGCTGGTGGTGGCGGAAAAGCTGAGAAACTCATAAAAATGTTATTAACTCTTCAAGTTTTAACAAAATCTTCCTGTCTTAGGCTAACAAAAGCCTCTATCTGCAATGGCAAAGTCTTAAGAACAACAACTCCAGCCAGATTTCTAGTGTCATCCCGGTGTTTGGCCAGCACAAGCACAAATACGGCAGAACAAAGTCGCATCGACATAAATGGTGCCTCGTTCGTGGTGGATAACTGGACAAATGTGACACCCAAAATACTCTCCTATGTGGGCATGCAAAAACATCTGCAAACAAATCATCCCCTTTCCATAATAAGGCAGCGAATTGTCAATTATTTCTATAAGACCTACAAGACTTCTCGAGGAAATCCTTTATTCTCGGTCTATGACAAATTAAATCCGGTGGTAACGGTACAGCAAAACTTTGACAATCTTCTGATACCCTTGGATCATGTAAGTCGCAATAAGTCGGATTGTTATTACATAAATAAAAGTTATCTGTTACGAGCCCACACCACAGCCCATCAGGTTGATTTAATATCCAGTGGTTTGGATAATTTTCTCGTTGTGGGCGAAGTTTATCGACGTGATGAAATCGACAGTACCCATTATCCGGTGTTTCATCAATTGGATGCTGTACGTTTGGTAACCAAAGATAAATTATTTGAACGTAATCCAGATTTGGAAATATTTGAGAATGAGTGGCGAGAGATTCAAGGAAACAAACAGAAACAACAGTTGATACATTCATCTTCCAAGTGTTTGGATCAATCGAAACAACCCTGCCACACACTGGAGGCTGTTAAACTTATGGAACATGAATTGAAACAGGTGCTACTTGGCTTGGCCCAAGATTTGTTCGGTTCAAATATTCAGTACCGTTGGGTAGACACATATTTCCCCTTTACCCAACCCTCCTGGGAATTGGAGATATTCTACAAAGATAATTGGTTGGAAGTGTTGGGTTGTGGCATCATGAGACACGAAATCTTACAACAGTCTGGAGCGCATAACTCAATTGGCTATGCCTTTGGTTTGGGTCTGGAACGCCTGGCCATGGTGCTGTTCGATATACCTGACATACGTTTATTCTGGTCCAACGACAGTGGATTTTTATCGCAATTTAGTGAAAAAGATCTATACAAATTGCCCAAATACAAACCGGTATCCATGTATCCCCAGTGTAAGAATGACTTATCATTTTGGCTACCAGCTGGGGTGGATGTTGATGCTGGTTTTGTACCAAATGACTTTTATGATTTGGTCCGAACTGAGGCTGGTGATGTCGTCGAACAGGTGAGGAGGAATACAATTTGTGAAGTTAGTTACAACAATAATATTTGTTTTTGACTTGCAGATCAGTTTGGTTGACAAATTTAAGCATCCCAAAAAGGGTTTAACCAGTGTCTGTTTCAGAATTGTTTATCGCCACATGGAACGTACCTTGACCCAGACAGAAGTCAACGAAATCCATAAACGTATAGCGGATGCATGTGTAAAAAATTTTAATGTTGTTATACGTTAGTTAGTTGTTATTGAGAATATAATGTTTATAAAAGAGTTGAAATTGAAAAGGAAATCTTAAAATCTGCGAGCATAATAACAATAACAAATAACAGCATAATCTGGATATGAACGATTATTCATAAAAAGTCCCGATTGTAAGAATTTGATAGATTTTAATGAAAACGTCATGAATTCATATTTTGAATTGGGCAAAATTGTTCTATGGCTTTCGGGAATACATTTATCAAATCGATAATTGCAATTATTTTGGAATGATTTCCATAACCACTTTCGATTGGCATACCTTTCATGAACAACTACTGGAATCGTGCGAACGGTTTAATTCGTGACCCTAAACCTAAGGGTTTAATTCGTGTACCAAACGATGTCATTCAAATGCTAATGAGAACATGGCATTATTCTGCAATGGTTTCATGGTAAAATAATATGTTAGACGCGTCGACACAGCTGTTGAGACAATGAACTGTCAAACCAATTTTGGAATTGAAAATGTTGAATGAAAAATTATTTAAATTTGTAAAAAAAATTGAAAAACGCGAGTTTTAATAGCCTTTGACTGACGTAGTATAAGGAAACATATAAAAATCTACTTATATTTAAAAAACATTTAAATTGTTTGACATATCAATGCTCCCAAGCGTTCATGCATCTACCTGTATTCTTCTGCCATGAATGGTTTCCGCTTAGCCATGGTATCCGTCAACTGTCCAGCCACCCCAAAATCAGCCAACTTTGCATATCCCTCTGTGTTGAGCAATATATTGCCAGCCTTTATGTCACGATGTATCTTCCGCCGCAAATGCAGATACACCAGTCCCTTCAATGTGTCCGACAATATTGTAGAGATTTCATCTTCCGTTAACGTCTTCTTACGCAGCCTCATTATATCCGAAACACTACCAGCACCACAGTATTCCATACAGATCCACAGATCATATTGCTTAAAATATGAGCCATAATAACGCACCACATAGGGAGAGTCGCACTGTTGCATTATTGAGATTTCTTTGATAATATCGTGCAGATCGGATTCGACGGGTACTAATTTAATGGCCACAATACTGCTGCTCTCCTTATGCAGGGCCTTGTAGACCGAACCATAGCTGCCCTCTCCCAATTTACAGATGATATCGAAAACCTTTTCCGGTGGCTGTAGCAAAGACTCTTCGGACAATTTCTTGAGTTCATTTTTATTTTTATTGGAAGACATTCTGTTGCATTACTTTTCTATTTTTGTTCTGGAAAATTTTGAACAAATCTTGATCTTGTGTAGAATTTTTTTCCTTAAAAAAGCACCTGCCGAGTTCTTTTGTTTATTTCAAGTTGATTTGACCATATGCCAATGGATAATTTTCGAGATCTCCTTAATTTGTCTTCCAAAGAACGGCAAGCTATTTTTATATATATTATAAGCTTTTGTTGGCTTCTTTTGTGTAAAATTTCGTCGATTTTGTGATTTTTTTCAACAAAAGAAAAAAAAAGAATGCTTCAAATGTCAAATATGAAGGAATGTCACCTGCGGCTAGAGAGCGAGAGAGTGAGTTTTATGCTATCGATTAGTGGAGTGTGTACGTTACGTTGGAGTCACAAAGAAACGAACACAATTACACTTCGGTTTGACACTGGTTCCTCAATTCAGTCAGTAAACATCTATATATGCGCAGAGGAGAGAAATGCATGTAAACAATAAGCCGTTCAGTGCCGGCTCATTTAGCTGACGAGATTTGTAGTTTATTTACAGACACTTGGCATATTTGCTTGCAAACATTTTGAAATAGAGAGCAAGAAACTTCACTTTTCTATTTATTTCCGCACATGAATGATGATAATTCATGTATTCCCATTTACGACATTCGAAACTCGTTCCTTCGTTCATTCAGGTGAACATCATAATCGGTTGTTTCTCTTCTTTGGGATCTCTGCCAATCCAATCATTGTTTTTGTTTTGATTTTTATCTTTATCACTCAATTCGGCTCTAATTTTTTCCCTGTTTGTGCTTCGGTGACGGCGTTTTCTTAATATTTATTGGCTTCGTAATTTGGCTTCGATTGGATAATTTGGAGCTGGTGGTGGCGGAAAAGCTGAGAAACTCATAAAAATGTTATTAACTCTTCAAGTTTTAACAAAATCTTCCTGTCTTAGGCTAACAAAAGCCTCTATCTGCAATGGCAAAGTCTTAAGAACAACAACTCCAGCCAGATTTCTAGTGTCATCCCGGTGTTTGGCCAGCACAAGCACAAATACGGCAGAACAAAGTCGCATCGACATAAATGGTGCCTCGTTCGTGGTGGATAACTGGACAAATGTGACACCCAAAATACTCTCCTATGTGGGCATGCAAAAACATCTGCAAACAAATCATCCCCTTTCCATAATAAGGCAGCGAATTGTCAATTATTTCTATAAGACCTACAAGACTTCTCGAGGAAATCCTTTATTCTCGGTCTATGACAAATTAAATCCGGTGGTAACGGTACAGCAAAACTTTGACAATCTTCTGATACCCTTGGATCATGTAAGTCGCAATAAGTCGGATTGTTATTACATAAATAAAAGTTATCTGTTACGAGCCCACACCACAGCCCATCAGGTTGATTTAATATCCAGTGGTTTGGATAATTTTCTCGTTGTGGGCGAAGTTTATCGACGTGATGAAATCGACAGTACCCATTATCCGGTGTTTCATCAATTGGATGCTGTACGTTTGGTAACCAAAGATAAATTATTTGAACGTAATCCAGATTTGGAAATATTTGAGAATGAGTGGCGAGAGATTCAAGGAAACAAACAGAAACAACAGTTGATACATTCATCTTCCAAGTGTTTGGATCAATCGAAACAACCCTGCCACACACTGGAGGCTGTTAAACTTATGGAACATGAATTGAAACAGGTGCTACTTGGCTTGGCCCAAGATTTGTTCGGTTCAAATATTCAGTACCGTTGGGTAGACACATATTTCCCCTTTACCCAACCCTCCTGGGAATTGGAGATATTCTACAAAGATAATTGGTTGGAAGTGTTGGGTTGTGGCATCATGAGACACGAAATCTTACAACAGTCTGGAGCGCATAACTCAATTGGCTATGCCTTTGGTTTGGGTCTGGAACGCCTGGCCATGGTGCTGTTCGATATACCTGACATACGTTTATTCTGGTCCAACGACAGTGGATTTTTATCGCAATTTAGTGAAAAAGATCTATACAAATTGCCCAAATACAAACCGGTATCCATGTATCCCCAGTGTAAGAATGACTTATCATTTTGGCTACCAGCTGGGGTGGATGTTGATGCTGGTTTTGTACCAAATGACTTTTATGATTTGGTCCGAACTGAGGCTGGTGATGTCGTCGAACAGGTGAGGAGGAATACAATTTGTGAAGTTAGTTACAACAATAATATTTGTTTTTGACTTGCAGATCAGTTTGGTTGACAAATTTAAGCATCCCAAAAAGGGTTTAACCAGTGTCTGTTTCAGAATTGTTTATCGCCACATGGAACGTACCTTGACCCAGACAGAAGTCAACGAAATCCATAAACGTATAGCGGATGCATGTGTAAAAAATTTTAATGTTGTTATACGTTAGTTAGTTGTTATTGAGAATATAATGTTTATAAAAGAGTTGAAATTGAAAAGGAAATCTTAAAATCTGCGAGCATAATAACAATAACAAATAACAGCATAATCTGGATATGAACGATTATTCATAAAAAGTCCCGATTGTAAGAATTTGATAGATTTTAATGAAAACGTCATGAATTCATATTTTGAATTGGGCAAAATTGTTCTATGGCTTTCGGGAATACATTTATCAAATCGATAATTGCAATTATTTTGGAATGATTTCCATAACCACTTTCGATTGGCATACCTTTCATGAACAACTACTGGAATCGTGCGAACGGTTTAATTCGTGACCCTAAACCTAAGGGTTTAATTCGTGTACCAAACGATGTCATTCAAATGCTAATGAGAACATGGCATTATTCTGCAATGGTTTCATGGTAAAATAATATGTTAGACGCGTCGACACAGCTGTTGAGACAATGAACTGTCAAACCAATTTTGGAATTGAAAATGTTGAATGAAAAATTATTTAAATTTGTAAAAAAAATTGAAAAACGCGAGTTTTAATAGCCTTTGACTGACGTAGTATAAGGAAACATATAAAAATCTACTTATATTTAAAAAACATTTAAATTGTTTGACATATCAATGCTCCCAAGCGTTCATGCATCTACCTGTATTCTTCTGCCATGAATGGTTTAAAAGGTATATCAAACGAATATTCCGCAACAGAAAAAAATTGACTCAAAAGAGCTAAAAAGTTGCTTCGCTTGGCTGGGAATGGGCCAAAATACCGCCGAGGACAGCGTGTGACGGTTTCATTGGCCGTTTGAAGGCCATAATTTGTACCAAAGGTGACCAATTCGAACAAATCTGAACTTATTCTAAAATTTGATGCTATTTCCGACATTTTTTGCTTTCATTCAATAAAATTTAAAAAAAAATATGTAAAAATTATGGCATTTGAATTTGTTATCTCACCCTGTATATTGTTGAATACATACATTTTTTCTTCCATTTCCTCTGAGATACACTTTTTTGTCAACAATTTCAACATTACCAATAAAATATGGAAGAAGAAAGTGGAGTGCAAGTACCTTTTTTAAAAAAAGACAATTAATTCTTTTGCTCATATCAAATTCTAAAAATATAAAGATTCCAATTATATTATTCTAATTACTAATCCTGTCCTATGAAGGGGTTATTTCCTATATGTGATTCTGAGAGCGAACGACGTAGTTTAAATTCCAATAAGAACCAGTTATAAAAAACATTTCGTCTAATATACCCTTAAGTTGTGACAACGTTTATCGATGTTACAGCAACTATCGATTGCACCATTGATTGTTTGTCAGTTCTAACTGCAATTTTTTATTGCAAGTTTTGGTTTGGTGTTTGGAGGAAGGAATCTACTCTTTCACTTGGGGCCGTGAGAAAGGAAGTAACCAGACAACGAAAAAATATTAAAAATAAATCCAATTAAAGAGGTTACGATAAAAATCAATAATAACGCAAATCATACGATCGTTGGATACAACTACCAGAGCAAAAAGAGACAAGAAGACGTACACGTAAGTCCGGTTTATGTGTATTTTAGTTGGTATTGATTTTTTACTGGTTCTATCTTGATTCGTTGTTGCTTAAATTTATTAAATGCCATAGTATATTTAAGAACAAATATCAAAGTATTATCTATAAAATTATGAATGCCATACACTTTTTCCTGTCCAAAGTTCATTGTCTTTTTTTTTTCATGTCTTGTGCATCCATGTATGCATCCACAATGTATCTTTGTCCTCGTTCCTCTGCACTTGTGTCTTCTGCAGGGGGCACTCTATATACCTCCAATTATACACATACAGGGTCCAAAGTCTCGTTATGCACAAAAGTCTTTATTTTGTTGATATTGTGTATTTTTTTCATATAAAAATTTGTATGTATATATTTAAATCTATGCATGTCGTTGGTCGCTATGTAATTGGTATGTATGGCAGCCGACACAGTTGAATGATATCTTTATGCGTGAGTGAGGAGTACCGGCCGGGGTGGGTAAATGTTGTCAAGCGACACGAAACCAATTTATTTCCAATTACGAAGTAAGGTTTTTAATTGTTATGGCTATGTGGTTAGTTTTAATTGAAAAGGTCCTCCGCTGAAGTTTCGATGATCCCTATCCCATATTTTTCTACTAAAAACCCAATGCTGTACTAATTTGTTTCACTTTTTTTTTGTTAATATCTATTTTTTTTAAACTAAATTACCGGTTAGATTAAAGTACCTATTTAATTTTTTACGTTTTCAGTTGAACGATGGCTTCGTTATCCCGTTTTGCCATTAATTCGGCACCAGCTCGTTTGTGTTTTGTTAGGACAACCACTTCAGGTGCATATTCCAACAACAACAGCAGCAGCAGCAACAACAATACTGCTACGGCCAACAACACTAGAATGCATAATTCTATGACAACATTTAAGACACAAGGTTTTGCCACGAATGCCGCTATAGGTAAACAAAAATCATGCCACCAATTTGCGAGATGAGTTTGCCATTTCCTTTCCTTTGAAACCCCCAATTTTCGCTGTTGAAATCCATGTTTATCTTGTAAATGATATGTGTAGACTGTTTGATTCCAAAATAACCCATTCCTTTTTCCGTTCAAAAAAAAAAAAAAACATCACACACTCTACCCATATCAGTAAGAAGTCATGTTAAACAAAATGTTGATTTTATAATAGCAAATAAGGCTAAAAGAAATTTTGAAATTGGCCGAAACTATCATTCTTTGGTAAAACATTTAAAAGACTGAAAGTTTCAAGCTATTTGAAAATAATCTGGGCCTTATTTTGTTCTTATCAAATTACAATTTTTGTTCATAACATGCTGCAATATTGCTATGCATTATTAATATATACAAATAATTTCTATTATATACACAAGGTCCGATGTCATCAAGGTTGCTGCTGCCAGCATCTAACCACTCGAAACAAACCAGTCGTAATTTTTCAAGCCTAAATATGCCATTGCAGCCCCAAATATCTAGACTTGTACACCATGTAAGCAAAAAAAAAAACATAATTTTAAAATTATTATAAATTAATCACTGTGTCTGGCGCTACTTTCTTAGAATCGTGTTTGTATATTTGTCTATGAATTTTTGTGAAAAAAAGTAAAATCCTATATTCCTCCAGAAACAGTTATTTAAAGGAAAACTCAATTTTTGAGGGGAGAAAAGCAACACAAATGCCACTTTTTGCTTTCTTTGCCCTAATACCAAGTTTTTTCTTTAACAAAAATTGCTCTGCATCTAACTCCCAACTCGTGACAGAAAACAAAATTTTGTTATATGCGTGATTTTTATTTGATTTTTTTATTTCATTTTGTAATACACAAATTATTTGTTGTTATTAATTTGTTTGTAAATTTGTCCGTTGTGTATAGTAGTCCGTTTTTCTGTGTACTAAGCGTTTTTTTGTTTGTTTTCATTTAACACAATTTCTTGTGAATCTATCATGCTTTGTTGTTTATTTTCATAAAAAATATATTATTGTCCGTCCTATAATTATCTGATACCCGGCAAAGTATTGAGTCAAAATTAATGTGATTGGACTTTGGAACTCATTGTACAAACAATATTTTGTTATTTCCAGTTGTGTGATGTCAACGCCGCCTCGCTTTATATAGGCAAAACGTGCAATAAGTACTTTCAATTTATTTAAATTTTTCGTAAAAAAAGAAAGAAGAAACAATTAAAACAAAGCATTCTTCACGTTCATATTTTCATTCTTGGCAAGCATTTTCTCACGTTTGTCTTGGTGCTTGTTTTTTATACCCTCAGCCATAGTATGGAGAGTATATTAAGTTTGTCATTCATTATACATTTTAGACCCCACAAAGTATAAATATATATATATTTTTGATAAGCGAAAAATTCTATGTCGATTTAGCGATGTCCGTTCGTCTATCCGTCTGTGGAAATCACTCTAGCTTCCGAACAAAATGAAGTAGGTTGATAAAATTTTAGTCAAATGTGTATTATGTCTGCAGGACTTTTGGTATTGAAAATGGGTGATGTAGGTCCACGTTTTGGTATAGCCCCCATATAAGGGTACCTCCCTTTTTTTGGTATTTTGGTGATTTAAACGACATTATTTACCGGAATTGTTTCAAATTTGGTGTTTGAAATTCGTAATGGATACTACAGCCTATGACAGAAAATTGTCTGTACAAGTCCACGTCTTCATATAGCCCCCGTATAATGGTACCTCCCTTTTTTAGGAATTTTGGTGATTTAAGCAACCTTATTCACGGGAATTGTTTCAAATTTGGTATTTGAAGTTCGAAATGGCTACTACAGCCTATGACGGAAAATTGTCTGTGCAGGTCCACGTCTTCGTATAGCCCCCATATAACGGTACCCCCCGATGTTCGGTATTTTGATGATTTTAGCTACATTATTCACCGAATTTTTTATTCAAGTTTCGCATTTGAATATGGTTTATGACAAAAGTTGCCTATGCAGCCCCACGTCGTCCTATAGAATTTTTAACGGATTTTTCTTTTTTGAAATTGCCAGAATAGTTTTTCGTTTCTCCGCTTTTGAAGTTCAGAACGCAAAGAAAAAACTTGTAAGTCATTATTTCGAAAATGAAATTAGCTAATTTTTCTATTTCAGATTTTTTTTTTCTGATTTTTCATTTTAAATTTAGAACTTATCTGTATGCCCAAATCCATGCTGTTTTTCCAAGAAATCACAGAGCTTTGCTTAGTTCTCTTTCGTTTTGTTTTTTTGCTCAAATCTTATTTTCTCTTTTCTCATGATTGCAAAGAGAAACAATTTGACATTTTGTTCAAGAGCATAATTTTCATGCCCGGTGCCTGGCGTAAGTAAGGGGTTGGCCTCTGCAACAACCCATTTTTTTTCGAAAATGAAATTAGAAAAAATTTTTATTTCGGATTTCCATTTAATTTTTCTGATTCTTCATAAATTTATTTATAAATTATCTTGGTGTCCAAAACCATGCAGTTTGTTTAGTTCTCTTTCATTTTATTTCTTTACTCAAATCGTATTTTCTCTTTTCCCATGATTGCAAAGAGAAACCATTTTGTGACATTTTGTTCAGGAGCATAATTTTAATGCAAGAAAAGTGCCGTGTTAATAAAGAAAAAATGACTGCCCGGTGTTTGGCGTAAGTAAGGGGTTGGACTCCGCCCAAGCTCTTTGTGCGGTTTAAAAAAATATCAATTTACCTTTTGCCCATATGTCTCGGTTAGGTTTTTTCATTTTTTTTTCGATCGAAACACAGGGTGAGGCAAAATGAACAGGCTTTATGCTTGTGAACATACGTCTATGCAAAGGTAAGCTTGTCCTGGCCAATATAGTAGAACATTTTCTTAATTAATATTCTAAAAATGTTTAAAGCAGGTGTTGGCATAGAAAAATCAATGGCCCTATTTGGCATGGCAGGTTTTGTCCACTCCCTGTATGATTTTGATGTGATCGCGGTTTTGTCACCCCCCATTGTTGCTGGCTCCATCATACAATTGTCATGATAATTTTTTTTTTTGCCAAACTAAAATAAACTATTTAATTGAGGCAATCGTGGGGCCATATTCCCTTTCCCCCATTTCATATTGTGCACCTCCCCTTTGGCGGGGCCCATGTCGTCTAGCTTAGCTCTGAGTTTGACATTTTTTGTGGAGAACTTTTTTTGTGTGTTTCGCCAAGCCATGATCATCATGATGATGTAAATAATAGCCCCACAGTCAGTCAGTCAATTTGATGTGCTGCTCACATTTGCCGTTTCCATTATTTCTCTAGTTTTCTCCAAGAATAGTTGTGATTTAGAATTTAAGTGGACTTAAATTATTTTTTTTTTTAATTTTTTTTGAATCGAAATTTTTAGCGGACGGCAAAAAAAAGAAAGAAAATGAAAGAATATATTTATATTTGCATTGGTCTTGTAATTGTTTATAAATTATATCAATTGATTAAAACATATTATTGTGTAAGTGCTACTTTTCGTTCGTTTCGTGGGTGGTTAATTGTGAACTTTGCCATCGTGCACCCATCAATGACAATTATTGACCACCATTAACAACGGCAATCAATTCAATTGGATAATCGCAAAAAGATAGTCTTATCTTTATCGCAAAACAAAAACAAAAAATATTAATGTTTTTTCCCATAATCTTTTTTTTTTTTTTTTGGTAGTCATTTGTATTTTTTTTTTTATAATCGATAGCCCCGTTATCAGTTCAAAATTATACTGGCAACCATTTGATCTGTCGGTCGGTTGTTTGAATATCTGCAGTTTTTCAAAACCTTAGCACCTGTGGCCTGAGTGCAGGCAATTTATTGAAATTAGTAACAATTGAACAACAAAAGCCAACGCGCTTTCGGCTGCTTGAAGAGTCCGGCCGACCTTTCTCTCTTTATCTTTTTGTCTGTGTGTTCTTTTTTTCGTTTTGTTGTAGACCACCAGCCATAAAGATTTGTAGATGCACGTAAAAAATTTCAGAATTTCCTTGAAATATTGTGGATTTTTTCTCTAATGTTTTTGTTTTTATTTTTAATTTTTAGAACGCCATGGCGCCTTTGAAAAATCGGCGTTTTATTTCTACAAAAGAAATAACAAAGAATATGACCCTCTATACAAATGAGCCATTCAAAAGTGAGGTGGACAACAATTCACTGGAGTGTGTAAACAACAACAACAACAAATTAACAAATAATTTTAATACCCAATCCTTAGCTTTTTCAGATTCAAAAAACCCACCGGCAATCCCTTGGTTTTAATGATGGCCTGGCTCCTGGCCAAACAAAAGCATTTGAAAAAATATGCCGAAATCTATACTGAACTGGGATTTGATGTTATGGTGGTCCATATAACCCCCTGGCAATTGTTGTGGCCCGTCAAGGGTACCCAAGTGGTGGCCTCGGAAACAATTAAGTTTCTGGAGAACAACAAATCCTATGCCCCCATTGTGGTACATGGCTTCTCGGTGGGAGCCTATCAAATGGGCGAAATAATGCTGCAAATGTCACGGGACATGGAACGCTATAAGCAAATTCTGGATCGCTTTGCCTGTCAAATATGGGATAGTGCTGCCGATATTACGGAAATTCCCGTTGGACTACCCAAATCCATATTTCCCAAAAATCTAAGCATGCAAACTGCTTTGAGAAATTATACCCTGTAAGTCCACAATAATTTTATAATTGCAAAGAATTTGTTTTTTAAACTCTCCCCAATTCCTTGCAGTTACCACTTGAAAACATTCCACAATCAAGCAACCATACATTACATGCGTTCCAGCCAAATGTTCCACTCAACCATCTTGAAACAACCTGCCCTGTTCTTTGTCTCGGACAATGATCCCATTGGCCCGCCATCCTCCAATCATGCGGTACGTGAAAACTGGGAACGGGCCAACATTAAGGTAACCTTCAAATGTTGGAAGAAATCACAACATGCTGCCCACATGATCAAGCATCGCGATGAGTATTTGGACATACTATACAAACACTTGGAAGAGTGTGGTGTCTTAGAGGCTATTGGTGTCAAGACCAGAGCTAAGTTGTAAATTGAAAACTGTTCCGGTTTTTTTTTCCAATGGGCATGTTGTATGTGTCGTGTTTACATTTTTCTTCTTCTTGTCGTCATGTTTGAAACGAGCGAATTTTTTTTGTATTTTATTTTATTAATAATTGTTAGATATTTCTTCTTTAAAATTCTAATGGAAATTTAAAGTATTTCACCTGATTGTTAGTTTTGTTTTCCAATTGAATGTTTTTATTTTTCTTTTGATAGCCGGCCTTTTGTTCTAAGAGGAAAGTGTTTGAAATGATATTGTATTATTAAGTATCATCATTTGTGTTGAATGATGATTTTATGCACTTCTTTTGAAGAGAAATATAAAAGAATATAACCCTTATTAAAAAAAGTTTAAAATGGATGACTTTTTATTGAACAAAAAATGGGGCCTATGGGCCATGGAATACTTTTTCTGGAGTCAACAAGAGTACACTCAAAGAAGTTTTTTGGAACCGTCCATGGCCCTATGGGCTAGGTTACTGTACAAATTGAAAATAAAGTTTCTCAAAATCCTTGAATTGGAATGTCTGAAATATGAAATCTTTGAGCATTTTATTGTCTATATACCCAACATACCAAAAATACAATACAGCTTGAGAATAATATTATGAAAATAGTTTATCGTAAGAATTCCTCAACAATGCTAGAGAAAAACTTTTTTGCACAAACTTTTCTCAAATCTGTCCTTTGTTGACAAATTTGTTTTGATTTTTTTTTGTGAAAATTGTCGACAAAAAAATATTTTCTTTGGTTAAAATCAAAATCACGCGAATTTAAGACCCATTTCTGGACGAAACTCTAAGGTAATGATGAATAATAAATCTGGGAATCTGTAGTGCATATTATTTCAATCTCATTTCAGAATAGAGGCGTCAAAAAGTTGCAAGAATTCAAGAGAAGTGAAGAATTAGTGGAGGAGATGCGGAAGCTCAAATAAGGGGAAAGAAATCATCTAGGTATCAATGCAACAGGAGGCAGCGACAGCTGGGATGGCGATCAATGAATGAAATGTGTAAAATAATTAAAAAATAAATATTTTATACCATTGAAAAAATAAGCTTGATATAATATTACTTTCGTAAGCTTATTCTGCAATTACAAGAATAAGCTTATGAATAAGGGTTCCCTTTCGATTATTCTATAATTGTTAAACAAGCATTTCTCAATACATTCTCAAGATTTACTCAAGCTTAAGGCTTATTTTTGAAAGCTTATTAAAATTTTATTCTCAAGTCAATTTGGTATGTTGGGTCGTTTCTTATTCACAGCTGTATTAGTGCAGGTACACCTAACAACAATAATAATGACCAATTTGGCAATTTTACAAAATATTTTCCTAATTTTGTTTTGCAAAGTTTTTCCGATTGGCCGGCAATGTGCGTCACGCGATATTCAAAAACAACATTGCATAGAACATATTCGTCTGCTGATTTTTCTACATATATTTTCTTGTTTGGTTGTATTCGTACGGCTGAACTTATTTGCTATCGATGAATGCGGGCCCCGCCGCGGTAATCCTTACCCCCCACATAAAATTAAATTTCTTGTTCCGCCTCAAGACGGCTTCTCTGAAATAAATAGATTAGCATAATCAGTAAAGTCATAATTTATTCTAACATGGGTGAAGGTCTTTTGGCCCAAAAATATTAGGCGATATTTCACCTTCAGGCATGAATGCCAGTTATTTGCAAAAATTCAGAAAAAAAATATTAAAAAAAAAACAATTCGCTGCGGACAGGATTCGAACCTGTGCGGGTAGAACCCAATGGATTTCAAGTCCATCTCCTTAACCACTCGGACACCGCAGCTGTATGACTACCGGCGTCTTTGTCTAAATATATAACCTGGGTATTGGTTTCACTTTGAACACAACCGCAATTCATGGTTACTCTCTGTGCTTATGAAAATATGGTTACCAAAAACTGATTGATTCTAAGATACAAAATAATATACAACACTTCATAAAAACGGGGTATAAAGTAACAACTGTTTTAAAAAAAGAATTTAGATCAAGATTTTTTACTTCTTTTGTAATAAAAAACTATTTATAATTGCTGGTCTTTGTAATCTATGCGCAATAGATTAAACCGCCAAAAAACGTTAGATTTGGTTAACATTTTTCAGTGAATTGCTAACAACAGAGTTGACATTTTTCAGTGATTGCAGGCGATATACCGCCGTCGATAAAATCATGTGGCATCGCTAACTGCTTAAAACCAAAGAATATTTAAAAACATTTAAAAGTTTCCAGTAAAAATTAAAATCATGAATAAAAATTGTAATGCCGTGTGGCGTTTGTACATTTAAATGAAAGTAAATATTGTTTTCTATCCGACCCGAGCTATGCATTTTGTTCACGAAATGGAATTTCCGCGGAAAGTTTGGAACAAAAAAACACTAATTTCAAAATATCGTGGTGGAATTAAAAGAAAGAGAAAAATGCAAAAATATATTTAAAATGTCAACATTATCAGATCATGGCAGAAGAATACAGGTAGATGCATCAACGCTTGGGAGCATTTATATGTCAAAAAAATTTAAATGTTTTTAAATATAAGTAGATTTTTATATGTTTTCTTATACGACGCAAATCGGAGGTTGTTATAATATTCTTTTTTCAAGAATTTTTACAAATTTCAATAATTGTTCATTTAACATTTTCGATTCCAAAATCTGTCTGAGAGTTCATTGTCCCAGCAGCTGTGTCGATGCGACTACTTGTATTCTTCTACCATGCAATCGACTAAGATTAGTCGAGTACTCGGTTTTCACCCAAGTCCATAGTCAAGTTCAAGTTTCAAAACTTTGAGTACTAAAAGTCGATTATTCGATTAATCGCAAATCGACTTACCCATCCCTAGTACAAGGAGAGAATAAATTAAAAAGAAAAACATGGCTGTACTACCTCCAGATCCCGTTTTTACCCTAAGATGTGCCGAAATGGGACCCGTCAATTCGCTGTGCTTCCATCGAAACGAACGTCTGCTGGCTGGCACCACGAAAGGCAAAATCTTTCTATGGGACCTCTCGACAAACCGTTCCAGTTTACATTTCGAGCTGGGTCATCAGGAACCGATCACTGCCCTACACCATACCGACGATGAACTGTTGATATCGCAGGAGAAGGGTGGCACCATCACCCTATGGCAAATGACCAATACCGGTTATAAACGTCACATAGTTATACCTGCAAACTACACCGGCTATTGTCGTTCGGTTTTATTCAACAATGCCAATAATCAGGATGATCCCTTGCTATTCTATCCATGTGATGAAAACACAATTGGGGTATTGCACACAAGTGACCCAGAGAATTCAGTGCAAATGTTAGTACCTGATGATGCCCAATTGCTGGCGCATAAATTGGGTACCTTGAATTGTTTGAAACCCTTCGAACATGCCTCGCAGATATTTTGTCTGGCCGGCTATGAAAGTGGGCATTTCTTAACGTGGGACCTGAGTTCGGGTGTTGTTGTGGATGTTGCCCAAATTGATGCGGATCCAATGGCAGTGGATTATGATCCTCCTACAAATAGGGGGGTTGTGGGAGGACCTGGTGGGTTTGAATATTCGATTTGTTTGTTTTGCCTTTAAGTGACCTATCTCTTTTTTTTGGTTTAAGGTGACAAAGTAACCACGTTTTCATATCAAAGACAATCAATGAGATTTCAACGTTCCTCAGATATTGCCCTCAAAAATCCCGGGCTAAATTGCTTAAAAATACGCAATGATCAAAAAGTATTCTCTGCCGGTGGTTGGGATGGTCGAGTCAGAATATTCTCCTGGAAGAGTCTAAGACCTCTAGCCGTGTTGACCGAACACAAATCAGGGGCCATAATGGACATAGCCTATTCGACTGGTCCAGTGGCCATGTGGAGGGCTCCCATTATGGCCGTTGCCGGCATGGATAGTCAGATTTCTTTATGGAATATATACAATTGAATTATTTTGACCTTATAGTGTCATTAAAAAAATCGTAGACATCTAATCGATAATATTTTACCTCATTTTTAATTAATTTTTACAATACATAAATATAGAATATATGTAGTTTTTTCTGGTTTGTAACCTAGCTTTTTATGTTGCACAAATAATTGAGAAAAACAACAAAAACTATACTCTATGTTTGTAATTTATATCCTAAGGATTTGTATATTTATAAGTCGAATGCAAATAATTGTATTTTTTATTAAAAAAAACAGAATAAAACTGCTTGTTTTTTTCCTTTGGCGAAGTAATTTCGATGTATGGCTTATGTTATTAATAGAGTCAGCCAGAGCCAAATTTGTATTGAAACGGGGAGTTTGGCGTACCATGGTTTGTAAATATAGGTCTAGGTCCTAAATTCCATTTTACCCGTAATAAAAACATTAAATATTTTTTCCTGATTTTGAAAGAGATTTTATTTTTTTGTTTATTTTTTGTTTATATGTTTTACACTATTTTTAAATGTTTACACAATGAAACCAATAACAAATCGAATGAAATATCTTATATTATTTTCTTATTTCTTCCATTATTTTAAGGAGTTAGTATCAAAAAAATGTAATAAAAATAAAATAAATAGTAAATAATTATCAAAAACAAACTATTCTATATAATACTATATTAAAAGTAATATTCTTGAGCTTAAATAACTAGATTACAAACAACTACATAGATATTTGAAAATTGCACACTTTAATAGATATATATATTTTTTAAATTATTTAACAGAAAATAAGTACAATAGGGACTTGCAAACATACAAAACTATGCGTATGGGTCATTTCGTAAATCTTCCCCGATTTGGATAACTAGGAAGATTTTGGTGTCATTAAAAAAACAAAGTTAACCTTCAGAAAATGTTTAAATTTTTTGATTATATATTTTAATAGGGTATGTATTACACATACAGATTTCCACTACCCTGCGACCCATAGTGAAATTTTATTGGGAACATATTTTTCTTTACAATCAACCTTCCAAAATTAAGTGTTGTTGGAAATTTTTGGTGAAAATTGTAAATCTAACCTACAAAAATTCGTTAACAAATTTGAATTGATATTTTAATGTTGTATAAATTAAATATACAGACTTTTGTTGTTCGGTGACTTATGGTGAAATTTAATTGGGAACATAAGTCTCTTTGACACCGAACTCCAAAAATGAAGTTTTGTAGACTATTTTGCTGCAAACTGAAGAATACCTAAAGTTAACCAACAAAAATTCCTTTAGAAATTCAAATGGGGTTTTTGTTAGCGTATATATCACATGTACGAATTTCTTTTGTTCTGCGACTCATAGTGAAATTTGATGGGGAACATAAGTTTCTTTGATAGATAACTCCAAAAATGATGTTTTGTAGGCAATTTTGCTGCAAAGTGAAAAATACATAAAGTTAAAAAACAAAAATTCCTTTACAAATTTAAATTGGTTTTTTATTAGTGTATATATCACACATACAAATTTCTTTTGTTCGTCGACTCATAGTGGAATTTGATTGGGAACACAAGACTCTTTGACACCAAACGCCAAAAATGAAGTTTTGTAGGATTTTTTGCTGCAAACTGAAAAATACATAATGTTAACCTACAAAAATTCATTTACAAATTCAAATTGATTTTTTATTAGTGTATATATCACACATACAAATTTCTTTTGTTCGACGACTCATGGTGGAATTTGCTTGCGAACATATTTCCCTTTAAGACCAACTCCAAAAATGAAGTTTAGTGACCTATTTTGCTGCAAATTGAAAAATATGTAAAGTTAACCTACAAAAATTCCTTTACAAATTAAAATTGATTTGTTATTAGTGTATATATCACATATACGAATTTCTTTTGTTCGTCGACTCATAGTGGAATTTGATTGGGAACATAAGTCTCTTTGACGACGAACTCCAAAAATGAGGTTTTGTAGCATATTTTGCCAGAAATGGAAAAAATACAGAAAACTAACCTAAAAAATCCATATTCAATTTCAAATTACACTTTTAGGGGTTTATATTTTAGATATACAGCCTTTTGTTTCGAAGCAATTGGTATTGAAATTTTGTAAAGAATAATTTCTACTTTGACATCTACCTTAAAAATTCAATATTTTATAGATTTTGGTTCAAATTGGAAAGCTTACCAAAAATATATTTCCTTTTTTTGCAGACTCAGGGTGACTTTTTTAAAAAATTCTTTTCTTTGGACAATAAAATAAAATTTTGTGAAAGATTTCAGATAACGAAATAACCCATAATAAACAAAGGTATGTTTAAAAGTACATAAAAAATTATCTAAATAAAAGCAACCTTAAATTATTACGTATTTATTTCATAAATTATAAAAAAGAAAACTACAAAATTAAATAAAAACTAAAAGCAGCATGGGTTTTGTTACATTTTTTTTTTTACTTAAATAAACATACATAAAAAATACAAAATTTAAAAAATTCATTTATATCTGTTGCCCTATTGTTCGGTAATACTTTTTTCAAGCACTTAGTGCTTTTTTGCTTTTATTGGTTTGTTGGGTTATAGCATGTTTCCACTGAAAACCGAACAACGTTGTTCGCTCTCAGAATTATGTACACGAATTAACCCGTTCATACGGCACGATTCGTAATTCATAGTAAAATAATTCATTTTTTCAAAAAATTTGTTTGTTGATTTAAATGGGAATTTATACAAAAATACATGAAATTCTCACAGATATGAATAGAAGAAATTATTGTTTTTCTTCCAAAGAATAATTATATCATTAATTTTACAGTTTTCATTCATGTTTTCAACTTTTTGTATTAATTTTGACATTTTGAACATATTTTTGTATTTTTCTATTTTTAAATTTTGCTGGAGAGACACTTGTCAACATTTTTTTCTGCAGATACAAACATTTTGAAAATATTGCCTCTTTTGTTTGCAGTTTTCTATGGAAATTTCAACTCGTGGACAAAATGCGTACCTCTAATGAAAGAGAAAACAAAATGTACTTTCGTTTGAATGTACATACGCCATTCAACATTGTAGTTTTCATTCATAATTTTCAGTCTTCCCAAAAATTTTTAAAATTTCATTAAAGTTTTTTAGTTTTAATTTTTAAATGTCATAATTTATTTTTTCGATAAATGCTCTCATTTTTTAGGGATGGGACATACATTTTCGTTGTTCTGAGAGTGATTTGATTTGAACTATGTACAAATATGAGTGTTCGCTCAGGAAATTTTGTGTGAAGAATTAAGTATTTTTTTCATAGTTAAGGGTCAAACAACGAATAGAGAGCGAATCAAGTGCAGTGGAAACGCCACATTAGATTGCATTTATCAATTATTTGTTATTATTGTTATTCTGTTGGCCCTTTACTATTTCCATATCAGTCGTCGTTCGTGTATTGTTCGGCGGTTCACAATTCTTACGGGTTTCATCGACATTGTCTTCGTCGTCGAATGGTTCCTTCGTTGTTGCGATCTTTTGAAAATCACAGTCTATAATGCGTTTACGCTTGCGCAACGGCCTTGAGCATTCGGATTCTTTGGTTTGTATGAGAGTTCGTTTGGTTTGTAATCGGGTTATTTTCAATTTCGGTAACCTCTGATTGTTTTCTTCGTTGGCTGTATCATCGGCATTTACCTCCTCCGTCGTCTGAGTGTGGCCAGTGGCACTGGGAGAGTTCTCCTCCTGGTTGCGTGACTTTTCTTGCGGACTGGCTGAGCTAATGACACAATGTAGGATGGTGGAGGCTGCGACCCCATCTTCATTGCTGGGAGAATTTGTGGTGGTATTCGTTTGAGATGTTTCGGGTTCTTCATCCGGCTGTTCTTCTCTTGTCTCCTCAGTGGCTTCGTCTGGGGAAAAGCTGGACTTTCTTGTTTCATTTGGTATTTCGGTATTTTCCTGGCAGCACTCCTTGGTTTTGGTAAAATCTAAAGGCTCATCATTTGCCGAACAGTTGTCGGCCGCTGATTCCTTTTTAATATTTTGTTGCTCATCGAACTTTTGCCGTTCCTCGGCTGTCATATAGGCCTTATAAAAATCCACCACTGGCAGGGGTACTGGTATTGGTATGGGCAGGGGAATAATAACAGGATATGGCACCATTACGGTCACTGGAGGCGGGGTACCAACTAAAGCATTAAATGCTGACAAATCGGGCGGTATCACACTGGGTGCCTGTGGCAAACCCATGAAATTGCCCAAAAATCTTGGCCAGGGGCCACCAGGTGTGGCCATGAATGATGGTGGAGGTCGTGGTGGAAATGCTGCTCCCATGGGTGGGGGAGGCAGTGGTCCCGCTTGTGATGCCGTTCCCAAATTGGGTGGGGTGGCAAAGAAAGCCGTTGGTATGGTGGTACTACGTCCCCCGCCACCATTTGTTGCCATCCCAGGAGGAGGTGGTAAATTGTGGGGCGTGCTGGGTTGTGATCCGGCAGGACTTTCCAACATTGGTGACAAAGGTGGCACATTCATGTGTAAATCTTGGACACAGGAAGCTGCAAATTGAGTCAGGGAGGGTGTCTGGTTCTGAGTTAAACTGCCACCACGAGTTGCCTCTGCCAGGGGTGGTAACAACGATTTGGGTTTCAGGCTGGGACAACTGTTACCACTGGCACCTGCCTTTGGTTCTGGGCGATTGTTCAAAACTTCTGTGGATGGACATGCCTTTAGGGGTCTTTTCTTGCGATTATGTTTGGGGGATTGGCGTGCGCTTGCTATTATGCCCGGACTTTTGGACATTAATTTGGAGACTGGAGCCACTGAGATCAAGGGTTTGTAGGTTCCTGAAACAGATGTTGAGTGTTGCGTTGGATTGTTGCCACCTGCCGTAAGCTTGCCCGGTGGACTTAAGGGACTGTTTGGCCGCATAACTGGCCGTTCTGCTAGATTCCCGCCACAACTGCTGGGTATGGGCGATGTGGACACTGTCGATGCCGGTGAGGCCGAGCGACTGCGACAATTTTTCAACCACAAATCAGGTGTTATTAAATTTGCACCATTGCTGGCCGCCTCCAGGCCCTGCTCCTTTAAATGCGGATTCATATCCAAATGGGCCTGGGTCTCTTTGCAAAATATTTGCATTTTATATTGATTTAGGCATTTGTCGGAGCAAAACTGTAGCTGGGTAGCACCATCATGAAAATCCACATAGCTGACGGCATGACGAATGTGTTTGCACCAATCGCAGGTTTTGGCCTTCTTAAAGGAGGCCCTGCGGCTTTGCGTAAAACATGATTCGGAGCAATAGCGGGGTCCATCGGAGGTGGTCAAGAATTCGGGAGCATTTTCGGGCACTGGACGCCGGCACCAACAGCAATTTTCTGCAAAACAAAAGAACAAATAATGAATTAAAAACTATTTTCAATTCTTCTGGCCTCATTGATTTCGTGCATAATTTCCCTCCCCCAAAAAAAAATGAAGAAAATCTATCTTTGGAAACAATGTTCTACACCATGGCTGTTTCTGTGTGTGTGCCTCATGAAATCTCTAATGAGTGTTATTTGAGATGTTTTTGAAAGCAAAACCAAACATGAACTTCTTGTGTTCCAAACTCAATGGGGGGAAATGCAGATAGGATATGTGGCAAGCCAAATCTGTCTGGTTGCCTGCATTTGCCAACAGCTTTGCAGTTTTGGTTGCCAGCAACCTCCTTTATCTGTTTCGGTTTGATGTGAGTATTATTCACACAATTAGATGATGATACTGGGATTTGTTATTGCAGGTAAATATTTTTGAAAAATTCTGCAAATGCATTTTTTTTTTTTTTGCTGAGGAAAATTTTTTTGGGAACAAGGGTATGATTTTGCATCTCTGTGCATGACTTGTGTTTCTGGATTTGTTTTTCAATAAAAATAAAGAAATATTAAAAAAATATTGTAACATCCTTGAATAAAAATTCGCCCTGTATACATTTGACATTAGCCCCATATAGCAGATCCGGCCAATTCAAAGTGATTTTAAGCCCCTAGATGCATTCCCCACACCATGTGTTTGCTGCCTTAAAAATGTTTCTTAGTTCAATTTGGGGCGACAGTTAGGAAAACTACTCACCTGATTTTTCATCAAATGCAGATGGCGCTGCTGTTAGCAAACCCGTAGAATGTGGACTTTTCGAATCATCATCCCGTGAGCTGCGTGTGTCATGATCCGAGGCTGTGCTATCATTGCCACGATAATTATTGCGGGTGGTGGTGCTGCTGCATGTGGTGGTATTGTTGTTGTTGTTGCTGCTGGTGCTATTAGCAATACTGTTGTGGTTGTTTTTAGTGGCGCTACTGCCACCAGCCAGACTTGTACGTAAATGATCATTTTGTTGTTGTTGCTGCTGCTGTTGGATTTGCATCAGAGCATTTGCACGATTACTTCGGCTACGACGCCGCTCCATCTGGTGTTGTTGATGCTGCTGCTGTTGGGCATTGATTAGACCGGCAGTTTGCAACAGTTTTGATGTTTTCGCAGAGATGTCCAGGCGATCGACACTATCGAATCCATACCAACCCAGCAATTCGTTCATTGTGTTTTCAGCAAATTCCTGAAAAAGTGAAAAAAAAAAGAAAGATTCTGGGTGAAAGTTGGGAATTGGTGAAAGTTGGGAATTGGAAAATATTTCAGAATAACAATAATTGCAGGATCATAATAATTTGATTTGATTTCTTCTGTGGTTGTGGCGGCCCCATATGAAAAAGGGAGCGTGTGTCATGCTTACAAAAATTGCTGAATGTTAAAACCATTTTTTTAAAAAAATATGAGCTGCCTTAATCCCAAAAACCCAGCATCTCATTTTACCCATTCCTTGGAGTTTTTGAAACACAACAATTCTGGATTTCCAATGGCATATGAAGACCGGTGTGAATTAATATCATAACATATACAACAACAAGCCATATTCACATTGTTGTGTTATTGTATTCCCACATGATGTTGGGCTTGGGGAAGGGGGGTCAGTGTTTCAACACTTTGGGCTAAAATTGTATCATTGCCTCAAAGACAGGCATGGATCGCAAGTTTCATGTGTCACATTCGATACGACACGACCTGAACAAAGAAAGCAAGCCGGCTGCGTAATTTAAAAAAAAACACACACACACTGGGGTGTTGGAATCTGCCACAATTTTACCCTCTACAGTTGAAGTCTTCTTTGGCGTGGTTGGTATGAATGGTTGGCTGGCTGGTTGGTTGGCCGTTTGGTTTTGCTTGTCTGATGACTTGTTTTTCAGATTGGTGTGCATGCCATCGTCGTCGTTCATACTCAAGCAGACATGAAATTGTTATTTTGTTAAAGGTATCAAATAACATTTAAAGATTCTGTTTTTTTTACACTTTACCAATGAGTTTGTCATATCAATACCCACAGTGACAAATGGACGAGCAATGTACAGTGATTTGTAAATGAAAATTAACAACTCGATTCTTCTGATAGAGAATTTAATTATTTAAAATAGTTTTTCCCAGCAACACCTTTGTTTTTTGATGTTTCTTATGTAAAACATTAATTTACCGCCATTAAATACGTCATACGTCACATAAACACTCATTAAGGCATAGATGGGAAAACAATGAAAGAGAAATTCATGTTCTCTCAAATCGCTCTCTTTACCAGATCTTTCGTGTTAACAGACGACTTTCATTAACAATTTGCAACAATTGTGACAAATTTTAGGGCAAATCAGACACATATTAGTTTTTCCCAACACCATATTATTTTCACATTTTTTCTTTTGTAAAACAACAATTAACCGCCAATAAATACGCTCATACGTAACATAAAGACTCATTTAGGCAAGGATGGGAAAAATGAAAGAGAAATTCTTAATACATTTCCTGTGTCGAATTTCGATTTATTTATTAATTTAAGACAGAAATAAAATTAAAATGTGCTCAAATATTATTTTATAAAAATAATTCTTAGAAATTATGCGAAAAGTCGGTGTATTGATGCTTATCGATCATTGACAGAAAACAGGAGACACAAACGAAAGCGTACTTGCCCATCTATGAATGAAGGAGGTTAACCTGCCAAAAAGCTCTAATATAAACATAATTATTCTGAACATCATTGGATTCCTAAATAATATAATATTAAGGTTATATACACATATTCACACATATGTGGGTTACCTTCTATAATATTTTCATATACCTATGAAAAACTTGTAAAGCACACCAAACACAACAACATAAACAACAGCATCTCACAAAAATACAAAACTTGATATAAAACAGTTTTTCTGCTTATTTTCAAGAGAGATTTATGACTTGAAGTAATTTAATATTTAGTTGAGCTTAAATTAAAATACAATACTTGATTTACAATTTATGACGAGATGATGACGAAGACTAACAACAACACTACATGGTTAACATTTGCATGGGCGAGAAAGAGAGGGATGGGGGAGGAGAGAGATAATCTTTATCTCAACGCATATTGATTTACACAGCAACAAATGTATAGATCGGTTAAATTGAAAGGATAGCGGTAGTAACTGAGAGAGAGAGAGAGACTGTTATTTTGTATTATAACAGCCATAGAGTAAATAAACACCAGAGTTGCCATAAGGAGGATAAAAATATTAGACATTGTTGGAAAAATGACACAGTATGATTTTTTATTATTATTTTCCTCTAATTACTGTGTAGAACAAAAAAAAAAACTATCTAAAAAACTTTGAAAAAAAAAAACTATTATTTGGCATCCCACACCATCACCAAGGTCGGTGCTTGAGTTTTTTTCTGGAAAATTCTCACGAAAATGCTTTTGTGCGCTTGTAAACAATATAATGAGCTGTCACTGGAATAATTTTAACAGCTGTCGGACGAGTGGCTTAGAAATGTCAGCAGTCTGAAGTTGATTGCAGTTTTTCCATCTCACCCTGTACAGTTACAGCGACACAGCTGATGAACAATGAAGTATCAAACCAATTTTGAAATTGAAAATTTGAATGAAAAAAAAATTGTTGAAAAATTTATATCATAACAACCTGCGATTGCTGTCGTATAAGAAAATTTATTAAAATTTACTTTTTTTTGGAAAAAAAATTAAAAATGTTGACATATCAATGGTTGATACCTGTATTTTCTACCATGCCTTTTAATATGTATACATCAGATCGGCCAGTAAGCCCATCTGACAATTAAAGGTGAGAATACATAAATTTGACTAGTTTAAACCATCAGCTTGCTTTTTCGAAAAAAAAAAAAACAAAGGAAAGTTGGGACAAAATCGAACTAAGTCAACCTAACATTCCTTTCTTCCTCTACGGAGAAGCTAGCCAATGACTTAAGCCATTAAAAAAAGGCATTTTTTGTATTCTCGCCTTAAGTTTGCTGACATATTATAACCGATTTTTTCATTTATGATGTCTGGAACGGACCAAATGTTTCCAAATTGTTTGCACAAAAAAATCATACAACGGGTTATCAAAAAAGGTGATTGATTTTCGCTGTGTACAAGTCATTGCAAGAAGAAGAAGAATATTGTCCAGCAAGAGTTTGTAAACTCCCAGTAAAAAAAACTCTTCAATATTTCTCTCTCTTTTTGTTCTTAAATCCTCATCGGCCTTATTATTATTTAATAAGAATCAATTTGAAATAATGCATAAAAATGCAAATATCCCAAGAGTTTTTAATTTCAATATGAAATTAATTAAAAATTCTTAACAAAAAAAAAACGCACACACACACACTTCAAAGTGTTGTTGTTTGTTTGTTGGCCAGGCGGGTGACACCTGATGCCAAGCAACATCATTCAGGTGTTCGTTCATTTTATACAGAGATGGCGTGGAATGGGGGGGGGGGTACATAAATATCGTTCCTTTAATGCAATGACATGGACAGAAGCACACGATATGACCATGGTGTTGGAGTCTCCCAAGAACTGCAACAAATTGAACATGATTTCATGTGTGTGTGTGTGTGTGTGTGTGTACACAAATATTTGTAGTTGGAATACCTCCGCCACCCATGGCATAAAGTGGAGATTTGATCGGTGTTAAATTTAGTTTGGTGTTGTGTTGCCCACTTTGTAGTTTTTTTTTTTGTAGCTGTTTTTTTGGAGGGGGACCATGAGGATTTTTCTCTGTCATTTCGTTTTGGTTTCCTTATGGCTTTATATTGCTGTGCCAATAAGTTTTGAAACACAAGAAGACGACGACGTCGAAGAACACCGCACAGCACAACACACACACACACACAAATACTATGAATTTCCTTTTGGTTTTAAATAATCGTGTCGTACATATCATATTTCCACCATATGCATTCCTTTAATTCAGATTGCAAGATGTTTTTTTTTATTTTCGTTGCTGTTATTTTGGTTATTTTATTTGGATTGTAAATATATTTGCGTATAGCCAGAGTGTTTTCTTACATATACATAGGTATAATGAGGTCGTGATTTATGCAATCATATCTTGAAAGTTCTGTGCAGCTTTATAAGAGATTTTCATATGGAAAATTTAAAAAAAAATCGTTTACACTTCAAGCTGGAGTCATATGTAAAGTGACTTTTCCTGATTTATAGCTAGCTGTTTAGAGCATAATTTTAGGCGTTTCAACATTTTCTTCAAGTTTTACTTTACTGTGTAAACTATATAATATGTTACATGCCATGCATGGTAGAATAATACAGGTTGTCGCATCCACACAGCTGCTGGGACAATGAACTGTCAAACCAATTTTGAAATTGACAATTTTCAATGAAAAATGATTGAAATTTGTAAAATCTTTGAAAAATGCCTATGAAAATAAGCTCCAATTGACTTCGTACAAGAAAGCATGCAAAAATCTACTTTCAAAAAAAAAAAAAAAAAAAATAAATAAATAAATAAAATTTTGACACACAAGGTGATATAAAAAACTACAACAAACTTCACACTGCTGTCATTTATAAGCCACTCTTCCGACAGCTGTTAAAATTATTCCAGCTCATTATAGGTTTAAAAGCGTACAAAAGCATTTTTTCCAGGAAAAAAAAACTTATTCGTGATGGAATTAAAGCGTGATAATGCGATTTATTTATATTTGGATGGAAAACCACAGGCGGCTATCGTAAGAGCACTCCCGCATTTAAATGTGAATAAATCTTTGTGTCTCGTATCATCGCCCATCGTTACCGTGATACTGATGGCGTAGCCCAACGTCAAGTGAACGTGGAAGTGGACGGAAGAAAAGTAAAGAAGCTACTTGATCGAAACTCGCGTCGCAGTGGCCGAAAAATGGCTCGTGAGCTGAACATATCGCATATTCCATTCGGCAAATATTGAAAATGAACTCGGGGTAAAACCATTGAAATTGCAAAAAGTTCAAGAACTTACACCGCAACAGAAAGAAAATAGACTAAAAAGAGCTAAAGAGTTGCTTCGCTTGGCCGAAATGGTGAAACTGCCGAATTTGGTTTTCTCTGACGATGAGAAAACATTCGTTGTCAAGCAGTTTGTAAACAAACAAAATGATCGTGTTTACTTGCCAAAGAGGTCAGGTCAGCTGAAAATGTGCACCTTCGCTTGGACATCAGAACTCAAGCGCCGGCCATGGTGATGGTAGGGGTCGCCATAACAGCCGTTGATCGCTCTACGCTCGTATTAATTGACCGTGGCATCAGAATAAATGCCGAATATTATCGCGAAAATATTCTGGAAGGTGTATTAAAGCCTTGGGCCCGCAAACATTTTGTCCGTTCACTTTGGACACCTTGGTCCGCTCCAACAGGACTTGTAGTTTGTTGTAGTTTTTTTTATGTCACCCTGTATATGAACTTGAACTAAATAATTTCATTTTAGATTAGCGCCTAAAGGTATACCCTAAAAATTTTAAATATAAGTGTGGCCTCAAACGTGATATACGCGTAAACTAGCCTTTTGCCAGTCTAAACTGAATATATGTTGTCATGGCAAACCTTAGGGTAGAAATACATAAAGCGCCTTTTGGCTGCTTAAGCCATCGGCTGGCTTCTTCGTAGATGAACAAGGGAGTTTTAGGTTGACTTAGTTCGAGTTTGGCCCCAGGCTCCTTAGCTCATTTCCGAAGAAGCCAGGCGATGAATTAAGCCAACCAGATAAGCGCTTTATGTATTCCCACCTTAAGTCATCGGCTGGCTTCTTCGGAAATTAACAAAGCAGCCTAAGGCCAAAATCGAACTACCTTAAGGTTGATTTAGTTCGATTTTGGCCGTAGGCTCCTTTGTTCATTTCCAAAGAAGCCAGCCAGATAAGCGCTTTATGTATTCCCACCTTTAACATTAGTCCAGCAGAGTTGCAAAATTGAGATCGTACTGTACAAACAGATTGAAAACTTCATAGCATTCAATGAGACACTGGCATAAAATACTTTTTCGAAATGTTGACTTCGCTCCCCTCCCCTTGACATTTTAGTTCCTTGCATTGAAAAGAAGTCTTTTTTTAAATGAATTGTGGTCTTCGTTGTTGTTGTTGCTGTTGATGGTAGTTTTTTTGCATTCCTGGACACACACAC